CAACAACAACAACAACAACAACAACAACAACAACAGCTGCTGCAATTACACGGTGCCGGAAATATCCACCCAGTGATGATGGCACCAAACATGGCTCCACTTGCATCAGCACAATACCCGTTAGTCTCATCCCCTTCAAATGGTGGCTTGACTGGTGAGGTATTTGGTAGTATCAACTTTATGAATGAGAGTGTATTCAATTTCAGAATATTTGAGCGCAAAAACAAGTCTAGCTTGGAAGACCACGACCACAATGCAAATGAGCAATTAACCGAGGTGGACTATGATCCTGAAAAGCAAGCATTGTCTACCTCTTCATCGAGTGCGTCGTCTACTTTGCCTACTGGGGGTTTTTCTGCAACGTCTGTGAATAAAGAAGAAGATGTAGCGAAATTACCCAACGTTGCTGCGACTTCAAGTGGACCTGTACCTAAAGTTGATGAAGGACTGCTGGAAGAAAGCGAAAATGCAAAGGTCACCAAAAGTGCTGAAAGCAATCAAAAGGATGACACAGAGGGTGATGGAGCAGTAGTTGATGAAGCAGTAGTTGAAGAAGAAGAAGAAGAAGAAGAAGAACAAAAGGATACCCCAGAAAGAGGAATTGAAGATAAAAACAATCACCCTAATTCAGATGACTCGAGCGAATATTGGTTACGCTATGAGAAGGAAAAGTTTATGAAGATTTGTGAAACTTGTTGGGATGAATTTGTCAAGTCGAGGGTTCAGCAATAGTAATTCACAAATGGTCAGAGACGACTTGTTTGGACCATCTTGCTAATTCATGATTACCGTATGTATGTTATGAAAAAGTTTTGCTTAATTTATAATCACTTCAGGAATACTTCAGGAAAGTTTCACGTAGATGTCTGTATGTTAAGCTGCATGTCGCAAACATCCTTCTCAACGCGAATGTGACAATGAAAAAAATAATAAAAAAAAAAAGAAATAATAAAAATGGACTTTTCTCTCGTGACAAATTTGACGGAATGGATCTTTCGGTCACTGCAGAATATCTCAAACGCCACTGTTGCGAACTAGACCTATGTTAAACAGTGCAATATCACTTAGGCTCCTAAGTAGGTCGAGTATCTCTCGATATACAAGGACGAAACCAGTGAGCTATGCATTCAGTCATTTGTTCGCACAACGACTGTTTTCAACTATACCTCGCCACTCGTTTCATCAATCGAGGATAAACTTTAACAAACAACAACAGAATAAAGAAGAAGATGACCTAGAAAAGACTAGAAAAGAATACGAAGCCAAGTTGAACAAGAACTCGCAAAAGAATGAGGAGACAAAGGAGAATCAAGATGGAAAATCATCATCAACAGATGAGGAAGCTAAGGAAAAGAGCAAAGATAAAGATGAAGAAGAGCAAATACGAGAAGAATTGAAACGGAAGTTTATGGAGAAACATCCAGGAGCAGAGCCAAAAGATTTCAAGATTTACAAAATTGAATGGAAACAAATCGCCAATGTGATGTTTCTCACCACTACTTCGTTATTGCTCTGGCTTTATATAATCTCGTCAATGAAGGATGAAAGAGGCCAACAAGAATTATCCATGCAAAGCTTCATCACCAACTATTTGGAAAAGGGATTGGTTACCAAAATGACAGTCATCAACAAATACGTTGTTGAAGCTCTGTTGATACCTGGCGCAGTGAGTAGCGCTACGTTTACCAAATCTGATGGATCACCAGCTGTTCTGTTCACTATCGGATCCATAGAATATTTTGAAGATGAGCTCAACAGAGTGCAGGACAGATTGGATATCCCCATTGGTGAAAGAATACCAGTAGTTTATGAGGAAAAAGGGTCTTGGATGACTTATATTTTGCCAATCTTGCCAACAGTTTTGTTGATTGGAGGATTGTATTATTTGACAATGAGACGCATGCCTGGAGCCGGTGGTGGTGGTGGTGGTGGTGCTGGCGGAGGCGCTGGTGGCCCAGGAGGATTATTCAAGATTGGTAAATCCAAGGCCAAGTTATTCAACCAGGAAACGGATGTTAAAATCAAGTTCAAGGATGTTGCCGGATGCGATGAGTCAAAGGAGGAGATTATGGAGTTTGTCAAGTTTTTGCAAGACCCCAAAAAGTATGAAAAGTTGGGTGCCAAGATTCCTCGTGGAGCAATTTTGTCTGGACCTCCAGGTACCGGTAAGACATTGTTGGCCAAAGCAACAGCCGGTGAAGCGGGTGTACCATTCTTGAGTGTGTCCGGTTCGGAATTTGTTGAAATGTTTGTGGGTGTTGGTGCTTCTCGTGTACGTGACTTGTTCAAGACTGCAAGAGATATGGCTCCGGCAATCATCTTCGTTGATGAAATCGATGCTATTGGAAAAGAAAGAGGTAATGGACGTATGGGTGGCAACGATGAGCGTGAAAATACTTTGAACCAGTTGTTGGTTGAAATGGATGGGTTTGATACTACTGACCATGTGGTTGTTTTGGCCGGTACCAATCGTCCTGATATTTTGGACAAGGCTTTGTTGAGACCTGGTAGGTTTGATAGACATATTTCTATTGATGTCCCTGATGTTGAAGGTAGAAAGGAGATTTTCAAGGTTCATTTGAACAAGTTGAAATTACAAGTGGTGGAGGAAATTGACATTAAACAAAAGGAAGTCGATTTTGCCAAGTTTCAACAATTGAAAAGCAATGCGCTAGAACAATTAGCGGGAAGATTAGCAGCCTTGACTCCAGGTTTTGCTGGTGCTGACATTGCCAATTGTGCCAATGAGGGTGCATTGATTGCAGCTAGAGAAAATGCGACAGCTGTTGATGTCCACCATTTTGAACAGGCTATTGAACGTGTCGTTGCTGGGTTGGAAAAGAAATCAAGAATCCTTGCACCTGATGAGAAAAAGACTGTTGCTTACCATGAAGCAGGCCATGCTATTTGTGGGTGGTTTTTGGAATATGCTGATCCATTGGTCAAGGTCTCTATCATCCCACGTGGACAAGGTGCTTTGGGTTATGCGCAGTACTTGCCCAAGGATCAATACTTGACATCAGAGGAACAATTTAAACACAGGATGATTATGACTCTTGGTGGGAGAGTCAGTGAAGAATTACATTTCGACACGGTGACTAGTGGTGCTTCCGATGATTTCAAAAAGATTACCCAAATGGCACAACAAATGATTCTCAATTTGGGTATGTCTGATAAGCTTGGTCAAATCTGTTACGATACCGGTGACAATGGCAATGGGTTCAAAGTGCACAACAACTATTCAGAAGAAACTGCAAGGTTGATTGATGAAGAAGTGAAGCGATTGATTGATGAAGCTTATGTGGCTTGTCATAAGTTGTTGAAGGAGAAAATCGATTTGGTTGATCAAGTGGCTGAAGAATTGTTCAAGAAGGAAGTATTAACAAGGGAAGATATGATTAGAATTTGTGGCAAGAGACCGTTTTTGGAAAGAAACGATGCATTTGACAAGTATATACAAGGTCAAGATGCATTTAAAGGTAGACCTAAGGAACCTGGTGATGTACCTCCAGCTGCACCTGCTTAAAGGGGATGAGGAGACGAGCGGATATGATTGTAGTACTGAGGATTTATTAGAATAGTCTTGTATATAAAATAAAGTACATTTATTTGAATTCATTTGAAGAGTTCCTCAATTGATTCATAGCCGGTTTCAACTTGCTCTGGGGAGGGCTTTGCGAGAGAGGCCATATCTCTGAGATTGCTTAATGTCAGACTGTGTTTGCTAGGATTTTGGCTCTTGGGTGCAGTTTTTGTAATCAGTACACCACCAAGGGAATTGAAGCTCAAGCTGGTATTGGTTATACTCCTCAATTCAGTTAGAATTTCATTCTGTGATTTCTGTTGCACGATTTGAGTGACATCATCGGCAATACTACCATCAGCTTCATTATCCATTGCTGAAACTTTGTGACTTGCCTTACTGTTTTCATGTGGTTCACTTTCACAATGACCAGCATTAATTAAATGACCACGCCAGTCTTCATATCCGCCATCAGTCATGTACCCACATCCTAAAATGGGACAAAATATAATCTGAGATTGAGAGTTACACTTGCCGCTTGATCTATGCTTGATTAGATCTTCCTTGCACAAGTAAAACATTTGACATTTGTCCCCATTGACAATCCTATCACAAACATGCGTATGCAAAGGGAGTGGAGATTTGAATCGTAATGGAAACTCGTGAAATAGGCGTTTTTTGTTGATACCAGTGAGTTGGTTCTCTGTTTCTTGACCACCTGACAAGTCTGCTTCAGTTGGGTATCCCAATTGATAAAGCAAACTCGAATGATGTTTGATGAGATGCGAGGCGTACAATTTTTTATTCATTGTGCAAAATGAACAATCAGTGACACAGCATTTGAATACCATAAGTTTCAGTGAGGAGGAAGAAGACGATGGGGCGTCTCCCATAAAATAGTATGGCTCTTCGACAATGTTGATTTGTTCTTCGAAAGATTCGCAGGATGCACTACGAGGCGGCAGTGCAAGCGTTGTAGAAAGGCTCTTGATTGGAGACACATTCACATCAATAAGTTTCATGGTCTTGTCCTTCTGTGGGGTGTTCATTGCAAGCGACTCATCAAGAAATGGAGAGTTTTCAGAATCGTCCTTCGTGTTGAAAACGTACCGACTATGGATCTTATTATGTTTCGGCAGTGAATGTTCAAGAAATAAATTGCTGAGGTTCTGGACAGAGTCATCGCCAACATTAAGGTCCGAACTCTTATTACTCGTGTAACGGTGTATTTCCGTTTTCTCTGGCAGTAGCTTTTGCTTGTGTTCCTCTCTTTCAGCAGCTTTTAAAGGCGATTCTGGATCTGGCGTCGATTGCGATAGTGGACCTTCATTAGATGATAACTTTGGGGATTTTGATATAGATGACCCCAATGGTTTAAATTGCTTGCTTTTCAGCAGCTCTGAGCTCCGGCTCATTTCAGTGTTATTGTGAAAATCTACCAGTCTCCCGCTTGCCTCCTCACTACCATCAGAATCACTACTTTCTTCATATGGTTCATCATCCTCACTTGCATCACCAATGGAGTAATCACTAGACGTCTCAGATTCTGCTTCACTGTATTCGGAGCTAGACGATTCAGTATCTTGTTGGACAAATATTCTTCGCTTCTTTGTTGGTGACTCGTCCTTGTCAACCTGGGTAGGTACTTGTCCTTTCGTCGGAGAGACATTACGCAAAAAATCTCCGTTTGTTAAACTGTCCCTAGCCGACTTCAGTGGCGATGGAATCCGCATTCGCCTTATGTTCTTTTCCTGGCTTTTACTGTTTCCCTTGTCAAGTGTTCTCACTCCACTTTGATCGTGTTGACCATTGGGTTCTCTCCACAACTTAAAAGTCGTAAGCCGTCTGGCACCCTTACCGGAACTGATGTTGCTGAAGTTGGCACCGCTTCTTAGCCGATGCAAATGCCCATTGTTAGTGACTATTTCTCCTGTCACCAAGTCAATCTCATCACTCTCTTGTTCATCATTTATATTCAGGTATTTAGAAATTATACCAGTCCATTTATTCTCGAATCGACGTAGACTATCCCTTTCCAATCGCTTGAGCTTCGCACGGAATAGCTCCTTGTCTGAAGACTCTTCAATGAGTTGCTCAATATCACGTGTTGCTTCATCGGGGTATCTTTCTTCCTGATCTAGTTCTTCATCGGTTGATAATTCAATCAGAATTTCTTCTTCTTCTTGTTCCTGGTCGGGTCGTAGCGAGGGTGGGTAGAGCGTAAGCTTGAACGGTACTGGAGGCAAGGACTGACCAGATGCTTGCACTGTACGTGATTGCTTCGTTGGAGACATTTGTATGTAAATAGCCCGATTGAAGTTCTGTGAATGTTTTTTTATAATAGAGTTGTTGTATATCGGCTCAAAAGATAGACGCGTAATGAGTCACGTGAATATATATGTATATATGCATACTCTTATACACCATTGCATCTCAAATGGTGATGAAGCTCATGGGATTAAGGGTAATTAAACTTTATATTACTGGTTGAGGAAGTATACATAAGATGCACGAGTGAAAATTTTCACCAAATGGACGTTGTTGGAAGCTCAAGGTAAGATTACTGGAAAATAGCATGAACAAACAAACTTTAACAAAACAACCTAGCTAAATAACCAGCAACTATCACATATGTTATACCCCAGCTTGCAATGGAGCAAGTGGATCATATTGTTGAGCCTCCACTTTACTCCTCCCACCCCCTTGTAGCTGAACTCGATCGCGCCTGCTCCTTCTCATCAAAAGAAAAACGGATTTCAATTTAGTTCAGCTCACTTGACTTCACTTGGCTTCAGGATTATCCACAGTGGATGTCCTCTCATTATTCTTATTCCTTTCCCAACATGCTCTGAAGGCTTGCATTTCCTTTAAACACTTTCTCCAATCGCCAGTATCTGCATGACATAGTTGCAAGTTCAAGTTTTCTTGATGACAACCAGTGTTGATTATTCGTTTATCCCACTCATCAGGCTCGTCGTCATCATCCTCATCAACACCATTGGAATTGGAGTTGCTTAGTAGTCTATTACTCGGCTTCATGAATTCAATGTCTCTGGTTGGTTTGAGGACGAAGAGTAGAGAGGATTTTTCTTCAGACTTTCGCTACCACATTCAATCTCTCATCTGTGTCTCCTTTCATCTAAATCATATCTAATGTCTAACTATTTTATATATATATATATTTATTTACATGCGGGACCTCTCTCTCAGAACCCAAATCCACCTTTAGAATAAGCCATAGGCTTGATATCAGGATGTGGACTAGCTTCAAATGTCTCCTGAGTCAAAGTCCAAGGACAATTATCATCATCAACTCGTCTATACCCTTCCCCATCATCTTTAGCAGGATCGTATGCCTCATTCTCGGTGAAATGGACAACTCCTCCCAAATTACCAGTAGAGTCGCAATAATCAGGGGCACTGAAAACGGTGATCAACCGACCATGCTGTTCAACTTCAACACCCCCCATTCTCACTTCATGCGAACGCAAAATTTTTCGTACCTTGTTAGAGAGACAGAATCTTTCAGTTATATCTGGTCCAAATTGCATTCCAATACCTCGTTTTGACGGTGATCTTCCATTGGTCTCTTGTGGGTCGGTCCATAATAGTTCCATCGCCAACCCTTCCTTTGGTGGTTGGGTTGACCCATTTTTGGGGAATCTATTGATGGATTTTATATCTTGCAATGTCACTTTATCGTTTGAGAATAATCCTCCGTGCATACACAAGTATTCTCGATTGATCAAAGTCGCCAATGGCAACGCGGCAAACGATTCACTAAAAGCTTCAAAAATCTTTTTGGAATACTTTGCTTCACATTCATCGGTGAATCCGTATGTTTTGTTCATATCGCTAGTTTCATGATTACCACGATTGATGAATATCGAATGCGGGTAAAGAATCTTCAACACGTACAAATACAAGGCCACTTCACACGACCAAGACCCACGATCAACAAAGTCACCATTGAATAAGTAGACATGGTCTTTGGATACGTAACCGAATTTCTGAAATAAATTCAACACATCATAAAATTGTCCATGTGTGTCGCCGACAACTGTCAACTTCAGTCCGCCAATTATTTCATCTTTATTGTCGGGAGCTTGCAATTTGGTATGATTAATTGAGATTTCAGTCATTGTTTGCTCTCGTTTCAATATCTCATTCACTTTGGAAATAATGGCAAGCACATGCTTTTTCGGTAATTTGCCCCCCTTTTTAAACAACTTGATCATATACTTGAGATACGCCACATCCAATCCTTCAATATGAACCACAACTTGATCCTTCTTATTCTCGTCTTTAGTCTTACTGGTGGTTATCTGCAACTCTGGCCCTTCCCACGATTTCTCCAACTGGATCCCTTCATAATCAACAGTATTCAATATGGAAACCCGATCTTCCCCAGCAATGGCCTTCTCAAACGCCTGTCTCTTCAAGTAATTCGTACACTGTTTATAATTCTCCAACGTCAACGCATCATTAGGCAATTTCTTCAATATGATTTGGAAATTCCGTTGAGCTTGCTTGTGCTGCAAGATGGCCATTTGCGCCACCCCCTTTCTATAGTAAGCTTTGAGGAAATTGGGGTTGACAGCAAGAGCGGAGTCACAGTCCTGGATGGCTAGTCCATAGTTCTCCATCTTGATGTGAACCTGAGCTCTATTGGAGTAAAAGACTGCATTTGATGGATCGAGTTCAATGGCTTTGGTATACAGTTCAACAGCTTCGTCAAACTTGTGTTCTTTCAAGTATTGGTTTCCTTCATCTTTGACCTTGATGGCCTCTTCCTTATTCTGAGACATTTGCTATTGGAGGCTAGGGGGCGGTGGTGCTGGTGGTAGTAGTAGTAGTGTGTGCCTGGATGAGTGTCTTCAATTGATCTTTCCCCTTGATAAATTCGTGAATTTTTTTTTTTTCTTTCTTTTTTTCTTTCTTTCATCTTTCGGTCGTCTGAGGTTATAAAGGCATACGCAATGCGCAACACAGTTGTTATCTTTTGCACCCAGCTACAACCTTCTAGTCTACTTGCTATATAATCAAGCACATTCAGCAACGTAGATGTGACTCCATTGTTCTCAGTTGAGGCATTATTGCCGAACCCACGTATTGACCCCATACACTTTCCACTTTGTCCGTCTCTGATCAAACAAAAGATGCTGAACATACCCCTTTCGTTTAACATACGCCAATGTATCCTCTGAAATACTTAATCCATTCAAATCTAGCACCTCTAGTCGTAACCCACTACTCAACAATCTCATCAAGTCAACGCCATCAAATTGGTTAAAACTGAGGTCCAATTGTTGCAAATTGATCAATTGTGAACCCATCGATTGAATTTGTTTGCTTATATTCATCATTGACACAGTATCAACGTTCATTTCCAGTAGGCATAAACACAGCAAATTGGGACACATGGTAAGTAGTGTGCTTAGTTCGAGTTGTTTTCTGCCTGGTATATGAAATGACAAGTGACTTGGGCATCCCAAATTGAGTGATTTTATTGACTTGCCACATTTCTGCAAAAGCCTTTCCAAACCAATCACTGAGATGCAACTTTGGTATAGATCCAATTGTTCCAATTGGTCGAATTGGGTAATCAAAGGGAAATAAATCTCCTGCAATGACATTAATGAGCAGAGTGCATTTTCTCGAAATGTAAAATGAGTCAATTTGAACTCCGGTTTGTAGTTTAGTAGGATCTGTAACAAGATGAAAAAGTTTATCCCCGAGTTGTTTTCAAGGTACAACTTGGTGAGGTTTTCGTGTTGACTTAAAAATTCACCAAATGCAGGCAAGTGGTTACCAAAATTGAATGAACACATTGTTAGTTCAGTTAAATTGGGGAAATTGTACTCGAGTAAAACCGGGAATGGATTATATGTCGTTGCAGATATGCCCATTGACTCATTTGTCAATAATTTGACATGATTGACCAAAAACAAAGTCTCTAATGGGTACGAGTCCATCTTTTTTTCCTTCAATTTTTTAAACACTTTATCTTGTAATGGAACCATATTCATGGTGCTCTTGTCGGGTATCATTATGGTGATCTTTAAATGCTTCAATTGGGGAAAAATGTTGAGTAGTATTTGGGGATACTTGATGCTACAGTTGATTCCAAGCGACAATGAATGCAAGTGATGAAAATTATTCAATTTCCAAGAATGTTTAGCCAATAGGGCATAAATGAGTTGTAAATTCAATGTTTGGTCCATAACTTCCAAAACCTGCAATGGAAACTGTGGCTCCTTGATTAGAATCGAAAGTACATGCAGTAGTTTCTTATTGTACACTTGATTAATCTTGAGTTTTCTGATTTGTTTGGAATAAGTATATGATGCATTCTTTTTGAAAAACCCAACTCCCTTGGTAAACTCATCCACCGTAGTAATTGGTTTACAATGAAACTGGAACAAGTCCAACTGGATCAATGTATTGTACCACATTCTTGAAACAAGTAGACACTTGAGAACTGTTTGTTGTGGTAGTTGTTGAAATACTAGGTTTATGCATTCAGCAGGGAGACATTTGACTGGATCAACTACCCTCACAATCTTTCTTTTCTTTAACTGGGTACTAGAGCCACCCTGAGAGGAGCTGCTGGACTTTTGCAGGTTATTTGACGCTTGTCTCTCTGCTTTCAACTCTTGATTCAAGATCCTATACTGATTTTTCAATTTCTCATACAATTGCTGGTTCGGCACAGGTATACCCTTTTTCACCAAAGTATCAATAACATAGGTCCCCTTTTGATAGGTCTTGTATGCTTGGTACTTGTCACCGCGCATTGTGTGGATCTTCCCTATTCTCAAGTACCCCTTGCAATCAGTTGGGTCCAATTCAATCAGTTTTGCCGAATCCTTCAAAGCCAAGTCATGCTTTTCCAATTTCTCGAAAGTGGATGCTCTTTGGTCTAGAAACGTTGTAAGTTTGGGGTGTATTAGTTTGCCAATATCAGGCACTTGTTTAACTCCATGCTGAAGTCGTATTGCTTTGATGTCTTGTGGTGAAAGTTGCCTCACATCATAAATCAACTTGTCGTAGATACCCAATGCTTTGACATATTCGCCTGATTTGAAGTAGAGCACAGCTAGTTTACTCTTGTCGCGTAACAATTGCTCATCGATGGCCATTGGTTGCTCAAAAATATATGAGAATGCGATTTTGGGTTTGTTTATCAAATCAAAGAACGCGCGTCTTTCTTACAAGAGGAATAGGTGATACATCATCAAGTTACATATGCAACCTCAACAGTGTATATACAGGTGCTGGTTAACATGCTAGCATAGTCACACTACTACCCACACTTTCTCATAATGTGCCAGTAACATGCTCTAGATGTAGGACAAAATGAGAACAGAATTTGACAACAACAGAGACTACTCTTGTTCGCAGGATGACGATGTTGAGTATATAATGCGAATAACTAATCCTTGTTCTTATTTGTATTCTTTGGTGATGAAAGAAATGAACGACAAATATATGTTGGTGTATTCTATAGGATTTTTTAGTACTAAACAGTCAATGAATAGCTACAGCTCCTCCAGACCCTAGAGGGTCAGTATCCTGGTCTTTATTCTGGTATCTTGTTTTCTTTATTTACAAGGGGATGGAAGAGCTCCTACATTTACTTTGTGGCTGACTGTGGTGCTCTTGTTGGGTGGAAATTCATTTAGTTTGGAAGATTCTCACTAACATGGGATACTGCTTCACTTTTTTTTTTATTTCAGGAGACTGTAAGGTCTATTATTAAATGGGAGATCACAATCTGGAACGGATCTGGGACGAACCTGGGAACTAGACTTAGGGACTTCATTTTGTTTGGTATCGGAATTATTTTTGGGGGTATTTGTGGATTACAATTGGGCTTTAAACTTTGATACTTGGGATCTGTATAGTTCTTGTTATGATATATGTTAAAACTATTGTATTCTTTGTTTCTTATTTTGTAGTTTTTGATCTTTGGTATTACGGGTTATGTGTGTATGTGTGTGTCTGGTGGGGAAGAAAATTGCGCGAGCGCATGAGAGATCGATAGCGTTGGAGATTTTTCATGATGGGGATTGCAGTGCTGAATTATATTTAAACCACATTCTAAACTCACAACAATGCAACTATTCAAATTTGTTGAGCTAGCTGTTGTTACAGTAGTGATGGCAACCACTACGTTCATATCAAGCATAGCACCAATCAAATTCCTCAATTTGTCAAGTGCCAACCTCAACTACTTGACCAACTTCAGTATGGGGATACTAGTTGGCACTGCACTACTTATAGTACTACCGGAGGGAATACAAGTATTGAGTGAAGGGATGTACGGATTGACCTCATTCACCGTGGGAGTGCCCATTTTGATTGGGGTTGTATTGATGTTCACCATTGACAAGTTTGTTGCACATAATGATAAGGAACTATACAATTCTCCACCTGGATACTCAGATGCAACCACAACAACAACAACAACAACAACAACAACACTTGGAGAGGCGAGGGTGGGTGGATCCATTGCAAATTCAATCCTTCAATCGTCAACAACACTTGGTTTGCTTGTCCACGCAGCTGTCGATGGTGTTTCATTAGGCTCCTCATTTGCCAACAAGGACTCAACATTACAATTTGCCATGGTGATTGCCTTAATCATCCACAAGATCCCCACTGCATTCAGTCTTGGAACGATATTAAGCAAAGAAGGCATGCAGGATAACTTGATTTTGATCCATCTTGGATTGTTTGCATTGCTGACACCAATACTGACGTGGGTTACATTTGCAATCTTGGCCATGTCGTCAACACAGATCCAATTTTTCACTGGTAGCTTGCTATTGTTTTCATCAGGTACGTTTTTGTATGTCGTGTACCATGTGGTTCATGAGTTTGAAGATGGGTTGGTGCAGGAGGGAGATGGTTTTGGAGGGGGAGGATCTAGTGGAAGTGAAAATACATTGGTTGATAAACAGGCTAAGAAGAAGAACATATTTGTGGCTATAGTGGGACTTGTGATTCCATTGCTACTAAGCTTAATAAAGGAAGAGTAAAGAGAGAATAATGCAACGCAAATTGAATAACGAGGGCCCTAGAACATGGTTCATCCAACTGTTTCCTTTAGAAACTAGGAGTGAGAGATGAAAAGCTTCTTTTAAGGAGAAGGACCCTCATAAGCTTTATTTTTGGAAAAGTACTCAAGTGGAGAGGAAGAGTTCATATACTAGCAGGTGCTTGAAGATACGAATAGTCGGTATAGGTTGTAATAGAGATATTATATGTAAACAATAGAGAGGGAAAAAACCGGGTGGGGTAGGGTAGGGGGGTAATTTGCAACTTTCCACTCTTCTTTCTTTGCTCTTGACCGTGTCTTAGTGCATTAGCAAAGCCAAAGCTAAGGGATTTGATACTCAGCCTGGTTTGGCCATTGCTTGGAATAAAACTCTTGTGGTTAGTTGGGTACAATAGTTACACAAAACAGACCGTCCCTCTCTCTTTTTCTCTCCCTCTCTCTTTGTCATACAAAATCCGTTCACCCTCTCACCCCTTGAAATCGCAAACGACCAACTAACTTACTACAGTCAGTCAACTCTATATTGGATCACACAACACTTGACTATAGGCATTACTTTGAACTACAACCAGCAGCAGCAATAACATCTACTGTCTTTGCAACCTAATAACCAGCTGCTCTTCTAAGGGACAGCTTTTTTCTACATTCATCAACGCAGGTACACATCACCAGATAATCAAAACATACATATACAGAGTCGCATACAAACACACACACACACACACAAAAAACATGACAACCACAGCTGGCAAAGATCTACAAGATGCTCATGGTGACCACGTTGATGCAAGCTTCAAGTCGGACGACGCCATCAACACCGATGCAGGTACAACCACAGGATCAACTGTGTTTGAGATCCCAAATGACTCTGATATCAAATCACGTCAACAGAAAAAGAGATCACCTACCCAGGACTCTGCCACATCAATAGGTACTACTTCCTCAACCACTTCAAGGGGCTCAGTTCTGTCTGTTGCATCAGCAGTTCTGTCCTCCTCTTCCACGAGCGCAAGTGGTGGAGGTGGTGGTGGTTCACGCAAACGCAAAAATAAAAAGGCTCCATATTTACATATAGCACCATTAAGCACCCCATTGAAACATCGACTTGAAACATTGGCGATCGTTTGGCTTTGCGTCAGTCTTCCTGCGTTCATTACCTTATTTTTTATTTGCATCTCATTGGGTTGGGTTGTTTGGCTCACAGTTATCTTGCCCTACTTTATATGGTGGTATGGGTTTGACTTACACACCCCAACAAACGGTAAGGTATCATATCGTGTTCGCAATTCCATGAAGAATTTCATTATTTGGGAGTGGTTTGTCAATTATTTCCCCATTAGAGCACACAAAACTATTGAGTTGGAACCCACATTCACAAAAGTGCTCGTTAAGCAAACTGGCTCTAATTCCCAAGGCAGTGAGGGCGATGAGCAAGAGGATGGGGATGATGATGAATTGGATTTGGTTTCGGAAGACGCAACTACCGTATTGGACAATATTTTCAAGTTTATTGGATTGAAAAAGAGACTAAATCGAAGCGACGATAATATCCTGGTTAAATCCAGCGACAGTTCTTCGTCCTGCAGATCGTCGTCACCACCTGCTGCTGTGTACAAACGTGTTCTGACCGGTCCTAGGTACATCTTTGGGTACCACCCTCATGGAGTCATATCGATGGGTGCAATTGGATTATTTGGGACTAATGCATTACGAAACGAGCCGTATGAACCCGTTCTTAAATGGTTGAAGCCATTTTTCCATGATCCTTCAAAGTTTGAAACATTGTTTCCTGGACTCGGGCAAATCTTTGCCTTAACCTTGACTACCCAATTTACCGTGCCCTTTTATCGTGATTATTTGATGAGTATGGGATTGTCTAGTGCCTCGGCAAAAAATATCAAGAGCTTAATTAATAATGGAGATAATTCAGTTTGTCTTGTTATTGGAGGAGCTAAAGAGTCTTTGTTGAATACGACAGTTTCCAAAAATGCCAGGGTCGGGTACGGATACAAAGGATCATCGCCTCGCGAAGAGGAGGAAAATGAGGGATCTGTGTCAGCGGAACACACGGAAGATGTGACAGATGAGAAGGACAGCATCAATGAGGCAGCACCAAATGGAGGATCTAATGGCCGCGCACCTTCCACTCATGACGAACAAATTCCTCTTGAAACCACACCACCTAAGAAACAAATCAAACTAGTCCTCGCGAATCGTAAAGGATTTGTTAAATTAGCAATTGAGCTAGGTAATATCAACTTGGTGCCCACATTTGCATTTGGAGAGGCTGACGTTTATGACATTTCTATACCTAAACCAGGATCAATAGGTTACAAATTCCAGCAATGGATGAAAAGGACATTTGCATTTACAATTCCATTCTTTAGCGCCCGTGGTGTGTTTATTTATGATTTCGGTTTATTGCCATACCGCAACCCAATTGATATTGTGATCGGTCGGCCTATTCATATTCCTGCTGGTGTATTGCAAGAGTATCGCGCGCAACATCCCGAGGAGTTTGAAGATGAAGTAAAGGAGCCCAAGGAGCAAAAGGAGAATGTGAATGATAAGAAGGACAAGAGTGATGCCCAATCGGTTGAGTCAGCATCGGGTATGCTGAGATCAAGCTCGTTTACGGATTTCTTGAAATTGACCACTACTAAAAGGGGCTCCTCTGTAAAAGCCAAAATTCCGCAAAAATTGTTGGACAAGTATCATAAATTGTACGTTGATGAATTGAGGCGGGTCTATGAGGACAATAAAGGCCGGTTTGGATACGGAGATGTTGAATTAAATATAATCGACTAGAGAATGAAAATAATAAAAATAAAAATAAAAACAATTGAGACAATTGAGACGTCTATGTACAGTTCTTTTTTTTTTTTCTGTCTACATCCTATATATCTATGTTTCTTTCTCCTCCTCTTCTGCAACCAATTTCCTCTTTTTCGAACTAACTTCAAAAAGACCCTGTAATTGAGGCCATTTCTCTTCCTGTTTCTCAAAATCGCCATATCGAATATTCATCAAATCATAAGCAAACACAATGTCAATTTCTTTCAATTTATCCAAATTGGCATTACGGAAAATATCAAACACACGAGGTTGTTTCCTCAACAATTGCAATTGCAAATCACGTGCTTCTTTACCCAAGGCCAGTTTCGCCACACAGTTATTGCTCATTCCATACCTTGAGCTAAAATGGGTCAAGAGCAAATTGGGGCATTGCATCAAGTGGCAAACTGCAACCGCTTCAACCATGGCTGTGTGTTTTTTGGCGATTGCTTCATCGATCCAGAATGAGTCGAGGGACGCTTCGTGGATTAGCAAGTCGGACTTGTGTGCCATTGAGCAGAATTTGGGGTTGGGTCTGGTATCTCCTGAAAATGCAATTTTGAAAAACTGTGGTGCAACCTTGTTGTCGCTAGTGGTGTTGCTGCTGTTTGAATTGAGCCTGAATTTGAATGCTGTAGAGTATGACCATGCACAATGGAGGGCACGTACTGTAGAGATTGATTCAATACCTAACGCGTCATACATTTCATCAATCACCGCAGTGTTCACTGGCAACAAAGGTGCCTTAGCGATGGGTCTATGGATGTCCCCACAATCGTACGCCTGTTCAAATTCACCAATTGTGAGTTTCTCATACTCGGGTAATCTACCCCCGTCATTGCCACTGCCACCACCGTTACTCTCACCTCCACCTTGCAAAAAATCCTCATTACTAAACATGCATAATCGTGATAGATCAACAGATGGATTGTATTGCAGTTCCAAACTGTACCAATCATGCACAAAAGTAATAAACTGCCATGGAACAACCAAGTACAATCGTTTATCCGTATCTCGACTATTCAATTCAAACCATTTATTGATCATCGAAATCATACCGAGGTGATGATCGGCATGCAAATGCGATAAATGGATCAAACTCAACTCAGAGAAAATTTGGCGCATGTCTAAACCTCCATCTTGACCGAAATTGCGCAACATGCTTCCAATGGTGTTTTCACCAGCATCCAATATGATGGATCGATAAGTAATGGACCCGTCACTGTGTTGATACGGAATTCGTATCAAGTTTGAAAGAACGTTGCGTGATATGCTAGGAAGTGCCGATCCCGTGCCTAGGGTGCATATATGCACCAAATTTTTCAAATTGGTGGGTTTGGTATCGTTGTCGGCCGTCTTGTTCAAGTTCAAGTCGAATCTGGATTTTAGTGAATCAAATTTAACTGGTGGTGGTAAGGGTAGTAAGGGTGGTGATGGTGATGCATCTTGCGCTTCCTGTTGCACCATTTCTCTGTATAAAGATTCATTGGAGCTGCGTAGGATGTTTGTATTGTCACAATAAACTCCAGTGTCATCAATACCCATATATTGTAAAGCATGTAGTCTATTCACGTTGCTCTCCTTATCGCTCAACGGTCTGAACTCATCCAGGTTCATTAATTGGAAATTCTCTGGCATAATTTGCATCAATTTCAAATGGCCCAATGCAAATTTCTCATTTATGATGATATTGTTGGTTATTGATCTATGACTAATGAGATGTTTGCAATCTGGTGGGAACTTGTCAAGAAAAGTCTGATACTGAGTCATGTCAAACGTAACATCATCGCCAATGAAATGGTAAACAAGACCAACTTTTTCAATCCTGTGCCATTCTTTACTCTCCACCGTTGGCTCATAATACTCTTTACTCGGTATATCAATAACCAACACTTTGGGCAACACCCGATCAGGTCCAACTACCTGACTAGGCAAGATAGTATCACCTGCTTCGTTAACCACAGAATTTCCCGCCACCAACTCCTTGAAAATGGGGCCTGGTTTCAACCCCAATTCCTTAGCTTTCCGAGCATCGAATTTGCCCGGGATGGGTACAAATTCTATACAGTACGATAATGAATCCTGACGCTTTTTGATCAATTGAGAAGCGGGTGGAAGTTGAACATGCGTGTGAATATCCTTCAGTGACGGGTCTGATTTGTACGAGTTTGGATCACGACTATTGACCTCGCTTGTGTCCAAGGGGAACATGAGTGATGCCAACTTGCGAATTTGTGTCAATGCTTTACTTGATGTAGACTTTGCTAGTGCTGACGTTTCTTCTAATGATGTTGCAGTTGCGCTCTTTGGTTGTATCTTGATAGCTCGAACTACAATCTCATCATTTTTAACCACAGCATCAGGATCGTGATCTACATCGACAATCTCCAAATCGATACCTAATCGAAAAACAAATTGTCTCCAAGTAGCAACGATATACGACAACAATCCACACTCACCCACAACTCTAATCCCCTTTTTAGTCGCATCGCTAATGGTTAGAAACAACCCCGGTAATCCACCAATATCACCCCATGTGAAAATGGTCCCCGTGAGGAAAATCGTTTGCAATTTGGGGAATCGGACTTCGTTGGATCCAATGGCATTGATTATACGTTGAGTTCCTTCGGGGATTTTACCAAACAAGTACCGGTTGCCTTGTCGGGTGGTTAGTGCAATTAGCGGTTGTGATGCGTCGTTGGTTTTGTGGGCAATCGTTGTGAATTTGAACATTCCTGGGAAGGGCGTATGTTGTGTAGGAGGATCCTGGGTGGATGTGTTGGTGTTGGTGTCGGTGTCGGTGTCGGTGTCGGTGTTGGTGTTGGTGTTGGTGCTGGTGCTGGTGGTGCTGGTGGGAGAAGTCTTTTTGGTGTCTCTATTTACTGTGCTTTTCGATATTCTCTTTGCACGTTTTGATTTGCTAAATGGTTTGTACGACACAGATGTAGATAATGAAGCTTGTCGACCTAAACGTGGATGTAGCTGCTTGGTCGATGCAAGTACAGATCTATGGTATAAATGCAGTGAAATCAAAACGAAACTTTTTATTGTTGTAAATGACTCTTTTGGCTCTGTTGTAAATGAGTGACTCTAATAGTGTGTGTGTGTGTGTGTGTGTTATGACTTCAGGATGTATGGTTTATGTATGACTCATGTAAAATAATGCTTCAGTCTAACACTTCAAAATCCTCTGGGTCTTGTTGCTCTTTCTGCTCCTCGATACTTTCAAGTCCGTCCGTCAAGGTCAATGAGATGCGATGAGAGAAATGAAAACCAAATGTGGTAGCGTTGACTTTTGTTTTATCTCTTTGATCTATTCGTGTCAGGAGAGGAAGCCAATTGGGTTATTCATTATAAAACTCTGTCTATTCAACTAGTATTTGCTCGCCACTCCAAACGGAGAGGATGAGAAATGTTGGGCAAGGCTTGGTGTTTGTCACCAAAGAGTCTCTTCAGGTTTGCAAAATTCGCCACAAAACTAAAAGACTTCTTCTCCCTTGACTCACAATCAAGAACTACTGGACTTGTAGATCCATTTCCAGCAGTCTTTACAAGCAGGTACATTGCACTTTTCTAAAAAATTGTACCACTCCGTTCACATGATTTCATGTTGGCTATCAAAATTTTGAATCTATCACGTGATTGATTTTTGCCCCTCCATGTGACATTTTTGTTTATATCAACAACCGCAACAGGCAGCAGCAGCAGTAGACAGTAACTACCACAACACTATACCCAACGCACTGAGGTTGGTACACTACGTCAACATAGCCCTGAGTCATTCCACATACAAAAGTAATCCTTTACACGATATACACGTATAAGGTCCTGATACGACAACACTCTTACCAAAGTCATACCACAAATTAATCTACTGTAACTTTCAATGAGTCTCGTAGCTCAGGCATCGCCTACCACTGTTGATGACGTTATTAGACTGCTATTTGATCAGTACATCCAACTACATCCCATAAATAACGAATATTTAGCAGTGAAGAAACCTTTTTCTTCGTCGTCGTCGTCGTCGTCGTCGTCGTCTGACGGTAACGACGACAACAACACGAGTAGAAGTCACATACAGCAATGGTTCAACTTACGCAACTTGCCCCTCGTTGGCCGCTTCATCCCCGAGATAGATGCCAAAACAAAACTCATAAACGAACTACTCGAATATCAGAAAACGACAACTACGTATCGAGACTGGTACACGATTTCATTACGGCTAGATGAGCTACTAGGCAACAATGCCTGGAAATCCGATCCGCAATCGGACATATACGATTACAACTTGATCTATAAACATTTGAATGCCATGAAACAAGCACGGCTCGATAATAATTACAAGTTGTTGTTGTATTTAATCCGAACTACATGGGTGCGGAATTTAGGCAATATGGGGGACTCCAACTTGTATCGACATTCGTATGTTGGGACGAAAAAGTTGATTGAGGAGTATATACAAGAATGCCAAGTTTCGTTGATGTACCTCGTGGAGCAGCAAGGGCATAGTGGTGGTGGCAAGGGCAAGAAAAAGATTGATTTGGATGATCGGTACTTGTTGGGAATGTTGATCCAAACTAGGAAGAACATTGGCAGAACCGCGTTGGTTTTATCTGGGGGTAGCACTTTTGGGATATTCCACGTGGGAGTATTGGCCACTTTGTTTGAAGCCAATTTGTTGCCGAGGATAATCAGTGGGTCATCGGCGGGTTCGATCATGGCTAGTATTATATGTTCACATACCAATGAAGAGACGATTGAGTTGTTGCAAACTATAGCTCTGCGGCAGTTTAACATCTTTGATATTACTGATAAAGTTGAAACTTCGAGCAAGTTCAAAAAAGTGCTTTTGTTTTTGGGTCATTGGATCAAGTATGGTACTGTTTATGATATCGAAGGGTTGCAGGAGACAATGATTAGCTTTTTGGGGGAGTTGACATTTAGAGAGGCGTATAACCGTACGGGGAAGATCTTGAACATTACCGTGTCGCCCGCTTCGATTCATGAACAAACTCGATTGCTCAATTATATAACTGCTCCAAACTGTTTAATTTGGTCTGCTGTGTGTGCTAGTTGTTCATTACCTGGAGTGTTCCCCTCGAGCTCCGTTTACGAAAAGAACCCCAAAACGAACGAGGTGCACGAATGGAATAATGACGAATCAATGAAGTTTATGGATGGATCAGTCGATAACGATTTACCCATAACTCGATTACTGGAGATGTTTAATGTTGATCATATAATTGCGGTACAAGTGAATCCACATGTTGTTCCAGTATTGAAAGTTTCCATAAGTAGTGTTGGAGGCGATGTTGAAAATGAATTGAGCTATAAATTGAAACAGAGTTTGAACAATGTTTACGATTTTGTGATTTCTGAAGCTATACATTATTTGCAGTTGCTCAACGAGATGGACATATACAAGAACTTGGCCAACAAGACGGTGTCCTTGTTGTCACAACGGTATTCCGGGGATATTACGATATTGCCAGAGTACAAGTGGCAAGATTTCACCAAGATTTTGCTGAACCCCAGTCACGATTTCCTTTTGGAGTTTATATGTCGTGGTGCCAAGGCGTCGTGGCCCAAGATCAGCTTGATTGAGAATCATTGTCGGGTCGAGTTTGTTTTGGATAAGGCAATCTCTATTTTGAGAGGGAGAATTGTGACGTCGGGGAATTATCGCTTGACCAATTCGCCAACTGCTATGGCTACGACGACGTCGGCTGGGGGTGGTCACGGTGGTGGCGGTGTGACGAGTGGTAAAGTCAGTTCAAAATTCAATGGTGGTGGCAGTGGCAATGGCAGTGGCAGTGTAAATAAAGGAAACTCGTTGGCATTAATACCGATGGGGTTGAAGGAAAAAGGAGGGAATAGTAATACGAGCAGTGACCACAATGGCAAAGGTAAAGGGAATGGGAATAGTAACGACAACGGCAATGCTAACAGCAAAGTGGACAATGACCCTAAAGTGGGTGCTAATGGGGAGAGCAATGGCGATTCGGACATTGATTTTGATTTTGATGGTGATGTCGATGTTGACCTTGATCTGGATGCAGAAGCGGCCAATGTATCAGTAGCCACTACGCCTCTAGTTACAGCAACACGAACTCCACCACGAGTCTTGCGATCGCTGGAAGAACGGCAAATTAGACAAGGTATACGGAAATCAAAGTCTTCAAACTTGATCAATTCCGTACGGTATTATAGAGACAAGTATGGAGAAGCTGGAGGAGGAGGTGGTGGTGGTGGCATTGGTGTAGGTGAATTTGCGAGTAAAAACAGTGGTAATGATGATGGTGGTGGTGGTGGTGGTGGTGATGCTGCTACTGCTACTGCTACTACTACTACTACTGGTGCACCAGATGGATATGGGCTTGGAGAACGGGCTAATTTACCGTCTAGATCTAGATCGTTGAAGAATTCGTACATTGGATTGAATCGATTGAATGGGGATGATGTATAGAGAGAGAGAGAGAGAGAGGGAAAAGGGGGTTGGTGGTGGTGGTGGTGGTGGTGGTGGTGTAGAAATAAAAACTTCCTGAGTACTAATGTCGCGACAATGAAAGGGGACCCATTCGTATTTTTTTTGTTTTGTTGTTACAGAGTAGAATCAAATGGAACCTCTTGGAAGAATAAAAGGAAAAGGAAAAGGAAAAGGAAAAGGAAAATGAAAAAGTTGTAGAATAAAGTTCCTGTAGTTATTAGTAAATCATGCTTGTCCAGTGTAATGGAGTTGTTGTAAGAAGCCATGATGATGTATGCTTGTGCTTGTATAGATTGTTGTGGTCGTTTTATGTCAGTTGCGTGTACTTTGTATTTGTGTCTAATGTTTTCTAATTTTCCATTCTGCCTCGGTCTAAATCTAAATGAGAACAGATATATTTCTGGTAAAGTATACACGACCTTTCAAGAGCCACAGTGTGATATACTACTTCTAAGGAGATAATCACAGAAAGACACTGTGTGTGATTAGCATATGAAGAGTTGTAGTTAAAATGTTAAGTGAAGAGAAAGAGGATAGGCAATATGCTGCACTAGGGGAGTCTATACTTTCAATTGAGTTATTTGGAATGAGTTAAATCCGGTTGAAAAAAAAAAAAAAAGAACGGTACAACAACCCGATCCCCCGCATTTTTTTTTTTTTCGAAATGTCTATGGTGCACATCCATACACACATATTGAATTATGTACATTTATGCTCGGTTAATTAAAAAAAACAAAAAAAAATATTACAACACACACCTACAACCGACAAATTTACAACACACCTATACAACAGAAACCACAAGCTCAACACCCCATCAGTAGAACACGACATTCGGTAATCTGGATATCTTGCTTACCCATGCTCTAACTCTTTCCACAATTACATGTTGCAAGTGGACTGTTGTAGTAGCTTGTTGTTGTTGTTGTTGTAGTAGTAGTAGCTGCAATTAGGTCCAGTTGTACACTACCTCTTCACTTTTCTTCTTTTCCCTCTTTTGTGAAATTTACTTTTATTTTTCTCTTTTTTTTGTATATGATTTGCCCTCACAACAGCAGATGGTAGCAGTTACAGTAGTATTACATATATATAAATTCTCCCCACACACATACACAAAATATTATTCTTACTTTTTGTCACAAGCAATATACGCAATAAATAACCGTCATAATAATAATAATAATAATAATAATTTTCCGTTTCCTTTAAATACCAATTCAATTTCCCTCTCCCCCTCCCAATTTTACTTTTCACAGTTTTTAACAGTTTAGGTACTTTCTTTTTATCCTACTTTTATACTTATATATAACCTATACATATCCATTTATCATCTACAAGAAAAAAAAATATGTCACAATTGGATTTTAAAGACAAGGTAGTCATCATCACTGGTGCTGGTGGTGGTTTGGGTAGATACTACTCGCTCGAATTCGCTAAAAGGGGGGCCAAAGTTGTCGTCAACGACTTGGGTGGTGCCTTGGACGGTCAAGGTGGAAACTCCAAGGCCGCTGACGTTGTTGTTGACGAAATCAAACGCAATGGTGGTACTGCTGTCGCTGACTACAACAATGTTCTTGCTGGTGACAAGATTGTTGAGACTGCAGTTAAAAACTTTGGTACTGTCCACGTTGTCATCAACAATGCCGGTATCTTGAGGGATGCCTCTTTGAAAAACATGACTGAGCAAAACTTCAAGTTGGTTTTGGATGTCCATTTGAATGGTGCTTATGCCGTCACCAAGGCTGCTTGGCCATATTTCCAAAAACAGAAGTATGGTAGAATTGTCAATACTTCTTCTCCAGCTGGTTTGTACGGTAACTTTGGTCAAACCAACTATTCTGCCGCCAAGTCTGGTTTGATTGGTTTTGCCGAAACTTTGGCCAAGGAAGGTGCCAAGTACAACATTATTGCCAACACCATTGCTCCATTGGCCAGATCCAGAATGACTGAATCCATTATGCCACCACCAATTTTGGAAAAATTGGGTGCTGAAAAAGTTGCTCCTTTGGTTTTGTACTTGTCCCATGCTGACAGTAAAGTTACTGGAGAAATCTTTGAAGTTGCTGCTGGTTTCTTTGCTCAAATTAGATGGGAAAGATCAGGTGGTGCTTTGTTCAAACCAGATGAATCTTTTACTGCTGAGGTTGTTGCCAAGAGATTTGATGAAATTCTCAACTTTGATGACTCCAAGAAGCCGGAATTGTTGAAGAACCAACACCCACACATGTTGAATGATTACTTGTCCTTGACTGAAGCTGCTAGAAAATTGCCAGCCAATGATGCTTCTGGTGCTCCATCTGTTTCATTAAAGGGTAAAGTTGTTTTGATTACCGGTGCTGGTGCTGGCTTGGGTAAGGAATACGCCAAGTGGTTTGGTAGATACGGTGCCAAGGTTGTTGTCAATGATTTCAAAGACGCCACCAAGACTGTTGAAGAAATCAAGGCTGCTGGTGGTGAAGCTCATGCCGATCAACACGATGTTGCTACTCAAGCCGATGCCATCATCAAGAATGTCTTGGACAAGTATGGAACCATTGATGTTCTTGTCAACAATGCTGGTATTTTGAGAGATAGATCGTTTGCCAAGATGACCAAGCAAGAATGGGATTCAGTTCAAGCTGTTCACTTGTTGGCCACTTTTAACTTGACCAGATTGGCCTACCCAATCATGTCGGAAAAGCAATATGGTAGAATTGTCAATATTACTTCAACTTCAGGTATTTACGGAAACTTTGGTCAAGCCAACTATGCCGCTGCCAAGTCTGCCATCTTGGGTTTGTCAAAAACTGTTGCTATTGAAGGTGCCAAGAAGAACATCAAGTGTAACATTGTTGCTCCACATGCCGAAACCGCCATGACCTTGACCGTTTTCAGAGAAGAGGACAAGAACTTGTACCATGCTGATCAAGTTGCTCCATTGTTGGTTTACTTGGCATCTGAAGATGTTCCAGTCACCGGTGAGACTTTTGAAGCTGGTGGTGGATGGATTGGTAACACCAGATGGCAAAGAGCTAAAGGTGCCGTTTCCAAGGATAAGGACACTACTGTTGAGTTTGTTAGAGACCACTTGGCTGAAATCACCAACTTTGACAAGGACACCGAGAATCCAAAGAGTACTCAAGAATCATCCATGGCCATCTTGTCTGCTGTTGGTGGTGATGATGATGACGATGAAGAGGAGGAAGAGGAAGACGAAGGTGATGAAGAAGATCCAGAGGAAGAACAAGAAATTGGTGAACCAGTTTGGAAGTTCGATGACAGAGATGTTATTTTGTACAATATCTCTCTTGGTGCCACCACCAAGGAATTGAAGTACGTTTATGAAAATGACAGTGATTTCCAGGTTATTCCAACATTTGGTCACTTGATCACTTTCAACTCTGGTGAATCGCAATCTTCGTTTGCCAAATACTTGAGAAACTTTAACCCAATGCTTTTGTTGCATGGAGAACACTACTTGAGAGTCCACAAGTGGCCACCACCAACCGAAGGTGAATTGAGAACTAGCTTCCACCCAATCCAAACCACTCAAAAGGGAAGCAATGCCGTTATTGTCCATGGATCTCAATCGGTTGACAACAAGACCCAAGAGCCAATCTACTCCAACGAAGCCACTTATTTCATTAGACAATGTCAAACTGACAACAAGGTGTACAAGGACAGAAGATCATTTGCATCCAACCAATGGACTGCACCAAAGAGAGACCCCGACTACCAAGTCGACGTGCCAATCTCGGAGGACTTGGCTGCATTGTACAGATTGAATGGTGACCGTAACCCATTGCACATTGACCCCAACTTTGCCAAGGGCGCCAAGTTCCCTAAGCCAATCTTGCACGGTATGTGTACTTATGGGTTGAGTGCCAAGGTTTTGATTGACAAGTTTGGTATGTTTGATGAGATCAAGGCTAGATTCACTGGTATTGTGTTCCCTGGTGAGACTTTGAGAGTGCTTGCTTGGAAACAAGGTGATACTGTCATTTTCCAAACTCATGTTGTTGATAGAGGTACCATTGCTATTAACAATGCTGCTATCAAGTTGATTGGCGATAAGGCAAACTTGTAAGTGTGAAAACTTTGCGGTTTTCTTTTTAGCTTTTATTTGTCTAGTTTTTATATATATATATTTACATATATTTGATCTATGTGTTTTTAAGATTTTGAAACGTAGAAGTGCAGTTGCGGAAAGAGGAAGAGGGGGTTTCGTTAAGTGAAAGATTCCATAAAGTGTAACTTCTGTTTAGTTTTTTGCAAATGCAAGTTTAGGGTTGTTTTTGCGTATGTACATACTTCAATCCTCTTCATCATCTTCATCTATGTCATCCACCGAATACACATTGGTGAAGTTGCCAAATACACCACTGCCATTACCAAGACCAGCAACAGATGCAGAATTCGGCTCACTGACACCTCCTGCTCCTACTCCTACTCCTACTCCTACTCCTCCTCCTTGTACGATAGTATCGTTGCTGTTATTACTGCTGCTCTGACTTCGCGTGTGGGCGTAAGCATAATTGCAACCATGCTCCTCCTGCCGCTGACTACACTGATTACGCAGTTGATGGAGTTGATGAAGTTGATCGTCGCTTGGCCACGTGCTCAATCCCGTCCGAGACGCAAGTTGATGATAATGATGCCTTTTGCGACCGTGATGGTAACCTTGGGTATGGTACGGTTCCGGACGACGTTGTGAGTTATTGTCCCCCACAATGTTGAAATCAACGGGGGTATCATTGATGGGATCGTCGTCGTCATCTTCTTCTTCTTTCAACGCCTTGTCGTCATCCTCTCCCTCGTCGTCATCATCACCATCACCGATATCCTCATCCACGTCTTCTTCGTAATCGGTAGTTGCAAATGGAGTGGATACCGGCATTTCCTTATTGGACCGACGCACGACCGTTCCTGATCCCGATGCGGATGTACTTGTTGCCCAATGAGGGCTTTGCAGTAATGATGCATTTTTAGTGAAGCTCACTGATGATCCACTCCTGTCTCGAGCATCCCTAGATCTCGATGTAGTTCTTGTTCTCGTCCTCGATACCGATCGTGATCTCGATTGAGATGCCGATCTTGAATTCAACGGCGATGGAATCGTGGGTGATGTCAGAGTTAGCACGTTGGTGGTTGATTGCGATTTCCTTTGTGGTGGGAGTGGGAATTGAAATGAGGAACTAGTTTGGATGAAGGGTGATTTTGAAGGCGACGGTGAGCCTGTTTGACCCTGTTCATTTGTTTGTGCTTGTTGTGCTGCTGGGGCTGTCGCTAATGCAGCGAGTGACGCTTGCAAAGAACTGGATTTCCGCGATATAGGTCTCAACATTGAAGGAGGCACAGTAGGCAATGACGATGTTGAATTTGACGATAATCGTTTACTTTGAAAATAATCCAGTGCCATCGACAGCGAAGACACCACAGCCGGCGACCTAAACGGAGATGCAATTTCCGAACCGGAGTATGGTTCATTCAATGAGTCCGTAGACAGTGATATGTTTTCCGAAGCAATTGACGACGCTGACGAGTGGATCGAAGACGATGAATAATTTGACAACATTGACAAGTTTGTCGAGCATGAACGACGATGGCGAGATGACGACAGCAGCAGCTGCTGCAGCAACAACAGAGATAGCGACTGTGATGACATGGCACCCTTTTGAGATTGTGAATGATGATGATTGCGAAACGAAGTTGACGGTGGTAAAAAGCTGCGCAATTGATGCTGGTGTGGCTGTTGTGGCTGTGGATGCACATGCACATGCGCGTGCACTTGCAGGTGCAGGCGCAGGTGGTGGTGTTGCAAGCGCAGCGGGTTCTCCTTTTCAACTTCTGCATTAAAGTCGAAATTGGTAAGTAATGGAGAAGTTGCAGGTGACGACGACAATGAGACTATGGATGATGCTGATGATTGAGTGTTATTGCTGTTGCTATGGTGATGATACGTGCTGTTGAATATTGGTTGATCAAAAGTAAAAGTATTGGCTCTAGTCAACTTTGTATTCAAACTAGTACTGATTGATCTTACTTTTGTATTTGAACGTTGACGCTTGATGATTTTACCACCAGAATTGAAATGAGTAAATGAATGCGACGAATTTGACCTTTGATGGTACGACGGTAACAAAGACGACGACGTGTTGAAGAGTTCGCTAGCACCAGTCGACGACAATCCGGTTGATCTTGATGCTGAAGCATTGACAAAAGGATCACCATCTTTATTGTTTCCACCACCAAATATATTAAACGACTTGGCCCGCGTTAACATCTTGCTGTCTTTTCTAACCCGGCTCATATTGGCTGCACATGACACTTCATGCTTGATATCTTTCATCTCCACGTAATTTTGTGGATAACAAAAGGACTTGTACTTTGTGAAAAAAGTCTTGTATCCACCTTCAAGAACAACAATATCGGGCCAGGATAAGTAGGGGTACAGGTTTTGATTCATTGTTCGATCGCACTTGCGGAGATGTTTGGCCATGGTTGGACCTCTGAATATACTAAATTCGCAATGGAAAATAAGCAACTTTTTCTTGCTATTCTCCTTGTTCAATGAGGAGTTTGAAAGGTTGCTGCCCATTTGTTGAGGATGGTGTTGCTGGCGCTCATGTATTTCAGACTGCAGCAGGCTACATGGCTTGATAAACTCATTCTCCAATGCTTCTTTGGTTGATATATTCACTGCATTGATTATATGACCCCCATGATATTCATAGTCAAATCGGCAATCGACAATAACAAACTCGTCAAACTCATGGTTGTGTTCCCCACAAAGAATCTTGTATAATTGATCTTCGTTGATACGAGGCAACACGTCATTGCCCAGACTAAATGTTTGTATATTGGTGTTTTTCAACTGTGAATTGTCTTCGTGTAGCTGGAAATTGTCAATTTCGCGTTGCGTTTCACAAACAGAGTGAATGCGTCGTATACCACTGGGTCTAGTCGTAGTTGGAGGTGGTCTAGCCATTGCACGTGTAGGCAGTCGTAACCACACTTCATAATCATGCATGTTGAGGTGGTGGCGGAAGCGGTCTTCTTCTTCTTCATTCTGTTGCTCTAGTCCTTGATTTAATTGTATGCTATTAGTTTTTCTATGCATTACTGGTGATTCAATGTTTATGGTGTCAAAAGTTGCGTCTCCTTCTTCATAATCGGAATCATCCTTAGCCTCCGCCCCTTCCTCTTGTGCGTCGTTATTTTCGGAATCACAATCGGTAGGTATATTTTCATCTACATCGTCGTATGTCGATGTGCATTCAGTGACTTTTGGAGTCATGTGCAAATTGGCAAGAAATGAATGTGAAGATTTGGCGACTGCTTCAGTCATTGATTTAGTGAAAGCTTTGGTCTTCTCCTTTACATTAAGGGGAAAATTGGTCAAGCTCTTTAACGGTGTCCTATTTTGATGCATTGAAGGTGACCCCGATGAAGAGGTCGAGTAATTGGAAAATGGTGAATTTGAAGTCTTTTGTTGCAAAAACAATCTCTTCGTGGAGTTTGAAGATGATCTTGTTGGTGTGGTACTGAGTGTATTATGGTGATGGTTATTCCCAGAGTGTATCAGTTTAGCACTATTCAGATCAAACTTGTCGCTGTAGCCATCCCTCTCAATGTCCATCTCGTCGCTTTCTCTAGAAGATAATGAGCTCAAACTCTGCTGGTGTGTATGCGGTAGCAGACGCTCTTTCCTCTGAAGCCGAAGCTGGTTATGCGTTTGAGACGAGTCGCTCAAATTTATAGATGCTGAAGAGGATGCCGTTTTTAAGGAGCTGGTCAGGGAATGTAGTTTATCATTCTGATGTTGCATTTTCCTTGTATGTGGATTGCGTGTAATGATTTCACGTTGATCTACTCTTCGATCTTTCCTTGTATGCAAGTCTTGTCTGTCTCCGCCTTTGTCAATGGATATAACCTCCTTATCACCTGATTAGCACAAATTGTCAATGAGTGGTGGTAAATAATAATGAAAGTACAAATCGGCTGTGAGTAGTAGTTGATCCAAAGTGCAAATAATAATGCTTTTGCAACGATCTATTATTATAATTGTGATATCACCCTAGGAACAAAGACAAGCGTCGCCTTCAATTAAGGGTTGGCGGATAAGGTGAGATCTTTAGTGGAGCAGGCTACCGTGAGAAATTGCAACAAACTGTTGAAATGAGGGAGAAGTTTGAGGAAGCGGAATGTAGTGTAGTCTATTATGGCTTGGTTTGAGTGGTTGTAGAAGTGTCTGAAGGTCTTTGTGAAAAACGACTTGGGCCAATGATTTCTTCCTCTAAAAAGCCCCAAGTAACTACCCAATTCTATTCGAATATTTGATGTAAAGATTGGTAAGATGCTAAGTTAGTTTGGCTTAGTTTGGTAGAAATGTATGGGTTGCACCGTGGTGATAAGTGAGCGTAAAATAATATCTGTGATTATAATAAACTGGTTGGTTGGTTGGTTGGTTGGTTGTTTATTATTATTATTAATATTGATGTTTTTGGTTCTGTTTTGGTGTTTCATATTTTCTTTGTTTTTGTTTTTGTTCTGTGTTTCACGTTTCATATGTTCTTTCATTCACAACCCATTAGTAACAACTGTGATGAACTACAGTATACATTATTAGACACTACTTCTAGTATAATACACTATATTCAACACTGGCTTACTTATTTGCTTACTTGCTACAGCTGGGGATGATGTGGTTTCAGTTGTTTGTACAAATGTCTCTAATTTTGACCTTTTCCCTACGCGACTGACTCTTTTCTTGTCTCTGCAAAGACAACTGTAACATAATCGTTGACGGGGTAAAGAGGCAGAAGGGAGAGGGGGCATACAAAAGTGTAGATTGAATTTATCTATGCCATTTATTAGATAACTCCCGTTCGAAAACTCGTTAGCAGTTGTTAAGTTGTATGTGCTTTAACTCACTCTTCTAAACATTTTCCTGTCACGTGCCTATAGCGTGACATCACTGGCGATTTCTATTTTTGTATGGAGTGGCATACAGAATACTAATATGTAAACACAATACATTAGCCGAGGAGTTGTTACTGATTTACACCACAACAACGGCCACTAAGCTGTCACTAAGATATTGCTACAACCATCTTCTGCACATCGTGATCCCTATCGTGCTCATTCAGCTTCTTTCCTGTCCATTCATTCGACCAAAGGACTTGTCCATAAAATACTCACCTCAGCCACGTCAAATGAAGTTTAAGACTCTGGTACTACTACTCTAACTACCACGATAACGCGCTTAATAACCCCACACTGTCCTTTTTCACACGAGTATATAATGGACTATGATAAACTACTGATCGTACTAGATCTAAAAACGGGCAAGAAAGTCATCAACAACAAGTATAGAATACTAAAGAAGATTGGCCAAGGACAATATGGCAAAGTATTACTCGGACAAGTATTGGACGACCCCGTCAAGCCCATAACGGAGTCCACTGTGCGCAAACACTCAACGTTGAATGATGCAGCTATGACTACGTCCCCAGTGCCAACAGCACTGGTCACCTATGTAGCCATCAAAACCATTAACCGTGTCGATAAAGCTAAACTAATTACAAAATCCTACATCAGTAATGTCACCAAAATCAAAAAAGAAATCAAGATCTTGAAACAATGCAAACATCCCAATGTTGTCAAACTATATTCTGTCATTGATGATACCCATTTCGATAAGATCCTCCTCATATTGGAATACTGTAAATATGGAGAAATCGATTGGAAGCACTATAATCACTATTATGAAAAGTACACCTCGCATGAGAATAGATCTGCACTCAACTTGAACAAGATTCTCCGAGATATTGTAAATGGGTTGGAATACCTTCATCTGTACAAACACATTATTCATCGAGATTTAAAACCACTGAATTTACTTATCGATGAGTACAACAATATCAAGATATCTGATTTTGGAGTGAGCTTAATCTTGGAAAACACGGTACAGGATACCAAGGAATTGGCAAACACAATGGGTACCCCAGCATTTTATGCACCTGAACTATGTCAATTTGTCAAAAACCGATTTTCAATGATTACAAACGAAAACCATCAATTCAATAAGATCAAAATAGACTATCGAATAGATATTTGGAGTTTGGGGGTTACACTATATTGCTTGATGTTTAACAATCTACCGTTTAATGGTCTCAATGAGTTTGATATATGCAAAAAGATTGTTGACTCTGAATTGAAGTTTCCACAAATAAAACATACTTCAAGAGTCACTGATTCAGACGTCGAAGAATTAAAATTGGTTAAAGATTTGATAAGGCAATTGTTGCAGAAAGACCCAAACAAGAGAATATCTCTAAATGGAGTTAAACATCACAAGTTCACCACTTTTGATTTGAATGATCTGCAACGGGAGAAATTTCTCAAGTTTAACCAAGCCATTTTCAAAGATGAAGATTGCAAACGGAAGTTGAACGACGGGAAGGGTGCACGTGGACAAGAACAGCAACTGCAGTCACAGCAGAGTAATGTTGGATTATCGACAAAACTACGAAATTTTTTCAAGGGTAATACCAACAACTCGAAACCCCTTGTTGCTCCCTCCACAGTGCCAAGTAAGAAAGAACAGTCAAAAGAGCCACTCGCACATGATTCAGAAACCAAGCGACCTAATTTGCCTGATCTACACCATGTTGACGACTTGCTCGATTCATATTTTGACGATTCATCCTCATTGGGCTCTGTAGGAGATGTGGACGAAGATCCGATTGATACATCAAACATTCTCGGCGAGATCACAAATGGTGAAGTGAAGAGCAAAAGTGCAGACTCTAGTCTCAAACATCTACCGCAACCATTGGTACTCAAGCCGCTAACATTAAAGGACCCAAATAGTGTTGCTCCTTCTCCTGCGAAATCACTGAGCTACAACGCTTCACTCCCAGTCACTCCAAGTAGTAGCTACCACCATTCCTTGACTCCAACAAATGACTTGTTTGCCACAATTGGTCAAACATCTCCTAGCCAAATCAATGCGAATGGACCTGTGTTTAGTCCAAGCAAACGATTTTTTGATAGACAACAACAGCAACTGCAGCAATTGCCGCAGCATCTGCAACAACCATCGTTGAAATCGTTGTCTGCTGAATGTGATTTCGTAATTGAACCCCCATCGGTGTTCAATCGCAACAATGGGTCAAACGTAGGCAATACTTTCACTAATACCAGCAACACTAGTTCCAATAATACTGCTACTGGTGGCTCTGACAGAAGAAACAGTTCGGAACGACCGAGACCACCATATGGACTCTCCCGAATCCCCAGTTCATCTAGTTCATTGAACCTACATGCATACTTTACTGATGACTGCGACTCAATTGAATCATCACACTCGATCACTTCCACACATTCATCGTCATTGAAATACAATTTGAAATCTGCAAAAGATAGAAATAAGGATCAAGATGGGGCCTCAAAAGTGCATCAGATTGCAAACAGCTCACATGCAAGTGTAAGCAAGTTGAATGGGGGTTCTGGTGTTGGAGATTACAGCAGTGGAAAAGCTCAAGAGAAGAAAGGTCATGATGTTGGAGATGGCGAAGGCGACGAAGGTGACTCGACGTTCTATTTAGGCAACGATGAGACTGGCGTTTTTGAAAAGTATCAAGACTTGAGCACATACTTGGATAATCTTGAGTGAGGAGTTAGATGTAGCTGGGACTGTCTAGGTAGAGTCACAGGAACTTGTGAAGGAGATGATCCTAGATGATTATACAGATGAATAGAGACTCGAGTAAAATTTGATACGATAGATGTTGATATGTGTTATATCACGTGCGTTTTGTCACGTGCGTGTGTGTATAGTGGCGAATATTGTCTACTTCTCGACGTCCCCTTCAATTAGACCAGTATAAAAGACAACGGTTCCATATGATATTCTTTTTCTTTGTATGTATTTGCCTTAAGTGTCAAAGATTGTGGTGTCGTACGCTGAATTTTACACTCTCGTGATTGACAAGTGTGCAGTTTTTGAACAAAATACGGGGTAAATTTCTTACACTTTTTCTTCACCACACACCATCCAACACCAACACATTAACCACTTCAAATCCACAGTTGAGCAACATCACTGATGTGGTGCAAATTGTCTTTCACAGACTAACCGTTCCTGCACTCGTCATTCCAAACTACATACTCTTTACGATGTATTGCAATGTGTGCTGCAAAAAATCGAGTTCGCACAAGCTAGACACAGGAGGGACACGAAACAGGCACACAGGACTAATCGTATCCATAAATGCATGCTTGTCTGTTGCTAATAGAGTCAGAAGTGAGCACAAGATAAAGACAGCCATGGTTTTCAAAGAGTCTTGCTTCACTACAATGCCAACGATTCGGAAGTGACTAGTTTACTCAGATAATATAGTTTAGATTCATCACATCAATTCAATAACGTACCTATACAGCCTATGTACGATACTTACCAGTCAACTCTCATAATTAACACTCCTACCCTCAATTCAAGTCACTCATTCTTCTTTCTGGTAGTTTTCCGTAATAAGTGCTCTGTTTTTCCCCCGAAACATATCAAAATTTCAAACCACAAATACACATCATAAAAGAATTCCCCCTTTTCCTCCTCTTCCTCCCCCTTTTCCTCTTCTTCTTCCTCCTCCTTTCCCTTTCTTCTTCTTCTTCTTNATGTACGATACGTACCAGTCAACTCTCATAATCAACACTCCTACCCTCAATTCAAATCACTCATTCTTCTTCCTGGTAGTTTTCTGTAATAAGTGCTCTGTTTTCCCCCCCGAAGCATATCAAAATTTCAGTCCACAAATACATATCATAACAGAATTCCCCCTTTTCCTCTTCTTCTTCCTCTTCTTCTTCTCCTTCTTCTTCTTCTTCTTCTTCTTCTCCTCATCATCATGTCACCCCAATACGCCGCTACTAAGCGCACACGTAGCCTGCGTATTATCGTTACTCGCCACTCAGTGGATAAAATGAAAATGTTCACAATCATGACGAGTAGTAAACCAGTCCCAGTTGCAAATGCAACTAACCAATTGGTCCCGGATCACTCCAAGTCCGAGACTAATGATGATCACCACCACCACCAACACCATCACCCCAATCACCACCACGAACACCACGAACACCACCACGAACACCAACACCCCAATCACCACCACCAACACCCCAATCACCACCACCACCACCACCAAGACCAAAACCACCATGTGAACAACGAGATACAAAATGAGAAAGTTTTCGAGCAACACATCACCTCGAATTCGAAAACTGAGATGTTTGAAGTTCATGTTGATGAATCTGTCCCAATGGAAGCAAAAGAGGATAGATCTAGCCAAGTAGTTGACAAGTCCGTGCCTGAGTATGCAGACCTGGTTGAAATTGGACGTCAGAAGGAGGACAATAGTCAGGTCGACCCTTTGGTTAGAGAGTTAGATGAGCTATTTGCTTATTTTGAAGCAGAAGCCGGGTGGAGCGGCCGTGTACCTAACNTTGAAATTGGACGTCAGAAGGAAGACAATAGTCAGGTCGACCCTTTGGTTAGAGAATTAGATGAGCTACTTGCTTATTTTGAAGCAGAAGCCGGGTGGAGCGGTCGGGTACCTGACGAAGCCGATCTCAACGCAGTTGAAGTAGATGAAGACGACACTCCTATCGCGCCATTGAGAATCAAGAAGCACAAGCCAGTTGCACCAGTTGCAGCGATTGAAAAGGGCGGTCCGATTGCGCCATCGGAGCTAACTGACAGTGCAGCATTTGAAGCTATTTCTGAAGCGCCATTGAGTGTGGCGAGGAGTCCAGTGCATAAGATTNCGCCATCGGAGCTAACTGACAGTGCAGCATTTGAAGCTATTTCTGAAGCGCCATTGAGTGTGGCGAGGAGTCCAGTGCATAAGATTGTTGAGTTGGCTGTGCCGGAAGTAACCGATTCTGTCGATGTTGAACAGGAAAAAAAAAGGGGATTAGCTTCTGCGGCTTTAGATTTATGTCACTCCGGCACAAATAGATCATGTGAAACAAACTGGGTGTATTATGTTTTTGCTAGTGGCAGAGTACTGTCGTTAACTCCATGAGTATACGAAACAAAACTAAAAAGGGACCGCAAGCGAATCGATTTTCTGACAAGCTCCAACAGTCCCTAGTTGTGGCGTTACCAGTATCTGTTCAGTGTGCAACGTCGTCCAAAATTCTTGTGGCATCCTTGTCACCATTAAAGCAGCAATGCTCACCATGGGCAATGTGTTCGAGAAAACGGGTAGTACTATCATGCTTTTGTTAGCGATGGTCATATGTTTTCATCTAAATGCTTCTAGTAACAACCTTCCACTTTACAGAGCGGAGTTATGATGTGGAATACTGCAGTCGGACGAAGGAACATATGGCAGGTCAAGAGCAACTCCACCAATCCGCTCTAAACTTTGTGACCGAATCCATTCATACACTACCCTGTTTGTAATAAAAGCATTATCCGGCCCTTTTTTGTGCTTTTGCAATTGAAATCGCCAGATACACTACTCTCAATGAACATCTTTGATGACAACCTCTTTGAACTTACCGTGGGAACCACGTTCTTCCAAACCTGTAACTATCAGACTTCCAACCGTTTATCACATACCTCTCTACAGGACAAGTACCGACCAAAAGCTCTCGATATGACTTGTTCATATAGAGCATTTGATGAATATGCTGAGATTGATAACAATGTTCGGTCCGAATAATATCTTGTATAATCAGGCTCATTTCCGGTACCTTGAGCAATTTTGGAACAGGTACCAGAGATGTTCAGTCAGCTAAAAAGCACACATACATAGCGACCGTTTAAAGCAAGTTAATAGGTCTTGTTGTTGTCAAACAGTGCGAGCTCCCTTTTGGTAGAAAAACTGCAAAACGCAAAGATTTCGAATGCGCTACCAAAGTTTTACGACAAACGATGGATGACGAGAATCAAGAATATGTAAAAACTGACTTTTGTGATTGTTACCTACAGTCGCAACCCCTTAGCAACAAACACCAGTCGGTTAGAAGGTTGAATGTTGATTTATTCTATCTATAGACCACCACCGAAGCTCAAATCCACAGACGTTACAAGGAACTAGGGAATACACTCGGTTTTTTTAGCAAACCCCAATATTCCGCCGTCCAAACTCCGTCCAAATTCGGTCCCTTGCACAATCCCCAACGCTGCGTCGATCTACGCATACCTAGAACACAAGTGACAGAATCGCTTTCCAAATTGTGGTTTAGAACTGGCCCATTCAAGCTAAGCATTTGCTTGTTATTCTTCCTGGTGCTTATGATATTGGTACCGAGATCACTTCATATAACTAAAATCATATCCTTCTCACCAGTGCGCAGCTTGTCATACACAACAATGAATTTCAATAATTATGACGCCATGAAGTACCGCCAGTGGGTTGCTCTTGATCGGGATGAGCCGCCAGCGAATGACTCGAGCAAACTATCAATAATGACATATAATCTTTTGTCAAGGCATTATATATGGAAGAACGTATACGACAAGGTGGACAAATTGCATTTAGACTGGGAGCGGCACCGTTTCCCTTTAATTAACAAGACAATTGAGCAATTTAGTTGTGATATTATGTGCTTTCAAGAAATGGAGTATTACATATACAAGACATTTTGGGGTGAACAGTTCCCCAGTTACAAGTACAAAAGTTTCTACATTCAAAAGCAATGTCCACTGAATTTGAACTTTTTCAAGAATGAAAAATTGGATGGAGTTGGTATTTTTGTGAATACGGAAAGATTTGACGTCATGGAGCAGCTAAAAATCAACTACGGTGAAGAAGTTCTAAAGCAGCGATCCAAATACAAGTTGACTTCCGATTGGCTCCAACGGGTCATCGCTAGGAACACTGTGGCTTTGATCCTTAAGCTCTATGACAAACGCACTGACAAAATATACTATGTGTCCAATACGCATTTATATTGGTCGCCGGATTACAATGACGTCAAGGTACTTCAAATCAAGATTTTATTGAATAAGCTACAGCAATTTAGAAAGGAACATGACTCGTCAATTATTCTCCTAGGTGATTTAAACTCCAATTTTGATTCAGATGTGGTCAATTTGCTTTCTGGACGTACCATTGATACCTTATCGTCGCCCACCTTCAAACATCGGAAATATGGAGTCAATAACCCATTAATTGACCCAGACGGACGAATCAACAATCCTTTTAATCTACGCAACGTCTACCAGAGTCTACATAGCTCGAATAATTTACCATTTACGAGCTATGTCACTCGTTTTGCTGATGTTTTAGACCATGTGTTTGTAAGTGATGATGTTTCGGTTGACAAGTTGTTGGGCCAGGTTGATCCTGTTTACTGTAATCTGGATGATGTTACCGGGTTCCCCAATTCCCAATTCCCCTCTGACCATATCCCGTTGGTGGTGGAGGTATCACACAAATGAGAATCACGTCGTTATCCTTTATTTATATATTTATTTTGAATAGAGAGTTGGCTTATGTAGATGCATCATACGTGTTCCTCTCATGTGTTCATAACAGTAATTTCTAACTCTGTTGTTCCTTTCTTTGTTCGTGTCGTTGGGGTCAGTTGCAACTTTAGCCACCAAAGTCGTGTGGCATTACAAAAGATCTGATTGATGATGAACAAATAAAAAAAAAAAAAAAAGAAAAACAAAATTTCAACAATCGAACTTTCTTAACCAAGAATACAAGATCATCATATTGCATCCATCAATCATATACATATGAACATATTTTGGTTGCATGATATTAACGACTTTACAACCATCCTATCCAGACACTCCACACATTCTACAAAAGCCATCCTTCAAGTGAACGTCGAAAGAGAAGAATCAGAGTGGAAATTACAACCTCAGAGAAAGTTGTGCCGAAGGCAACCAATTTTGAAGAACTCCACAACGCTTGCTTAAAGGAAAGAAACATATCTATTACATTGAATAATGAACCTCGCAAATAAATTTCAACAGAATCAAGGCCAACAACCACAGTCAAATCTTCAAGCACAACAAATTTTATCACAACAACTTCACCAAGGGCAATCTCATCCACAACAACAACAACAACAACCACAGCAGCAACAACAAATCACATCTAATGGGCTCGGTACTGGATTTCAACCAAATGATAATTTCAATGACAATTTGAATGGATTGTATCAAAACAATTTTCTGCGAGGCCAACCCAATTTACAACAACTGTATTTCCCCCAATTTCAACAAAATCAACAGAAACAGACGGCTGCTAACAGTCACAATATTGGCAGCGGCGTATCTCAGCTACAACAACCATTCCAAGCAAATCATCTACCACGGCAAGTCCCGCATCTTCAACAACAATTCTACAATCAACAACAAACGACAGCGGCACTCCAAAAGCAGCAGCAACAGCAGCCACCCAACCTACTTCAGTCTCAGCAGGTTCAGTTACAAGGGTCTCAACTACAAGCACCCATTCAAAAGACCAATAGTTTGCATGTTGACAACCCCAAAGCTCTTTTTTGGCAGCACCAGCAGCAGTTGTGCCAAATTTCTAGGTCCTCGAATGATCCACATAACTATGCACGGCAATATGCGTCAAACTCGAGGAAGTTGAAAAATCCATATGCTGAAGCAAAGCCCATTGGACTCATTGAGGCGACGAAAGTGATTGTCGCAAGCATCGAAGAGGAAGAGCAGAAAAGGAAGTTTGCAGCCAAGGATCCAACCAGTGCAGCATTGTTGCACAATAAAAAAGTTACTCAGAGCCTTGACGACGATTCGATGGAGGAGCAAAGAATGCGATTGAAAACTCAAGGTCGTCAATTATGGTGTCAGCTTGATCTTAGTGGACAAGGGTTGGTGAATCTTTCGCCCAAGTTGTTCCACTATGATTTTTTGGAGTCATTGTATTTGAATAATAACAAATTGACAAGTATACCTGCAGATATAAGCAAGTTGAGAAGTTTGCGAACTCTAGACTTGTCACACAACAGACTTAATGAATTGCCACCTGAGCTTGGATTGTGTTTCAATTTGAGGTACTTGTACCTTTTTGACAATAACATCAAAACCTTGCCATCCTCGTTCGGTAACTTGTTTGAACTCCAATTCATTGGAGTAGAAGGAAATCCACTTGACTTGAGTATTGCCAACTTGATTGCTGAAAAGGGCACCAAGGAATTGATTGCTGCTCTTAGAGATCAAAAGACAAACATACAAATACCCGAACCACGCCATTGGTTGCAAGTTGAAGAAGATGGAGAGGTTGTTGATACCAAGGAGCCCTATAAACAGGTTGAAAGCTCGGGCTCAACATTCACATTAATGTCATACAACACTTTATGTCAGCACTATGCTACAGCAAAGATGTACAAGTTTACTCCTTCATGGGCTTTAGAATGGGATTACAGAAGGAGTTTACTAGAAAAGGAGATTTTGAGCTACAGTACGGATATCATTTGTATGCAAGAAGTTGAAACTAGGACGTACATGGAGTTTTGGGCACCCTTGTTAGCTCAGAAGGGATACAAAGGGTTTTTTCACTGTAAAACAAGGGCAAGGACTATGTCTAATGACAGTGACCAGAAAAAGGTTGATGGGTGTGCCACCTTTTACAAAGTGGATAAGTTTACCTTGGTGCATAAACATAACTTTGAGTACAGCGGTGCTTGTATGGGATCTGACAAGTATAAGAAGACCGAGGATTATTTCACCAGGTTTTTGAATAAAGACAATATTGCTTTGATTTCCTTTTTGGAGCACAAGGAGACAAAGGAAAAGATTTGTTTTGTCAACACTCATTTGCACTGGGACCCGGCATTCAATGATGTCAAGGCATTACAGATTGGAGTTCTTTTGGAGGAATTACAAGGTTTCATTAAAAGATATCAACAAGCCTCTTCGATGGAAGACCTCAAAAAGGCACCTATTGTCATTTCTGGTGATTTCAATTCTGTCAAACAATCTGCTGTGTATCAATTATTCTCGACTGGGTCTTCGAAGGATCATTTTGATTTAGCAGGTAAGGATTATGGTACCTTCACCGAGCATGGGTTCCATCATCCATTCAAATTAAAGTCTGCTTATGATGCTGTTGGCGAATTACCTTTCACGAACTTGTCACCCTCATTCACTGACAATATTGATTATATATGGTACTCAACTTCGAAGTTACAGGTGAGAGGATTATTGGGTGAGGTCGATAAGAAGTATGTATCACATTGTATTGGATTCCCAGATCCAAATTTCCCATCGGATCATGTACCTATATTAGCCAAATTTCAAATAAAGAAATAAGTATTTTTAGAAAGGAGGAGTAGAATGGTGGAGGAGGGCAATTGGTGTTGGTTTGCGGTTTGTAGAGATAGAGTGAGATTGCGTGACGACGTTTGAGTTTTGTAGTATCATCAATGTACAATTAAGAGGCACGTTTTCTTTCTTCGGAGTTCCAAGTTGAAAAAGAGGATTCTCGGAAGAATTGAAAAAAAAAAAANAAAAAAAAAAAAAAGAATAAAAAAGAAGTTAAAGTTGAATACATACAACGTATATCTAATCTGCAATTCCGTCCAAGTTTAGGTTTTTTTCGGAAAAAAAGATTCTTTTCTAGTTGAAGAGTGTGTGACAGTGACACTACTTCAAACAGAATAAACAATGACTACCGGCTCACTTTTAATCCCTACGGAGAATGATTACTTGGACGCCCATGCAGGACAAGAGCAACAACAACAATACCAACAACTCTGGCAAACGAAATTGAAAAATAAAACTAACCCACATGGCCAATTGGAGTTCCCATGGGATTTCGAGCCTGTGCAAGGGTTTTTCAAACAAAGTGATCCAGCCACAGATGATGCTGTTTTCAATTATGCTACTGATCGTATGGGAAGGTTGGCAAGTTGGAAGGACATTATTCAACAATTGATTCAGTTGAATCAAGAAGCTCCCGACAACGTTGAATATAAGCTTTTGTTCCTTGCTAGACATGGGAACGGATATCACAATCAAGTCGTGGAGGCTTATGGGTTAGATCGCTGGAATAAGGAATTGCATAAACTTGGCAAGATTGATGGAATTGAGTACGGACCTGATCCACAGTTGACACCTTTAGGAATGGCACAGGCTGAAGAGAATCATCGGTTGTGGCAGCAGGAATTGAAGGAAGGCGCACCTGTTCCTTCTAAATTCTTTGTTTCACCTTTGCAAAGATCGTGCAAGACTTTGCAAATCACTTGGAATGACTTGAAACCAAGAGACAAAGTGCCTTATGTTGATGAATTGATTAGAGAAACCATTGGAAGGAACTTGTGTGATAAGAGATCTCCAAAGCGGGTCATCAAGGAAAGATTCCCCGAATTCAACACTGATGGAGTTGTGGACGAAGAGGATGTATTATACCATGATGACGAAAGAGAGTCTATGGTTGATCAATCCATCAGAATCAATAAGTTTTTGCAAAAGTTGTTCGAACTGGATTACAACTTGAAAGCTGGCAAAGTAGACAAACATTTAGCGGAGGATCATATTTTCATAGCCACTTATTCACATGCTGGAACCATTCGAAGTTTTATCAATGTGTTGGGTCATCGAAACTTTACAATTTCTACCGGCGGGATGCTTCCTGTTGTTGTGAAAGGTACCCGGAGAAGTTGATTGGTGGGATCGATTGCGGTTGGAAGAAATGTATTTAGACATTTATAGAGGACATAGATGTGTGTTTTTCTTGGATCAACTGGCATCAAAGAGTGTTGTGTAGATTCATCATGGCTTTGGAGTAATGATCTAGTCTTCACTGAAAAGGCATTGACGGCGACATGGTGTAAGGTGCTTGTCTCACAACAAGAGAAGGTTCTTAGTCAGTTTTCCCACAACATCGTAGCAAATATATATAAAAAAAAAAGGGAGGACTTCTTTCAAAGGTTAGTTCAGCATTTGCTATCATTATGTCTTGCTCAACATTATTGCTATGATATTAAGCTTTTCCTTTGCAACATATGTCAATCTTTGTGTTTTGAAGGGTTTTTGTGCGTTATTGGGTCTGTTTCTACTTTAATTTGGTTTTTTTTTCTTTTTTTTTGTTGCTGTTAAAGTATTGCCTGATTAGGAATTCCGCTGGAGTTAGTAATAGCTTCTATAGCGGGTATATAACAGCAGTACTGTATTGAAGTGAAACACCAAATCTGCTATCTCATCTCAAACACCAAACCTCTGTTATTTCACCGCACTCTGTTAAGAGTTCCAACAATCTAGAAATATCAGGAGAACCATGACAAATGAGATCAACAAAAAGACAAGTAAGATTAGCAAGTGCTTACGTCATGTTGTCTTTCAACACTCTTTTCTTTTGCCAAGGACACCCACTCACTTTCCTTTCCCCTACTACAAAATTTTCTTTGGCTATCAGTGGCATTGCTATTACCGAACACATAGACTTATATCACACTTGAAAATACTTTTGTTTTATTATCTCTTCCTTCTTGTTTTCTTTTTTCTCGGCTTATTTTTGACTTGTACTAATCTCCGCATTGTACTATAAATACAAAGCATCCGCCACAACAAACAAAGTTTGCACCAACAAAGATCTGTTACTAGACAGATCGTTGCTACGAAGTTACGCTCTTACACGCAGCAGCAGTATTAGTCTGATCACTTTTAGATGAAAGTTTGTCACGTTCTTTGCGCATCAGCTGCAATTTTTGCCCATGCGCAAGCAATATGGCCATTCGATTCAGGCTCTTCAACTACAAGCAGCGACTCGACAGAAACAAGCACGCCTACAGATGGCGGCGAATCATGGATCCAGTCAGTGGTGGGAAACTTTGCGGGGGGAAGTAGTAGCCAAACTAGCAGTACAAATGCAGCTGCTTCAACTGGAGGTTCCAATCCTTATGCACCTTACAACACCACGTGCCCTTCAGGTTCTTTAACACGAGAGGCAAATGATTTATCCGATTTGGAAAAGAACTACATCAAGCAAAGGCAAGAGATCACCAACAAAAATTTAATCAATTTTTTAAAAAACAAATCAAATTTGACCGACTTTGATCCCGAGTCGTTCATAAACAACAATGCTCAGGAGCATAATATAACTATCGGATTAGCATTTAGTGGTGGTGGATATAGAGCTATGTTATGTGGAGCAGGACAGCTACTAGCAACCGATGACAGGTTTGAAGATGCCAATGAACATGGTGTCGGTGGGTTACTTCAGTCAGCGACTTACCTCACAGGTCTCTCTGGTGGTAACTGGCTTGTTGGTAGTTTGGTCATGAACAATTGGCTCTCAGTGGCGGAAATCGTTAATGGAAGCTCATCAATCTGGCAACTCGAGGATTCGATATTGAACCCTAGTGGAATACGTATCGACAAAACAATTGCATACTATTACGGTCTACAAGAAGCTGTCGATGCAAAGGATAGCGCTGGATTTGATACCACAATCACTGACATCTGGGGACGAGCCTTGTCTTATCAGTTTTTCCCTGATCCAAGCGGTGGAGAAAATATCACCTGGTCCAGTGTTCGCAACATGTCGCATTTTGAGGACCATTCCATGCCTTACTTTTTGGTAGTTAGCAATGCTAGAAAACCAGGCGACTTGATCATTAATGAAAACAGTACTGTCGTGGAAATTTCTGCTTATGAGTTGGGTCTGTGGGATCCGTCACTAAAGGCATTCACCGATGTAGAATATTTGGGCTCAGCAGTGGATTCGGGCACCCCAAATAACACCAATGTGTGTGTACGGAATTTCGACAACGCAGGTTTCATAATGGGAACCTCATCATCATTATTTAACCAAGTTTTGCTTCAATTAGGAAACTATGATATCAACAGTGTTATTAAAACAATTTTGACTGGACTTTTGTCTCGAATCAGTAACGCCGAGTGGGATATAGCTTCATACGAACCAAATCCATTTTTGGGACAACAAAGTGGGGAATCTGTTGCCATGGTTAGTAATGAGACATTGTATTTGGTTGATGGGGGTGAAGATTTGCAGAATGTTCCATTCTATCCCTTGATACAAAACACTCGTGATGTTGATGTGATTTTCGCATTCGACAACTCGGCCGACACCAACGAATCCTGGCCAAATGCAACATCGATTATCCTGACATACAAAAGACAATTTGCTGACCAAGGTAAAGGAACACCATTTCCTTTTGTTCCTGACGTCGACAGGTTTCTTGAAGAGGACTTGTCTTCTAAACCGGTCTTTTTTGGTTGCAACGCGTCAGATTTGGATGCGTTGGTGAAATGGCACAACAATAGCAACATCAATACCACTGATGTCCCATTGGTGGTGTATGTGTCAAACCACCATCAGTCGTACTACTCTAATTTTTCCACTTTCAAGTTATCTTACGATGACGCTGAGAAATTTGGCACCATCAGAAATGGGTTTGAAGTCATGTCAAGAAACAATTTGACTGATGATAGCAACTGGTTGACATGTGTTGGGTGTGCCATTATACGAAGACAACAAGAGAGATTTGGACAAGAGCAAAGTGATGAGTGTAAGAAATGCTTTCAAGAATATTGTTGGAGCGGAGGAGTGAGACAGGCTGTTGCTGTTAGCAGTGCCAGTGGATTGAGTGCAATCACAGGACTACAAACATCGTCGCTGGCATCCACGTCTTCTACAAAAACATCATCGGACTCCACCTCAACTACACCCTCGGGAAGCGAAACCACCTCTTCCGGAAGCTCCTCGTCATCATCAGAGAAAAACAACAATGGAGTGCTTAGCGTAGGACAACCGTCAATTTTCTTCTTCTTAGGCAATTTGTTATTAACTGCATTGGCTTATTAAGCCTATTCGTTAAAATTTCTAATAGACTAATTTGCGTGAACAATTGTGTAGATTTCTGCTCTTCGGTTTGTAATCTCATCACGACGAGAAAAAAAAAAAAAAAAAATAACAGAGATGCAAAATGTCAACTTAAATACACTTCCTAGTTAGTTCCACCATCGAAGAAACCTCTGCTACATCACAATGGTGAAGTCTTATAATCGTTATGATGAAGAGAAGTGTTTTGGAGTCATTACTTCGCACTCAAATATCATTTGGCTTCCTCCTAGCGACTCCCAGTCATCTACATCTGTGGGAAGAGCATTGACATCGGGGTTGGAAGAAATTCTTATTTGGGACATCAAAACTGGGGAGTTGCTACAGCGGTTGAATGACGGACTCACTCCAGGTGCCTCTAATGCCAGTACTACTACCGCTCCTAGTCCGGTTTCGCATTTGGCTTACCATAAAGACACAAATTTGATCGCAGCTGGCTACTCCGATGGGAAAATTAAGATTTGGGATGCAAGCTCTCAATCTGTACTAATGACATTCGAGGGGCACAAGTCGAGCGTGTCAGTGCTAAAATTTGATGCGAGCGGAACCAGACTAGTCAGTGGATCAAACGATACAAGCATCATCATGTGGGATCTTGTGGGTGAACTGGGGTTATTCAAATTGAAGGGACACAAGGGTCCCATCACTGGAATCGAGTTTTTGTCTGTATCTACTCTGGATCTTGACATTGACAGGTTGGACGACTATTTGCTTACAAGCTCAAAAGATGGGTTGATTAAATTGTGGGAGTTGAAAAGTCAACAATGCATTGAAACTCACTTGGCACATAGTAGTGAGTGTTGGTCTATGGGGGTAAACAAAAGCAACGACACGATTGTGACAACAGGAAACAAAGACCAAGTAAAAGTTTGGGGTATAGATCTCAGTCGCGAGGATGGAGAGAAAGTTTACGAAAGGGGTATGTTTGAAAAGGCAAGTAAAGCAAGAGGTAATGAGTTGCATTTCAAAACCATCAAGCACGAAGGTACTCAGATTGAGTTGTTTTTAGTGCAGAATGCCGACAGAAGTTTGGAAATCTTCCGTATTAGGTCTGAGGACGAGATGAAGAAAGGGATCACAAAGAGGATGAAGAGATTGAAAGACAAGGGATTGGGTGATGAGGAGATTATGGAATCGATTCAAAGTTCCGAAATTAGCATGCTTATAACTCCATTCACAACAGTAAGGTCACAATCAAAGATTAGCTCTTGTTGTTGGACTAGTAGCCGAAAGAAGTTGCACATCTTGTCAGCATTGAGCAATAACAGTATTGAATACACCCACATTCCGACTCCAGAGAACCTAAGAAAAGCTCAACCTACTGATATACACGCAGTGAAGGAGCACACAATAGATAGATTGGGCCATAGGTTTGACATTCGTGCTATGGATATTTCCCCTGAAGATGATAAATTACTAGCTACGGCTTCCAACGGAGAGCTCAAAGTGTGGAATACAAGATCTTACAATGTTATCCGTTCTTTCACATTGGAGAGTGGCTATGCACTTTGCTGTAAATTTCTACCAGGAGGGTCTTTGGTAGTTGTTGGGTTTAAAAATGGTGATTTAGAGTTGTACGATTTAGCCACGTCATCACTTGTGGATCGTGTTGAAAAAGCTCACCAGGTGATAGGTGCAGCGGGCGATGACAATAGTGCAGCAATATGGTCATTGGATTTGACATCGGATGGCAAGACTTTGGTGACTGGTGGAAACGACAAGTGCGTCAAATTTTGGAATTTCAAAGTTGAACAGGACATTGTTCCTGGAACCAATACCTTGATTTCGCAACTCAAGTTTGTGCATACCCAAACGCTAGACTTGAATGAAGATGTATTGTGTGTTAGGGTCTCGCCCGACGACAAGTATCTTGCGGTTTCCCTATTGAACAACAATGTCCAAGTTGTATTTTTAGATTCATTAAAGTTGTTTCTAACATTGTATGGACACAAATTGCCGGTGTTATCAATTGACATATCTTCAGACTCCAAGCTTATAATCACGTCCTCCGCTGATAAAAATATCAAAATCTGGGGATTGGACTTTGGTGACTGCCACAAATCTATCTTTGCTCACCAAGACTCGGTCATGAATGTCAAGTTTATTGGTGACACGCACAATTTCTTCTCGAGTGGCAAAGACGGACTTATCAAGTATTGGGATGGTGACAAGTTTGAGTGTATACAGAAGTTACCAGCGCATCAAAGTGAAGTATGGTGTATGGCCATTAGCAAGAATGGGTTGTTCATGTGCTCAACATCTCATGACCATTCAATACGTTTGTGGTCTGCTACAAGCGATCAAGTGTTTTTGGAAGAAGAAAGAGAGAAGGAAATGGAGGAGTTGTATGAGAATAAGTTGTTAGACCAATTGGATCAGGAGGAACCTGTTCAAAAAGAAGGCGAAGATGATGCAGAACAAGAAGATGGAAGCGGTGAAGTTGAGAGAGTTGGTAAGCAAACCATGGAGACTTTAAAAGCGGGTGAGAAGTTGATGGAGGCGTTGGACATTGGAATAGAAGACTTGGAGGTAACAAGAGCCTATGAGGTAGAGTTGAAAACGAACAAACAAACTGTCAGGCCGACTCCCAATGCTATTCTTCTTGCATTTAGCATGACGGGTCCAGAATATGTTCTTGATACATTGCTGAAGATCAAACCATCCCAACTTGATGACGCCTTGATTGTTTTACCATTCTCGTACTGCTTGAAGTTGTTGCAAGTGATGGAGGTTTGGACCAACAAGGAAAATGTCTCCCAAAACATCACAAAGTTGTCATTGATAAGCAAGGTCTTGTTCGATATTGTCTCTTCCAATTCCAAGGAATTAATTCATCAAAAGGACCCACGTATTAAGAATCAATTGATTGCGGTCAAGCAGCAGTTGCGAGATAATTTATCGAAAACATGCAATACCTTAGGTGTCAATACTCAGGGATTACGGTTTATCAAACAACAATGGAAATTAACCCATTCGCAAGAGTTTATTGACGAGGAAGAGCAAAAGGAATATGAAGAGAAAAGGGCAATCAAGAGAGTATATAGAACGATATAAAGTAGTGTTTTACAAAGTTTGTCTGGTTTATTCAGGTAGCGTTCGTTACAGAATTGCATGGTTTTTTTTTCGTACTTCGCTCTTTGATTTCATGTTTTATTTTTTATTTTTCTTTTTATTTTTTACTTTCTACTTCACGACATCATTACTTTTCAAGGAGACTACAAATCGGTTTTTTGTTTTCATCCAGTACAAACTTTGTATTTGATACGTCTGGGTTGAGGTCATTGATTCAAGGGGTAGTGTCGACAGAGAGGAAAGAGTTTTATTTCGATTTAATCACAATCTTCCTCCTCACCTAACAAGGGCTATCAATTATAAGAGACAAATCTAACATGAATATCAACAATGGCGTTCCAAATGGCAACAACTTGACCGGGGCCACTTCTTGGCACGGCATGTATACAGGCGAGGAGAGGCAGAAAGTAGTTCAAATCATCATGGATACATTGTCCGATCTTCATGGAACGAACCCCAACTTTGATTTTCAGCGATTAACAAAGATGGCTCAGGACTTTGAAAGAATTGTATATGAGAAGTCTCCTTCGCGTGAAGACTACTTGAAAGCCATCAAGCTGAAGGTGAGTCAGTTGAGGTTGCAGAAACAACAAGTTATTGGTCAATCAATTTCTTCCAACAACCAAGTGAACAACCAGCAACAGCGGCCCCAATCCCAACAAATGGCACGTAATTCATTAAGCTCAAACGCAAATATGAATCAGATGAATCCACAGAATATGCAGTTTTTACAGCAACAAGCGCAAGCACGAAGCCAATCGCAAGCTCAGATACAAGCGCGGCAACAACAGCTTCGACAAATGGTAAATAATCAACAAAACCAAGGCATACAATCTTCGCGGCCATTGGGGGCACAATCGATCCAACAGCAACAGCAGCAGCAGCAGCAACAACAACAACAAGGTCTCACTGCGGAATCACAACCTGTATTTCCACAGAGAACGGAAGCAAATACTAATGTGCCAACAGGTACCGATCAGCAAGTTCCCCCACAGCTTCTTCAACTTATTAGGAACTCCCCCATTCCCCCTCCTTTACTTAGTAAAATCCCCAATCTACCAAAAGGTGTGACCACCTGGAATCAAATATTCGATTGCATCAAAAGGAAAGTAATTTCCCAGGATATTTTACCCTTGGTAAGAGATATCCATTCGACTCATATGCAATTGGTTATGCGTCAGCAGCAACAGAAAATGAATGTTAGAAATGATGGTAATCCTTCTGCTGCACCCCCACTCACTGAGGACAACTTGAAATCAAGTCAAGTGAATCGTCCTGTTGGGCAGGTTAATCTCAACAATCTCACCCCTCAACAAAGACAACAGGTATTACAAAGGCAACGTGAGGCTCAACAACAGCAGCAAATGTCACAGGGAGTAAGTCAAATGGACCCAGGTTTGAATCAAAACTTCAATTCTCAAGTGCTTTCTCAACAACAAGGATTACAACAGCAACCGGCACATGTAGGGCAGCCACAGCCACAAAGTGCGATTTCACTTCAAAAGGCACCTTTGCAGCAGCAATCGCAACAACAACAACAACAACAACAACAACTGCAACTGCAACAATCGTCTTTTGAGCAGAAACCTCCACAATTCCAGGTCACACAGCAAGATTATGCAAAGTACTCAAATGATGCGTTGACTCTACTCAGTCGCTTGCAACAACAAAAGCAGATTTCTGGTCAGCTCGATGCGAATATGAAGGATGCATTTGTTCGAAAATATATCCTTCACCAGAAGAATCAACTCTGGAAGCAACAGATTGCAGCTCAGCGGGGTCCAACTGGGTTAGGAATCCAAAATCCTCAGCTGCAAACTCCACTGATTACACAAAATGCCCTGATTTCAATGCAGCTGAACGGGGTCAATCTCAAAGGCAAACAGGTTCCTGTTCAACAGCAAGCACTGCCTTTGATCGGTACTTCAAGTACTCCAATGTTGAATCCAAACATGGGGGTTCCTAACAACCTTTCGTCTCCATTGATGAATCAAAGGGGTCCAGTCATGAATGAACCTACAGTCCCTCCTTCTAGACCAATACGCACAGCTGCTAATACTAGTTTGAGCTCATTACTCCCTCCGTTGACAGATGAGACAAAACTTCGTCTTAGGCAGTTGATTGAAGAAGTGTCGAGAAACAATGTTTTGTTGAGGGATGTGACAAATTTACTTCCTCCTAAAGATAAAACTGCAGTGCGAGACACCATGAATCGGATACAGGAACAGTACGGAAATGTTGACTCGATAATCAGCTATTTTTACTTGCTTACCAAAAACATTGAGGGAACCAAGAGGCTTATTCAAATGAAGTACATGACCAAGAACATTTTAGAGAATTTGAAGAGAGGAGTTTATTTGGCGGGTCCGGACTTGTTAGAAAAGTTGAGGAATCAATATGCCAAGTATTTTGATTATGTGAAGGAGCAGATAACCCAGCGTAGACAACAAATGGCTGCCTCTGGAGCGCCTCAGTCTCAGCAACTGCAACAATCACAACCTCAACTGCAGTCACAGATTCAGGGAAGTCAGTCATCAATGATGGGAGGACCCTCGTCGATGGATCAAATGTTTGGAAACCCCAATATTCAAGGATCGCCTCAGTTGTTTGCACCACCCAACATGAACCAGTCTCTGCCACAACTTGCTCAAGGTCTTCCCCCTCAGGTACCACCACCTCAGCAACAATTTGTTAACCAGGGTATGGGTATGCAAGGGCTTCCTTTGGGCGGCACACAACTTCCACAGCAGCAGATGCAGATGAACCAGGCTTGGGGTAATGTTCCCAACTTGCAACAACAATTGCCACAGCAAGTTGCACAACCGAATGTGCAGCAGTCACTTCCGCAACAACGTAACGTGGCTTCACAGGTTAAACCGAAAAAAGCTCCACCGAAGAAGAAGCGCAACAGCTCTGTAGCAGCAGCCACGCCCAACGCAATTGCCTCATCAATAAAAACTCCGCATAATGTGGGTACACCACAGATCCAAAATTCTTTACAATCTCCACAGATCAAGCATACACCTGCCCCATCAGCACCCACACCGAAACCTAATGTCCCTACTAGTGTACCTTCAACAACTGCACCATCTACGGGCGCCACGTCTACTGGTGGTTCCACACCAAACTCACACTCTACTCCAGAGATTGACATTTTTTCAATGTCAAATGACCTGGTGAAGCGCAGAGAACTTTCGCTAACCGATCCACAGCAGTTCTTTGTTGAGTCTATGAGGAAGTTACTCGAATTGGATGGGATGGGCAAGGATAAACAGATTAGTTCTGCGGCTGCTCTCTGTGCCATTAGTACTAGTTTTAGACAAGTTCAAGAGATTGACGAAATGTGTGAAAATGTTTTTTAGTTTCTTTGATATACGTTGACATGTGAAAAGAAAGGATACAGTAGGTGAAGCAAGTAGACTTCTCTTTATCTCAGAATGGTGGGTTCAGCTTCAGTCTAGAATGAAATTCTGGAATTTGTCAGAAAAAAACAAAAAAAAAAAAAAAAAAGCAAATAATAATAATGAAATCACCCACTTGATAACACCACCATATAACGATAGCACGACATGGCACCAAAATTTAGCCCAGAAGAGAAGCAACTATCTGTAGCGTTCGTATGTTTAGGTAACATGTATGTGAAAGACTTTAACAAACGCAATGATGTTCCAGACAAGTACTAACTTTTCACCGCATGCAGTTGCCGTTCACCAATGGCTGAAGCTATATTCAAACACAGAGTTCAAGAGTTGGGCTATGCGCCCTATTTCAAGAAGATCGACTCATTTGGCACATCTGGATGGCATATAGGCGAACTGCCAGATTCACGGTCAGCCAAAACTTGCAAGAAACACGGGGTGCCAGTACTGCACCATGCACAACAAATCGGGTCCAAGGATTTTGACAAGTTTGACTATGTCATTGGTATGGACGAGAGTAATTTATCTGACTTGTTGTATATCAAGCCCAGGGCCAGCAAGACTGTAGTTGAGTTGTTTGGAAAATGGAGGACTAATATGGAGTTTGACAAGATTGTTGGTGATCCATATTATGGCGGCATTGATGGATTCGAGTACAATTTCAATCAAATTAGTCATTTCACTGATGAATTTTTGAAGCAGGAAGTAGGAGCTTTAGATTAGACAGAATTTTTCTAGACAAGGTACTAGAATAGCCATGTTTGGAGTTCGATATGGATCTATATGTAGTCGTGTGTGGGAGCCATATTGGTTGCGAAGAATTTTTTTTTTTATTTTTTTTTTTTTCTTTCTTCTCTCTCTTACACACTCCCGCTCTCTCATGGTCCAAAGTCAAACAGAAAGTTTGATTACATCAACACTTGGACAAACGAGTAGATTCAATACACACACAGACACACACAAGCACACATCGACCTCATCATGAGTGCTAGAAAACTACAGCAGGAGTTTGACAAGGTCAATAAGAAGATCGCAGAAGGTCTTGCGGCGTTTGATGACACTAAGGAGAAGATGCAAAATTGTGAGGTTCCTTCCCAAAGGGACAAGTTGGAGAATGATTTGAAAAAGGAGTTGAAGAAATTACAAAGATCTCGAGATCAATTGAAAATATGGTTGGGCGATAGTAGCATAAAGCTAGACAAGTCTTTGCTACAAGAGAATCGTACAAAGATTGAGCACTCGATGGATATATTCAAAGAGTTGGAGAAGTCATCCAAAATCAAGCAATTTTCAAATGAAGGGTTGGAGCTACAACGAGAAGCCAAAAAACTGTCTCGGTTCGGCGATGTAGAGAAGTTGCAAGAGGCGTGTGATTATATTACAGGGGTGATTGAACTGTTGACGAATCAGAATGAGGAATTGGATCAGGAGTTGGACTCACTTGGAGCCCAACTGAAGAAAAAAGGTGGATATTCGGTACAAAGTTCGATAGAAGACATCAAGTACAAAATAGATCGAAATAACACTCATGTTGAGAAATTGGAGGAAGTGTTGGATAATTTAGAAAATGACCGTTTGGATCCAGCAAAGATTGATGACATTAAAGACGATTTGGATTACTATGTTGAAATGAATCAAGATGAGGATTACGTCGAGTATGACGAATTTTATGATCAATTAGAGGTTGCCGATGAAGACGAAGAAGATTTGGAAGTGGAGGGAAGCTTGGCTCAGATGGCGGCGGAATCATTTGAAGAGGAGGAAAGAAAGAGATTAGAGCTTCAGCAATTGGGTCAACAGCAATCGGAACCCACTAGGGCTACTCAATCTTCGGCTTCTTCCTCAGTGGCACCATCACATCAAACAAAGTCAGGCTCGGTATCGTCGTCTTCTGATGCCGCACATGTACATGGGCATGCACATTCAAGTACTAGTGGTGGTGCAAAAGCGGATGCAAATGGTACTGCAGCCCACACGCCTGTAAAGAAAACAAAGCCAATGAATGTGGTGCCTGCGCCTCCACCAATTACAAGTGCAAACTCATACTCGAGTGTGATTAAAGCAGCGCAAGCGGCAACCACAAATGAATCGAGCACGACAACTCCCTTACCCAACATTGCATCAAGCTCCAACAACACCCCTAAATCAAACAACAATGTACCTCTTGCCACAGCACTTGGTTCCACTGCTTCTAGTACACCTAGCAAAGCGCCACCTCCGGGATTTGGGCAGCCTCTTGCATCTGTACGGTCGCTGTCGGCGTCTCCACTTACAAGCGAGCCAACACCGAACGATGTTGATCAGCGCACAACACAGCAGTTGAAAAAGAAGTTGTCAAACAACTCGCAAACTTCGTTGGTTTCTAACTATGATTCAGGTTTGGGTGATTCTTTCAACTTGTTGATGACTATAACCAATAGTCGATTAAACGATCCATTACCTATCCAGTCAATTGGCAACTTACTCGAGTCATCCTTGCTAAACTGTCCGGATTCGTTCGACGCAGAGAAGCCACGTCAATATGTGCCATTGAATGTGCATCCTTCGCTGATTGATTATCCTCAAGAGCCAATGTTTGAGTTGAATTCTGTTCACTACATGCAAAAATTTGATGATGATACGCTATTCTTTTGTTTTTATTACAGTGAGGGCATTGATAATTTTGCCAAGTACAATGCGGCAAATGAGTTGAAGAGCCGAGGATGGGTTTTCAACACTGAAGTTGGTCAATGGTTTTCCAAAAAGGAAACAAAGCCATCTGGGTCAAAGAGATTGCTGATGTTGCTTCAGAGGGAAGATTCTGTGGAGCCTCAGGCTGAACCCAATGGTGATGCTCAATTTAAGAAATACTTTGATGAGAAAACTTGGCTTGTTAGAAATGTCAACCTGAAGAAAGTGTAAAAAAGGTGGGCTTGAGTTTACCTGGTGCAGTACATGTATATGGCCTAGTTACTGCTAGAAGTAAAGTGTATTTTTTTTTTACTCGTGAATATTTAAATAGCGTAGTTCGCAATGTGCTGTAAATATAGCCTGTGTGATAATATATGTATCTTTTGATATTTTTAAATTCGAAAGGGGGGAGGGGGGTTGAGCGAAGTGGTGCTGCAAGCAGTAGAGAAAGTTGGATGTGTTTAACGTAATGAAGAATGGAAGAGATAAAAGTAGCTCATGAGTAAATGCACAAATGATGTCTTTGACAGGCATTAGAAGTGTTTGGCTATTGCAACTTGATGTAGGAAGTTAAAAGAACAAAGAGTGTGTATGTTCTAGATCTGAGCCTTCTTCAATTTCGCTGAAAAAGAGAATTATTGTTTCATTGCACAAAAACGTCGATTTTGACGAATCTCTACGCAGCACAAGAAAGAGAGAGAGAGAGAGAGATTGGGGAACCAGGTATCAGTTCTGTGTAAGACTCAGCTAGCGTGAATAGAGGAGTGCAGCAGTACACAGATGGTTCCGTTTAGAGAGTCTTGATCTAATGGTGCTGAAAGCTCTACTGCTATTTGAATTTCGTGTGCTCCATTCCCCCCCTCTCTCAAATTCATTTTGTAATTCTCGTGTTTATGGTAAATTCTTTTATGATTTTCTTTTATTTTAATTTATTTTTTTTTCTTTATTTCAGAGCCTTGTTAAAGAAGAAACGATAATCCCTTTGATTTAAAGATTTACTATAAACTACAATATATACAACAATAACTTATCACCATTAGCTAGCCACTTCATCAGAGCCACTTTCTACCACATCTACTCACAAATCTAGACTGGTCTCTCTCCACCCCCCTTTTCCGCGCCATAGACTCATCGAGTTAACTCAGCTGGACGGTATGACGCTAACAGGATCACATATATTTGATTACGTGCACTTAGTACAGAGAGACGACAACGGGTGTGTCACTAATTGCCCTGCTCTATCTGAATGTACATGCCCCAGCAAGAACGAAGAATGTGTCCAAGTGGCACAAACGTGTGAGAAATGTGCTTATAACCAATGCAGACCCCAACAAATTCTGCATAAAACAAACACTGGCGCCATAGTTGGTGGGGTTATTGGTGGAGTTGTATTGATTGCCTTGGTAGGTGCGTTGTACTACTATTTCCGCATTTTCAAGAAGAAACCGCCGGTTGTTTTGGATGATGAATACGACGACAGCTATCATGATGAAGATACTGATGGGTTTGTTTCCGATAAAGGTGGTGGGTATGCGTTGCTGAGCTTGGCAAGTAGAGGAGCAAATAACTCGCGGTCAAACGTTCTGGACCAGCAGTTTAGTCCCACAGAGTCTCATTTTCCTGGAGCTGTACAGCGTGAAGGTAATGGCGGAGGCTCACCCACGAATGCTCACTTTGGCAAGGATGCTGCTACATCTGGTGGACCAGCGGGACCAAATGGGGCACAAACTGGAGTAGCTGCTGGCCCAGCTGCACCACAACGACCGCCTGCACGTAGAGTCCTTTCAGGTGAAGCTAGAGCTAAAGCAAAGAGGCGGATATCTTCGTACGAATCATTTACTCGTCCAAATGCCCTCAAACTGAAATCAAAACAACAACAGCAATTGGCAGCTCAACAGAGGCGAGCAAGGCAACAAAAGATTGTCAAGCAAGCAAATTTACAACAGCAGCAGCAGCACCAGCAATTACAAGTGCCCACCACAGATGGGGCAGGCAATTTGGTGTACCTGAACCAATCGCACAGAAGCTCTGTTGCAACTTCGATATCGAATGCTTCCAACATTTTGCCTATTGCTTATATACCAGGTGTTACAGTCAGACCTACGAGAAACAACACGGGGTCTTTATATTCATACGATTCAGATTCGTTATTTTCTGATTTGAACACAATTGAAAACGCCAGTATTGTTGGAGAAAATGCAGTTGGTAATCACGGACAGGCGGTGGGTGCGTCTGTTGGCGAAAATGGTGGCAACGGTAGTTCTCCTTCTCCAGCTACCATGACTGCAATCAAAGCGCAGCCTAAATTGGTCAATGTAGACAAAATTGAGGAAGAGGAAGAGGAAGATGACGATGAGGACGAAGATGCCTATTTGAACGGGGAAAGCGTAGCAGGTGCATACGCTTCTACTTCCCATCATGGCTTTGATTCTGAAGTGTTACATGAGACTGATGATAGTGATGTCGATTCGGATATTGGCCAGATCACAAGAGCCACATCGACAAAGAAATTGAACAAAAAGAGTATCAGTCATTCTGATGTTGAAGGAACAACAATGAGAAGTTTTGACCATACCTCAAGTAGTCTACCTCAAAACCGGGAGATATTGATGAATCACTCTTCTTCCTCACTGAACGTGTCCCATATTCCTACTGGCATGATGCAGTATAATAGTGATCATGACTCGAATAGAGATGCCTGGTCTACTGTGGGGTCGTTTTTGTTTGATATTGGCTTTGATGACAATTCTGCCTCGTCGCCGTCAAATGCTGCTGCTTTTGATGAGTCTAATCGGAAAGGTAGTCCATTTGCTGATGGTAGTGTTTAGACAATTGTAGAAATAAACGATATGTTAGAAAGATTGTACAATGCGGTATCGCGGAGTTTTAATCCGATAATCCGGAAATGTAATAAAGAGAGACAGCACACCTAAAAAAGGAAAAAAGAAAAAAAAAAAAAAAAAAGAAAGCACAGTACTACCGGGAAAATCAGTGCAAGCAGACTTTCGTTTCATAGGTAGGGTCTGACATCTCCAGTATTGGTTTCTGTTTTTTTTCAACCTTTTTATAATTTTTTTTTTTTTTTTTTTTTGTTGGGGGGATCAATTTTGCTTGGGTCTGGGATTGTGTCAATTTGTAGTCTTTGATGTGGTTGGATCATCCAAATCGTCTAAGTCGCAATACCGAACGACTCTGTCCGTAGCTGAATATATTTCAGTGACTTGGACTACAAGTGAACTTCAAACGGATGTTATAAGGGTTGACATTGAATGGAAATGAATCTCTTGCAAGAAAATGAGTAAAAATCAGATAAGTCACGTGCACTTGTGTGAATGTAAAAAAAAAAAAAATAATCACGGAAATACATGGTGCGGCACAAGCGTGAACTGTTTCCGATATCGGTGAGGATCCGTACGTTGGCAATTCAGGGCATAAGTTGCCATACTCAATTCACTCAGATCAATGAGTTAAGCTTCAAGAGACGTTTGGTGTTGACAGGAAAAATGAACGAATGACTTGTATGAGTGTTTCAGATGGGGGTTCAAGTTACTTTATTCAAAAAAGTTATGCAAAATTATGTCATATGGTTGCAATTTGTTTGCCACCCCTAATGTATCAAAGTACACAGTAATGTTTAATGTAGAACTAGACAACAGAAACATTACATCGAAAATGCAACATGATGACAGTACAGTTGAACCAATGTCTTTGCTCTACAGGGAAAAAAGCTCGAAATGAAGGCTCTCATTGCGTATTTCCCGGAGTTTAGCCAAAAGCTCAAGAGACAAAAACCGAAATTTTAATTGCTCTACATGTATAATAGCTTAGTAAGTGTAGTATTGTGTAATGAAACTGCTAATTGACATTTGCGCACGCCCTTCTCACTTTTTCTCTTTTTTCTTTTGCTGATTTTGTTTTTTTTTTTTTTAGTGTTTCAATCAGCATCAATAACCAACAAAAATCTATAATTTTTATATATATAACCTTGTGCTTTTAAAATACTTTCACCCCCCCTTTTTTCTTTCATTCTTTTCCCCTTTCTTTCTTTTCATTCTTTCTTCCTTTACAAAAGGTTCAATTGTATTCATTACTACTAGAACTATTCAATCACCATGTCTGCAATTGATAAATTATCCGTTAGTACTATCAGAGGCTTGTCTATTGATGCCGTCAATGCCGCCCAATCAGGTCACCCAGGTGCTCCATTGGGTTTGGCTCCAGCTGCCCATGCCTTGTTCAGGAAAATGAAGTTCAACCCACAAGACCCTAAATGGATCAACAGAGACAGATTTGTTTTGTCCAATGGTCACGCTTGTGCCTTGTTGTACTCATTGTTGGTGTTGTACAAGTATGACTTGACCGTTGATGATTTGAAGCAATTTAGACAATTGAACTCCAAGACTCCTGGTCATCCAGAAAGATTGGACACCCCAGGTGTTGAAGTCACCAGTGGTCCATTGGGTCAAGGTATTTCCAATGCTGTGGGTATTGCTATTGCTCAAAAGCAATTTGCCGCCACCTACAACAAACCAGAATTCCCAATTTCAGATTCTAAAGTTTACGTTTTTGTCGGTGACGGTTGTTTGATGGAAGGTATCTCATCTGAAACCTCTTCTTTGGCTGGCCACTTGCAATTGGACAACTTGATTGCATTCTGGGATGACAACAGAATCTCAATTGACGGTGATACCGCTTGTGCATTCACGGAAAACGTTCCAGAAAGATACAAGGCTTACGGATGGAAGGTTTTGGAAGTCCACGATGCCAACACCAACATTGAAGCTATTTCCGATGCTATCGATGAAGCCAAGAAGATCACAGGTGCTCCCGTTTTGATCAGATTGGTGACCACTATTGGATACGGTTCTGAAATTGCCGGTACTGGAAAGGTTCACGGTGCTCCATTGAAGACAGAAGATCTTGAACAATTGAAGAAGAGTTATGGCTTCGATGCTGAGGAACACTTTTTCATTCCTGATGAAGTGGCCAACTACTTTGCTGAAAAGGTTGAAGAGAACAAGAAGGAACAAAAAGCTTGGCAGAAGTTGTTTGATGAGTACAAGGCCAAATATCCAAAGGAAGGTGCTGAAGTCCAAAGAAGATTGGACGGTAAGTTGCCAGACGGCTGGAAGAAGGCTTTGCCAACTTACACCTCCAAGGACAAGGCTGCCGCTACCAGAAAATTGTCGGAAAACGTTCTTGATGCTTTGTACCCAATTATTCCTGAATTGATTGGTGGTTCTGCTGATTTGACTGGTTCCAACTTGACCAGAGCCGCCAACTCTGTTGATTTCCAACCACCATCGACTGATTTGGGTAACTATGCCGGTAGATACCTCAGATATGGTGTTAGAGAACACGGTATGGCTGCCATCATGAATGGTATTGATGCCTTTGGTGCCAACTACAGAAATTATGGTGGTACTTTCTTGAACTTTGTTTCTTACGCTGCTGGTGCCGTTAGGTTGTCCGCTTTGTCCCACCACGGTGTCTTTTTCGTTGCCACTCACGACTCCATTGGATTGGGTGAAGATGGTCCAACCCATCAACCTATTGAAACTTTGGCTCACTTGAGAGCTATTCCAAACATGTCAGTTTGGAGACCAGCTGATGGTAACGAAGTCTCTGCTGCTTACATCTCAGCCATTGAAGGTGTACACCACCCAACCGTCATTGCTTTGACCAGACAAGGAGTCCCACACTTGGAGCATTCTAGTATTGAAAAGGCATTGAAGGGTGCTTACACCGTCTGGCCACAAGAAAACCCAAACATCATTATTGTCTCATCTGGTTCCGAAGTTTCCATCTCCATTGACGCTGCCAAGGAGTTGGAAAAGAAGGGTGTCAAGGCTGCAGTTGTTTCAGTTACCGACTTCTTTACTTTTGACAAGCAACCAATTGAATACAGATTGGAAGTTTTGCCAGACAATGTTCCAATCTTGTCTGTTGAAGTCTTGTCGTCATTTGGATGGTCCAAATATTCTCACGAACAATTTGGATTGAACAGATTTGGTGCTTCAGGTAAAGCCGGTGACTTGTACAAGTTTTTCCAATTCACTCCAGAAGGAATTGCCAAGAGAGCTGAACAAACTATCAAATTCTACGAAGGAAAGAAGATTTACTCTCCATTGCACACTGCTTTTGAAGAGTTGCCATAGAGAAGAAGAAAGAGGACTATCATCTTACCCTCACTTTTATAGTGGTCTATGTCATCAGTTTAGTTAAAACAATTTGATTTAAATATAGAATTCTTTTTTATTTGTGTTTTATCAATTTTCGAGTTCAAGGACATATCTGCCTAGAATCTTACCATCCTCCATTTCTTTAAATACCCGCTCCAACTCTTTTAAACTGACAACTTTGATTGGACACTTGACCAAGCCTCGATGGAAAAAATCCACAGCTTCGGTAGTGTCCCATTTCGTACCCACATACGAGCCTCTCACAGTAACTTGCTTCACAACAGTGGTTAAAATATCGAGTGAAACTTTAGCATTTGCCGGCAACCCAATCAAGATAACAGTCCCATTAGGTCTCACATACTCGACACTTTTCTGGATAGCTTGTTCAGAAGAAGACACGTTCAAAGCAGCATGGGCCCCGCCACCAGTGATGGCGACAATATCCTTGGCAATGTCTTTTGACTTGGTGAAATCAACGTATGCTTCAGCACCCAAACTTTTCACAAACTTGCCCTTCTCCCCACCTCCATCAATCCCCACTACTCTCAACCCCAAAGCTCTAGCGTACTGGATTGCCAAAGATCCCAAACCACCAGCAGCACCGGAAATGGCAACCCACTGACCCGGTTTTGCTTCTGACGATTTCAACCCTTTGTAAACGGTGATTCCAGCACACAAGATGGGCCCCACTGATTTCAAGTCGATATCCAGAGGTAATTTTGCCGCTTGGATGGCATCAGTAGCGCAGTATTGCTGGAATGTTCCATCAGCAGTGATACCATTCAATGACGTCTTTGCACATATAGTTTCATTGCCCTGTTGACAATGGTCACAGTTCAAACATGTTGAATTGATCAATTTGACACCGGCCAAGTCGCCGACTTTCCATCCTTCGACATTGTCCCCTACTGCAACCACGACTCCTGCACCTTCATGACCGCCAACAAGAGGGAGTTTGTACGGGACGGGCCACGCGCCCTTGTATGCGCTAAGATCGGAATGACATACACCTGAGTATTTGATGTTGACGAGAATCTCAGTTGGTTTGATTTGGGGCACTGGTATATCTTTGTAGATCAATGGACCCCCGTTGGTTTCGTATACAACAGCCTTTTGAGTTTTGGGGATTTCAACTGCCATTGGGGATCGTAGTGATGGTAGTTTGAGAATGGAGGGTGCTGTTTGTGGAGTAGTTTCTCATGCAAGGTGTATTGAGTACACTGGCAGCAAACGATAGACTATTTGCCGCATTTATACCTTTGCAGGGAATAAGGAATTCTGTGGGGGTGGTGTCAGCTGTAAAACCAATCGATATGACAAACCCCCTTGATTTCTTGGGGAAGCTGCCAAAGTGGGGGTGGGGGTGGGGGAGCGACCCTCCATTAAATCTCATGGGGAGTTATCAAAATGCGGGGAGTATACTTTAAATTGTCAATATTCGGAGTTTATTGGTGGGTGACAAATTGTCACCGGACTTATAGTGCTATGCATGAGTTACAGGGGAAGTTGCCTCGCAGTAGCATACTCGAGTGGTGCTAATCCATAGCACTTACCCCCCCCCCCCCCTCCAGCACACAGACACGCACACACGCACACACGCACATTGTAGATCGTTAGTAACTAGGCATCTGAGCTAGATGTACTCATTCAGATATCAATCTCCTCCGCGCTTGCTTTGGAAGTTTGTGTAATGTGTTTTTTTTGTGGGGAAAAGGACAGGGCGAAGAAATCGTAGATGCAAGAAGAGATTCATGTCCAAAGTTCGTTTACTAGTGTAAAGTTTGGCTATCGGATTTGGATATGCCCTTGATACTGCTAATGAACTTTCTCTTGTGTGTAACTGTTCTTGACATGTACATAATGAACCATTTGCCGTGAAGCTGAGAGTACTTCCAAGAGGTTCATGAGACGCATTGGCTTGCTAAAATTTTCTCTACATACATGCTCGTGAAGTGTGAATTGATAGATGAAGATGCAGTACAACCATTGACTTGAATTTCCGGTGTAAATGTTAGCGCAAACCATTGATTTTAAAGACTCGTGAGGGAGTCTTCTTTGGACTTTTACGCTCGCACAATTGCAGTCTTAAAGAGTGGCGCTTTGCTAAGCATAATATTTGAATTGAATCATCGGTTATTTGCTGTGGTATTTTATGCATTCTTAATCTTGAAAGATATTCTGACATGATTACTGGTCGGTCGAATGTCATTCGATGAACGAAAAAAAAAAAAATAAAAAAAAAACAGGTGAAAAAGGCAAAAGATCAAACGTGCTGCAAAAGGCAACATTCGTCGTTACCTGGAGGGGATACTTGAGTACGCCACAGGCCGATCACAAAAAAAAAACCCCAGACATTGATTTATACTAACCACCTCATATGTCATTACAACCACTACCGAAGAATGCGACAGTAGCCATGTTAGGAGCAGGAATCCTGGGACTCACATTCACATACTTTTTGAGCAAATTGCGACCGGATCTCAGCTTTCAAATATTTGAAAAGTCTAACCGACCAGGTGGGTGGATGTGTCTGCCCCGTCTACTCGTCAGTGATAGCCACGAGTCTATAATATTGGAAAAGGGACCACGAACTTTGCGCGGAGTCAAGAATGGGAGTTTGTTTATGATTGATATCTTACGAAATTTGAACTTGCACGATGAAGTTGAAGTTATCCACAAATCTAGCAAGGCTAATAGGAAATACATCACTGATGCACAGGGTGAGATTGTTCAAGTGCCTAACTCGTTCACGACAGCAGTTGATTTTTTCAAACGTGTGCAGTGTCTCGATGGGAGCTTGATCTCTGGGTTGATCAAGGAGCCGTTTGTAAAATCACTGAGCCATGACGAAACAGTGGAACAATTTTTTCGACGGAGATTTGGGAGCACGGTTTTGACTGAAAACGTTGCCAGTGCGATAATACACGGTGTATATGCTGGTGATATTGGCAAGTTGAGTATAAAGAGTGTAATGCCATTCCTTAAAGATATTGAAACTCAATCTGGGTCAGTTATAAAACATGTTTTCAAGTCCATGATCAAGAGCAAGAAGCCAAATAAACTGCCGCCTTCTGTGGAGTTGGAGCTATATGAAAAGTTGATTTCACCGCAAGCCAATTTGCCAACTTTGCAAAGCAACCTCAAATCATTTCCCATGATTAAACTCAAGAATGGTATGGAAACTTTGCCAAAGTATTTGGCTCAGTACTTGGAGTATAATACAAACACCGAAATCCATTACGATACTCCAGTCAATGAATGTGATCCTAAATTGGGGCAAGTTAATGGACAATCTTTCGATCATATTAGAAGTACGATAAACACTCACTCACTTGCCCAATCTATTCAACTGAGTGACCTGTTAGTCTCCAAACTCAAAGGTGTATCATATGTGAGTATCTTTTTGACTAATGTATACACCAAGAAACCGATATTATTGCCAAAGGATAAACCAGGGTTTGGGTTTTTGAGGCCACGTCATTTGAGCATAGAGAATAACGCACAAGCATTACTTGGGGTAATTTACGATTCAGATATTGAAAATCATGTACAAAGTTTGTTCAATAAGGAAAAGACCACTCCTTCTGGAGAGTACAACAAGATTACTATGATGATGGGTGGTCATTATTACAACCATTGGAATATCCCTTCCAATAAACTAAACTTGAAAATTGTTCTAGATGTGTTGCAGGAGAAGTTGAATGTGGATGTGTCGAAATATAATCTCAAAATCATTGAAGAGGGTCAAGAGTTACAAGTGGATTCAATTGGTGATGATGATATAGTTGTAAGCTGCTCCTTGCACAGAGATTGCATACCACAGTATAATTTAGGATACCAAGAGTTGAAACAGGACGTGCTCGACTTAGTGGAAAAAGAGCATTACAAGTTGTCATTTGGTGGAACTGTGTTTGCTGAGGGAATAGGTGTGCCCGATTGTGTGAGTAATTCCTTCACTGATGCTGTCAAACTCATGTAACCAAAAGGGTACCTTCTCCCCGCCCAATTTTTCCAGCAATGCTAAACACTATCCAATTTACGAGTAAGACTGAACCAGCTATTGTTGTCAAGAATTGCAGATTCGCGTCATCAAAGAGCTTATTCCAGCATCAGATCCAAATGTCGAAAAGCGAATGGAGCGTCATGAGTAGGTAGCGGATTAAAGAAAAAAAAGGTTATGTCCTTTAGCGTAATCTCCGCGAATTTTTGAGGGAATGAAATTGAAATTTTACATTTTGTGTGACAAAAAATAAGCCACTTACTTCTTTACTATGACGTCTACATTTCAATCGCGCTCTCTCAGTTGCTATTACTGATTTCAGTTTACCATGCAAATACAGAAATCAAGGAACGTAAGGATAATTTCGACTTTGGAAACGTATCATCTCTTTACAGAGCATTCAGAAAGTCTATATATATACATGTTTTGTTATACAGAGATTAATGAGAAAGAAATTAAAAAACAAAAGAGCACCCAATTTTCCCTTTTCACTTGTGTTTTAATTTTAATTTTAATTTTAATTTTAATTTTTTTGTTTTTCTGTCTCTCATATTTTGTGACACCACACACAACACAATTCAGCACAACTCAGCACAGCAACTAATAAACTAATAATTAGCTGTTGATAAATATTATAGCAAATCACCTTTTAAGCTTACAACTACAAAAATCTACCCAATTCATCACATATACACAACCAAACTACTTTTGGTCTCAGTACACATATACGAATACGTAACAACATAGCCTCGACCCACATCATTGCTAATTACATTATTGATCAAGCAATGACTGAATCATCACCAGTGACTGCATCCTTGCTCCGGTTGAAACTTTTGGATGCCTTGAGAAGTGGTGACACTTCCAAGATTGATACTATCATTGGAGAAATCAAGTCTTCTAAAACAACAATCCAAAACCAGGAATTGAGTAGATTAAAACAGACTATCTTGCACTATGCTGTACAAGTTGCTACGTTGCAAACAATACAATACTTGGTGGACCATGCTGAGAAGTATGGCTTGGACATTAATTCACAAGATCCTCAGGGAAACACACCATTACATTTGGCTGCCATTGCCTCGAGACAAGATGTTGTCAAGTATCTTTTATCCTTGCCCGACATCAATGACACAATTGTCAATTTGGACAAGAAACAACCTGTTGAACTATGCAAGAATTTGAATTTGGCACAATTGATGCAGTTTGAGCGTGCAAAATTTGTGGAAAGGTCAGCCACTCAATTGAGACAGTTTTTCAGTAATCGAGATTTTGATAATTTGGAAAGGTTGTTGGTTTTGAATCCAAGAGCTTCGGAGTTGTTGGATATTAATGGTGCCGACCCTGAATCAGGCAACACTGTCTTGCACGAATTTATCAAGAAGGATGACTTGCAAATGTGTGATTGGATTTTGAAACATGGCGGTGACCCATTCAAGAGAGATAGACATGGAAAATTACCAATCGATTTGGTCAACCCCAAAGATGAACCGTTGAAAAAATTGATTAAAGCTGCCACTCACGATCAAACCATTATGGATCCAGTTGCTAGTACCACCTCGGCTATCAAGACTGGTAATGCCCCTGTTTACAAGGGTTATTTACGTAAATGGACCAACTTTGCAGGTGGCTACAAGTTGAGATATTTTGTCTTGGATGAGAATGGAATTTTGTCGTACTACACGAACCAGGACGACACAATCAACTCCTGTCGTGGCTCACTCAATTTAGGATATGCCACGTTACATCTCGATTCTTCAGAGAAGATGAAGTTTGAAATTTATGGAAAGAATGGGTTGAGATGGCACTTGAAAGCTAACCATCCAATCGAAACCAATAGATGGGTATGGACTTTACAAAATGCCATTACTATAGCCAAGGATAACATCAAGAAGAAACGTCCCTCCAGAGCAAATACTACGGCCAGTGAAGGTGTTTCGGCCGAAGAGTTTGATGATTCTTCAATTGCTGATGAACCTGAATACCTGGAAAAAAAGAAACATAGACTTAGAATTCCAGGAAGAAATAAACACAAGCGCGATACTAGTCAAGCATCGAAGGAATCAGTTGGTGATGCCGCTTTTGACAAGTCAGGTGCAGGTTTTAGCAACTCTCGTGCCAGTACCGACTCAGCATTGGGGTCTCCTAGTGGAAGCACTCGCAATCCGGCTTCTAGAGCAAGCATCGATGATCAATACAGTGCTATCGGGGGTGATCAAGAAGACTTTGATTACGATGCCGACGGAACCGAGCCAGATGATGAAGAAAGTGACGTTGAAAATGAGCATGAAGTTGACCACTTAAACGACGAAATTGCTGCCTCGAGAAGAGCTTTGCAAGTTGAGTTGTCTTCCTTGTTGGAATTGTTTGGTCAGGTTATGAATAGCGATACTTTCCAGCCAAACTCGAAGCAGGCTGAGGTTTGTATTGTGGGAAACAATACCATCCATGCAATTAATGAATTACTTGGCAAATACAATTACAACATTGAAGCTAGAGATACGAGATTAAGAAGGAACTTGGACAGACAATTGGAGGTTAATCTGTTGTGGGAAAAATCTATTAGGCAATTGGAACTGGAAATTCAAGCTAGGGAAGAGAAGCTAGCTGTGTTCCAAGGACAAAGAAAACAATTGAGAAAATACTTGTCTGGTAGAGCAACTACTGGTGGAGACACTGCAGGTACTTTGTCACCGGTTGCAACAAATAACGCCAATGATGGAAATGCCATTGGTGTTGCCAGTGGTGAAATCTTGAGCAAGAACCCGGACGAAGCCCAAGTCGACCAAATTGACTCCAAATTGGGTGAAGTACAACGTAATCCCCAAGCTCAAATTGATGCTACGAATCATCCACCACATGACTTGGACAATGGTGTGATTGATGAATTGTTGGGTGATGATTCTGACGACGAATTCTTTGATGCGGACGAATTTGAAGAGGAGGAACTGCAATTGGGAGGTGAAGATGCAAGAGAAATTGCTCAAAGTGATGAAAGGTTGCACGCTGAGGATTTGGAACACCCAGGCACCTCTAAGCAAGCTGCACCCCCAGCAGAACAACATGCCCAACAACCATTGGAGGGACAAGCACCACAGCAACGCGAGCACGTGCCAGAGCAGTCTATAACTGCTGAAAGGCAAGAACCACATCATCCCTCTGAAGCTGCCGTTGGGGCTGGAGCAGGAGCCGCTGCTGTAGGAGCCGCTGGCGCCGATCATCACCACCCTCCGCCACCACTGGAGCAAGAAGTTGGCCCTAACGAAGTACCAGAGGGCTCCGAGCTGATTGCACCAACAGAGGAAACCAAGGTTGACGAACCTCCTCAGGGAACACCAAAATCGACTGGACAAGCTGTGCCTGGTGATGAGGAGCTCAATGAAAGTCAAAGAGCCATCAATCGTGAACTTCAAGAGGAAGGTTCGTTTTTGGGCTATGAAAACCCACCAAGAAAGAAGTTGGCGTTGGATGAGGATAACAGACCTAAAGTTGGATTATGGGGAATTCTCAAGTCAATGATTGGTAAGGATATGACAAAAATGACGTTGCCCGTTTCCTTTAATGAACCCACATCTTTACTTCAAAGATTAGCCGAGGACATTGAATACAATGATCTTTTGAACACTGCTGCGGGGTATGATGACTCTACCTTGAGGTTAATTTACGTTGCTACTTTTGCCGCAACAGAATATTCATCAACAATTGACAGAATTGCCAAACCATTCAACCCACTTTTGGGAGAAACGTTTGAGTACTCTAGACCCGACCAAAATTACAGGTTGGTTGTTGAGCAAGTTAGCCATCATCCTCCTATCAGTGCATGTCATGCTACTTCACCCAAATGGGAATACTATGGAGAAAATGCTGTTGACTCCAAATTTTATGGACGTTCGTTTGATTTCAAGCATTTGGGAAAAATGTTTTGCGTGGTGAGGCCTAATAATGGAGTCAAGGATAAGAATGGTAACATCGTTGCTGAAGAGTTGTACAGTTGGAAGAAAGTCAATACTTCTGTTGTTGGTATCATGGTTGGTAATCCAACAGTTGACAACTATGGTAAAATGATTGTTGAAAATCACACCACTGGTGATAAGATAGTCGTGGACATGAAGCAGCGTGGTTGGAGAGCCTCATCTGCTTATCAGTTATCTGGACAGGCGTTGGATAGAAATGGAACACCACAATGGGCGTTGGGAGGACACTGGAATTCCAAGATTTTTGCCAAAAAGATCAATCAAGATCAATTGGACTCACTGGGGAACACAAGAAAAATGTCCATTATGGAAGACCCAAGCAAAGCAGGATCCGGCATTACATCCACTGACCCTTACTCTGGATCCAAATTCTTGGTTTGGCAAGTTGCACCAAGACCAAAAGTGCCATTCAACTTGACACAATTTGCCTTAACTTTGAATGGTATTGACGATAAATTGAAACCATGGTTGGCTCCAACCGATACCAGATTACGTCCTGATCAAAGAGATATGGAGAATGGATTATACGATCGTGCCGCTGATGAAAAACATCGGGTTGAGGTGAAGCAGCGACAAGCTAGAAAGTATCGTGAAGAGAATAAGATTACGTATGTGCCCAACTGGTTCATTAAGAAGAAGCACCCTGTCACCGGTGAGCTGTATTGGGAGTATAATGGGAAGTATTGGCCTGCTCGTAAAGAGCACAAGTTGGGAGATACGGGTGACATTTTTTAGAAAAGATGGTGTTGACGTTTTAGTTAGATTAAATTTTATACAGATGTTGTTTTATTATGTTTACGGATACCTGTGACATTGATGACTAATATCCTCTTCTCACGATCAGAATAACCTCTAAAAGAAAAAAAAAAAAAAAGGCTATATATGCACATACATAACGGGAAAGTAGTTTCGTTGTAGTTTTGAGCTTTACAGAATTGTTACAATCTCTATGAACTGTTAAAGAATTAATTGTCTGTTTGCTAATCAAACAACATCATCATTCATCAGCCTGTTCTCTCTTCACAACATTATACTTGGGAGAATTCAGCACCGAAGAAGATGCTCCGCCCATCATTGGTGAAAAATAACTATTCGCCGTGACAGTGGTAGCCAGTGGAGTAGGCAACGGTGAATACGATGATGCAAAACTACTACTATCAGCCCCTCCTCCTCCCGCATATTGGGCTGCATTGGTACTTGACGTAGTTCGGTTTAAATGAAGTGCATTTGGCAGTTGCTTGTTAAACGACTGAGTGCGAATAGTTTCCGTACTGAAATGATGCAAAAGCGGCAATCGTTGATCAAATGTCCGTTCTTGTAATTCCAAGCTGTTCAAATCGTCATCTTCAGGATCAGAGCCATTTCCACTCATGTTTCCATCATCACTGTCATCTTCATCGTCATCTTCATCGTCATCAAAATCATCCTCTTCATCCTCTTCTTCTGCATCTCCATTGTTGTATATCACCTCATCTAATCGGCTCTGGTATGGTGCGTTCAACAGTGAGCTAGACAGGTCAACACCTTCCTTTGGCAAAACTGCCCCCTTTGGAGAGATTGCAGAGCTGTTGTCACCTGCAACATCATCCTCATCGTCATTGTCATTGTCATTGTCGTTGTTTTCTTCACCCGTCTCACTCCCTTCGATAGCATTACTGGATAAGCTATTACTATCAGGAACTGTTGATGAAGGTGGTGTCCATCTACCACCACTACCAGCTTGCGCAGCAGCATCGTTATGGTTGCCACTTTGCATGCTTACAGTATCCGCAGTGGGCTCTCTTCCTGCTCCCATCAACGACACATTACTACTACTGCTTCCATCCAAGCCCAAGCTTTCACGGTCTGCGGACAGCGACGCCGACGATACAGCACCATTTGCCAATGGTGGCACAGTCAAACCACTAGTGTGATCTTTGCTGACACTTGGATGTCTCGCGAATGACAACGACAAACTCTCCTTGATCGATGGCCGTTTGCTTTCTGCCAGTTGCCCAACTGCATGTACAGATGAATTTGTTGGTGAGACGGCGCTCGAGGTGCTTGAGTTTGTATTGGTGTTTGTTAGTTCCTCGCTGACAATCTCGTCAATATTGACAGAATCAAGCAGTGGTGTTTGAGACTCCGCCGTACGCCCTGTTGGTTCTTCGTAATCGTAAGCTGGCGCTGGTTCATTGGGTAGTACAGTTGGAACAGAAGGTATACTGCTCAATTGGCCCTCCGAAATCGAGATCGCTCTAGACTTTGGTGAGTTTGGTGTGGACATGGCTTCCTCAAATGACGGTAACTGATCTCCAAAACTATTGATCCCCGCATCTTCGTCATTTTGAGACCATTGCCTGATTGATACACCGTTGCCAGTATAATTTGGTCCATTAGTCTTTGCATGCAGTGACAATAGGTCTCCTCCCAAATCCGTCCCTGTTGAAGTTGTTGCTCCGTCGATTTCGTCATACTGAGGCAATTGAATTGATCCTTCATTACACTTTGAGCTCAACAATATCAAAGGTGTATCAACAACAACCTCATAGTGATGCATTTTGTAATCATCCTTAGGATCGGGCTTGGATATTCGAAAGCAAACCTGCAATCGATGGCTAATTTGAATATGACGATAATTCGAGTCTGGATATAACGCTCTGGTTGTTAACGTGTACCCATTTTTGATATTCTGCGGGGGCAAATTCTTTGCGGACATGTCATCGGATAAGTAGTTTGATACACTAGGTGAGCGAAGGTTTGATTTAGATACTTCGTGTTGGCCCAGTCTTGATTGCTTTTGAACTTTGCGTTTATAAACATCAGCGTGAAGACCAATTTCATCGACATTGGCTAAGTTTGTTTCCAATGCTCCAATAATTGGTGAAGTGGGACTACTAGATGCATCAACTGAAGCCTGACGCGGGCGCGAGGACGGCATCTTTGAAGCAGAGGCACCACCCGACGAACGCAGCTGATCAACAATGGACTCATCCTCATTCAAAACCGTATTTGATGAAGACGTCAACAATGTCTTGTCACTCTTTGTTGTTAAAAATGGTAATGCGACATTGATATCCAAGGGTGTCGCAATCATTGTTTTGTCCTTGTCATTGTCTTTCCCACGGTTCCTTTGACGAGGTTCCAAATCTTTTTCCGGCTCGTAACAAGAATACAACAAGTTATTTTCAGGGCATTTGATGACTTCTTCCTTGTAAGAATCTCCGTTTGTGCTAGAGGAACTTTTGCTTTTTGTTTTCAATTCGCACAATCCAACAACACGTTCCCGAACTTTGTTTTCCTTTGATTTGGGATGTATGTTGTAAGGGTCCTGAGAATCATAGTCAAACTCCTTTTGCAAATTCTTGGATACGTATGTAATCCTTTCCAACACATTGAACTTGATTCTTTTGACGACAACGTGCTTCACAAGCGGTACCAACTTCACATTAATAACATGTTCACTTCCTAAAGACACATATTTTCGTGGGAAAGTAATCATGTAATGGACAGCATCGTTCCATACTCTATTGACGTAGATGGGTTTATCGGCAATCGAATTGGCAAAGTTTGGCGGTGTACGAACCATGGGAACATTGTAAGACGCACTCACTTTTAGTTTTCTATTCAATTTGTCACTTGTTTTATTGAAACTTGCCAGTAGCGTGTGGATCAAGGAGCCATTTATAGAGACTATACTTGCAGGCATATTTTCGGGTAAAAGTATGGGCAACAAAAATACATAAAGACCAGCTTTATGCTCTGTGTTGTTGTTACTCGGCATTTGGGAACCTCCCGAGAAGGTATTGATTGAGGTTGATGAAGATTCTACTTCTCCAAAACTGGTATCGCCATTGGCATCCGAGCGATCATTATTTTTCGTATCCACCAACGTATAGGAACGTGTTCGCTTGGCCAAATCTTCAGGACCAATGTTTTTCAGTCTCACTTCATTTGAATTGGAGCTACTTATATAGTAGTCAGCATCGTCCAACGTTGTACGCCATTGCATTGTTCCAATCTTGAACTTCTCTTTGGCTGTAGCTCGGTTGTAAGGGTCCTTGTATGGGTCTCCCATCGGCCACATGATTTGAGTAATTGACTGAAACTTAAAAGCCAAATCCTTAACTGTTGACAAATCCTTCCCCAACTCTATTATGACAGCAAAAGTGTGGGGGATAGGAAGTTCAGAATCGATCTTGGTGCAAAGGTAGTTTGGGCTGTGGAAAGAACGCATTCGTTGGTATAAAGTGTTGGAAACGGGATCTTCAAGCTGTGTCAATGAGGAGCTATGGCTTGTGTATTGCTCTGTAGTGCCGCGTCCCCCATGATTTGTGATGGTTGCTTGTGTATCATTGTCGGTGGCTGTAGGAGAAGACCCCTCTATGTCATCAGTCAAAATAGCACCACCATTTTCGACATCTTCATAAGTGAAACTTGCCGATGACGCTGGCGGGAGGTATATGCAGTCATTTGAGTTGGCAACATAGACCTGGATCGTTTTTGATACTGATCCTTGGGTAGATGTCTTTAATAGAATGGGATTTTGTAGGCCCAAGTCTTGTAACATAGTCACTAGCTTCTTCAGCACTACATAAGCGGTCTCTTGTTTTACCAAGTCCTTCGTCTTTGGTTTGAACAAGTTTGACGGAGACAAAGTCGATCCATGGGTCACGGAGTGTGATCTAGATCTAGACCGGGATCGAGAACGCATTTCTCCGTCATCCTCAGTTCGTCCTAAAGGTAAAGGCGGCGACACTTCCCTGTTGTCGCGATCTGGATTAACAAGTGAAAATGAAGTAGCTCTTAACCGCGAAGGCTCTTTCTGGGGCGATAGGCTTTTGAAAAAGTCGACTTTGTGATGTAGTGAGGCTGAAAGATCGGAGCTATGCCTTCTACCAGAGTGAGTACTAACGAGCTCCATTAATGAGGAGTCGTTTGAATGTCGGCGATGGGTTACTTTGCTTTTGAGCTTGTCAAAGCTAAACCCCCTGGGGTGGTGCGCATTCTGAGTCATAGATAGCTCGTGTATATGAGAAGGATGTTGCAGTGGGGTTGTGTTTGTTGCTGGACAGGTTGGTATATATAGCTTGCAAAAAAATAGAAAATGGAATCAGAATTTTTTGTCTGTTGTCTGTTGTCTGTTGTCTGTTGATTGTCTTTATCGTTCTCTCCCGCACTTGTGTTGAATTTTTCCGAACAACCCTTAACAACCTCAAATTCAACAACTGCTAAAATCTCAACACTACCTAGACTATAGAAACAAGTGCAGGTAATTAAGGCATGCCTCTCGATCTCAGCAATGCAAACCATTTGTAAGAGACTAGATGTATGGGTAGAGAAAAGAAGCAGTTTCCTTCGACTGCACTGATTATTAATTATTATTAATGCGTGTATCAAAATACCAAGAAGAATTGCTACTACAAAGTAAAGACACCTCCCTTCCCCCATCCCTAAAAGAAAAAAATAAAAAACAAAAAATGAAAGAGAGAAGAATACGAGCTGTTTGAGTGACAGACGCTTCGTTACTCAAGCTCAGCTTATACAATAGCTTTCATTTAAACAGCCGTTGTTTTGCCTCGTAATTTTTGTTTTCCTTGCTGCCGCTTTACCAACTTTTGGGGCGCAAGTCCTAATTACAAAGGTGATAAGGGTACTTTATATCCGAAAAAAATTGAAAAAGACAAAAGAGCTACAGCGTTGCACAATATAACAATGTGCGCCAACTGTTTTCGATGATTTTCCATATTTTAGAACGTGGTCACAGGGAAACAAATCTGGACCCCCCCCCTCCCTTTTACCAAGAATCTTCGAGTTTTGTTCGTCTCCAAAGGTCATTGCAATATGATTTATTATTCTTTGCGCAACTTTTTTTTTTTTTTTCTTATCTCTTTTTTGTGGGGAACAGAATTGTGGAAGAGTTCATAACAAGTGGTCTCAGTGCAACCAACAATAGTGACAAGTTGTTGTGACGACTCGGATATTGTATTCCCTGCTGATGGATATCAAAAGAATTTTCATACTGTAAGGTAAGAAAAGATACTCACAGGTACATCTAAACAAGTCTATAAATGAATTATCATCTACTCTGTCTAGCTCAGTCACTCTATTCAACCTCATCATTGATATGCTTAATGGCATGATCGTTAGCCTTCTGTTTCAATACACATTCTCCGTACTCTGTCAACTTGATACTGTTACTAACATCCAAACTAAACAAGTCACCTCCCTTGTCACCGCTCGACTTTTTGCCATTAGATTCCTGGCTGCCGCTGCCACCATACAGTTTTGGCAATTCACTCTTTGGCAAAAACTCGCTCAAATTGCCATGATTCAGAACTTGAAACTTCTTTAATGTATCCTCATTGATAACTCTAATTGTCTTGAAAAATGTAAAAACCCACCCCATAATTAATGGAACATTGATAAAAAATTTGGTGCTCAACAACTCGGGATAATTCTGGCCAAATATTGCAATAATTTCCTTCGTTGCCTGCTTCATCCCCCGATCTATTCTAAATATTGATACATTGTTGTAATCATGAATTTGGCCAATTTTGTTATTATCCTTCAGAGTGAAATCAACAAGTTGTAATGATTTCTCCATTAATCCTACTCTCCATCTCAAAAATTGGCTACCTGGGAATTCAACGTCGTCGTCGTCGTCGTCGTCGTCACCATCATTGACATTATTACCGTGACTGTGGCTGTGACTACCACCATCGCCAAATTTTTCAAATATCTTTTTGGGATTCTTCAAATTACCGTACAAGTTCCACGTAATTACATGTAAATTGGCATTGGCTTCTGCAAAATCGGTAATGACACCCAATGAATTCAACTCCGGATCAAATTCCTCCTTGAAAGCCGCATGTAAAGGCTGAAACTTGTTTCTCCAATTGAAACACTTTATCAATCGCTGAGTGCTCAATTGCAAATCATAATTATCAGCAGCAAGAAACTTGAGTAAAATTTCGTTACGAATGTTGACATTAACGTGGGGTTTGTCGCTGGTATTGATTCTATACCCAAAAATCTCATCATAATCTGGATTATCTAATTTGCAAAGTATCTGTGGGAGGGTGTCAATGAGTTTGGATAAGGTTTTGGCTCGCTCGGTGGTTAATGCTGTGGATTTGATGGAGGTTTTGACATCCTCATGTGCATGGACATCTTTGGACGACTTGGTTGTGTCCTTCTCCGTAGTGGTAGTGGTGTGTGGAACGGTGCTATCCTGACCATTGACGTCAATTACTTCACTTGGCTTAGACTCTACTTCGGACATGGTGGCATCTATTAGCTGTGGTATATAGGTAGTTTGAAGTTATATAGGAGCTGTTGAGAAAACCTACATCAACTGAGAAATCCGTTTTTTCTTTGTTTATCTTTTCCATCTCGGTGTTTGGTCCCCTCCTTACAATATCATCCGATATTATCTTTTCTTTAGAGCAGGAACACGTTATACGAGATGTTCTGCTTACGATTACCAACTATGCGTAGCCAAAGTGGCTTATTCAATATTATTCTATTATATTATTACAAATTATACAATCTGACTCACCGAATCAAAATCAACCACAGTCTTGTCCACATCACAACAATCACATCTTAAGTTTCCCAGTAGCAACAACTATGAAAAAAAAACAAGAAAAAAAAAATTAAAACACCAACTCACATAGTATTCTCTCTACTTATGCAATCTTTTCACTTGCAAGCAATTCCAATAATTCCCCACCATCAACAATCTTGACATTCTCTCTCAAATCTCCTCTAAGAGCACGTTCAGCAAAATACACGGCAATCTGGCCCAAGTCGCTGGCATGAATAGATCTAAACAAAGGTGAAAGTATAGGATTATGAGTAAACTTGGCCAATTTATGAGCCCAATCCGATTCACCGTTTCTTAAACCAATCAACATGCCCGGTCTCAAAATTATCGTGTATTCGAAACCCAACTCAATTACCGCTTTTTCCAATTCCCGCTTGCTTCTGAAATACAAGAACGGTGATTTGGAATTTGCTCCAAATGCCGACACCAAAACACACGCCTTGACTCCACTCTCTTTGGCTGCTCTCGCCGCATCCAAATTGTCACAATAATCAATTTTCTTGAAATTCTCAGATGACCCAGCCTCCGCTTTACTTGTACCGAATGCGGAAATGTACGCATATGGAGTTGGTTGAACCTTGCCGATGATTTCTGGCCAGCTGTCAATTTCCGTGTTGACTATGGCCTCAACTTTATCCTCCTTGGCAAATTTTGGTTCACGTCTAGTGAGGGTAGTTATTTTGTTCCAATGCTTGGATTTAAGGGCTGCTTCAACGACGAAACCACCTACTAGGCCAGTGGATCCCAATACAAATAATCCGGCCATGATTCAAATCTTTTAAAATTGCTATTGCTCGACAAGTAAAACAAGTGACAGTTTTCTTCTCAACGGAAATTCGCAGTGTATAAACACTTGAGTGTGTGAACAGCAGGAAACAAAAGTAGAGGTTGAAAAGTGGATACTCGTCAAAAATGGGAGAGATGGGAAATTTGCGTTTAATCAATTGCTCTATTGTTTTGGTGTGTGACACAAAAATGAGTTTGCATCTCGAGTACTTTTTCTGTCTATTCCTTTAGCCGATAAACATAATTCACAGAGGGTTTAGCATTAGTCTCTATTGCATCTTATTTTGGAGTCCTAGTGCATCACATAGTTCTATATATGTATATATATATATCCTTAATTTCTATTTCCTGGCACCAATTTAAACGACAAGATGTCATTTTTGCCCTTGTCTACTGTGTCATCTTCACCAACTCTCGTTCCTCCAACACCTTCAATTGAGGCGATAGTCACATCACCCATGATTTTCCTAGCTACTGACACAACAGGAGTGCCTCGTTTGACCAATATGCAATCGCGAAACACCGAGTCTCCACTTGATCCCGTAAAGTTGTTGATGTTTCTCACTGGGTAAACTGGAACCAATTCCAACAAGTCAGCAGCAGCTTGAAGTAGCTGGACTACACCAGTCGATCCGAATCTATACAACACCAAATCTCGAATGTTTTCAATTCTATTTTGTAATTTCTCATCCATGGGCTTCAAATCGGGATCATCAGGTAAATCTTCCCTGGTATCAACAAATTCTGTTCCTGGATCGTACTTGATAAAATGTTGTGCTGCCAATTTCCGTAACAACACTTCAGTGATTGATGACGTTAGTACCGCTTTTGAATTTGGGTATTTCAATATGATTTTGGAGACATTCTTATCAGCATCCGGATGGTCCATCTTATTTAGCGACAAAACAGTAGGGAATTTTACCTCCATGAATGCTTTAACCACTCGTTCCAACATTGCATCATCCCAATCTTGCAAGGGAGGCAAATCAGGTATTAAATCCAATGCTCTACCAATCATTTGCTTATTGGCCACGTATCCACCCAATTGCTGTCTTAGCGTCTCCAATGTTGTTGATTTAGTACCCACATGTCTTCGAACAACAGATCCCCATCTCTCTTTCAAATTACCCAAAATCCACTGGAAAATCTCATCTTGTAGCCACTCGATATCATTTAAGGGATCGTAACCTCGAGTTGTTTTCCCCTCCGCATCGGTAGTACCACTTGCATCCACTATATGGATCAAACAATCTGCCTCTGTCAAATCACTTAAAAACTTGTTTCCTAATCCTCGTCCCAAATGGGCATTAGGCACCAACCCAGCAACATCTAATAGCATAATGGGAACTCCACGTTTACCGTCCCGACAATATCCGTAAGTTGGTTTACATTTCAGTTGTTTGTTGAATCTTTGGCAAGCACAATCCACCTCCAAGTACCCGGTTGCTTTATTTGGATCAATAGTAGTGAAGGGGAACGCACCGACTTTTGCATTGGCATCGGTCAATGCATTCAATGTTGTTGATTTCCCACTTGATGGTTTTCCAACTAGTCCAATGACTATTTCTCGGCCCATGTTGATGAGGTGCTCTATTATCGTGTTTGTCTCTTTAGATTGTAATTTTTACGATGTGCTTTCTTTTTTTTTTTTTTTTTAATTTTCAAAATCGCTTTGAAGATGTGACGTATTTGGTAGCGAATTGCGAAGAGTAATTGGGAACTACGTCTGCTTTCATAAAGTTAGGGAATTTGACCACTGTGCCCGTTGGGGTAGAAATTGATGCACTGATTTAAGAAAGTACAACATGAACTGATTCATTCAGTGGATTTTAATGAGGAATCTTGTGGCATTTTTTTTTCCTGTTATTTGGTTGCAAATTTTTTAAAAATTGTCTTGTGTACGATTAGGGGTAGTTCCTTCAAGGATTTACTATACAGAAACACTCACAAGTATTTATCTATACGTCAGATTACCGAGGCTCGATGTTGAGGCCATATTCAAGTTCAGAGTAACATACTCTCGTATATCTCATTTCTCTTCCTGCATATAACTCCACAGCCCTTAAGTTTTCATTATTTTTTTTATGGTTTGGCAGAAGGAGAACAAAGCGAGAAAAGAAAGGACAACAACAACAACAATAACAACATCAACAACATCAACATCAACACATTGTCTTAAGAGCCAATCTTTTTCAATCAACATCATATCCCTGCCATCAATTTGACACCATTCAGAACAATATGGCACTTTGGGAATCAATAGTGAGCAATGTTTTTGGAGGACTTTCCAACGACTTTAAGAAGAAGAATTTCTCCCTATATGGTCAATGGATCGGTATCTTCACCATCTTTTTATGCATAGCATTGGGAATAGCCAACATCTTCCATTTCAATTTGGTCATCATATTTTCGATCATATGCTTAGTCCAAGGGTTGATTGTCATATTTGTTGAAATACCATTTCTTTTAAGAATATGCCCCTTGACCGACACTTTTACCAACTTCGTTAGAAAATTCGATGGCAATTTACCAAGGTGTGGGTTCTACCTTTTAAATGCAGTGATTCAGTATCTAAGTTTGACATTGCAAGCTACAAGTTTGATTGTTGTTGCGGTATTTTTCACATTGTCATCTGCCTGCTATGCTTTAGCTGCGGCAAAGAACCAAGAGTACTTGAAATCCTCAATCGATGTTTCAGGAACAGGACAGGGCGGAGCCTTGGAGGCACAAGTTGGAGAGCACGTTGTAAGGAATGTATTGTAGGTGGGCCAAGACTGCATCAGGCAAAAAAAAAAAAAAAAAAAAGAAAAAAATAGCTTTATTAACGATGTTGTTCTTATCGTGAAGAGTAGTTGAAATCTAAATTGTAGATTGATTAATTGGGTATTTGAGCAATTTACCTGGTTCTCTCTACTGATACGTATATCTCTTCTCAAATGCTGGACGTTGCAGCTTGTAGCTCCACACATATGTTTAATTGAGACACTCTCTTTTGAGCCAAACCGAATAAAAAGAAAAAAAAAAAAACATCAAACTCTCACTACATATCAGACAACAACATCACGTTATGTCAGGAATACTACCCTTTGTTGAAGATAATTTAGGAGAGAAACTAAAGCGGCATAAACAGGAACCGATTCTGATAGAGTCGATAATACGGGGAGATGAATCTACGCCACCGATCAGCACCACAAACAAGAAAGATGAACCCATCACATCGTTTGCAATCGAAGAGGTAAATGATGACCCCGATGAACTAATAGGATTACGAGGAGAAGGAAGGTATTTTGGAGTAACGGATCCCGATAATGAGAATCAACAAACTCTTGGACCTATATGTGATAATTGTCATGAACGTGGCCATAGACGAGCACAATGTAAGGTTGTAATTTGCCATAAATGTGGGAAAGTGGGCGACCACTATGAAAGTCAATGCCCTACGACCTTGGTTTGTTTGCGATGCGGTGAAAAGGGTCATTACGTTCTGCAGTGTAAGAGCAAAATACGGAAGAAGCAGTATTGTCGCAATTGTGATACATTCCAGCATGGTGATGAAGATTGTCCTAGTATATGGAGATCATACTTGACGAAGCGGACAGCTAATGAAGACCAAGAAAGCTTAGTTTTACCCAATATCTCCTGTTATAACTGTGGCTCGGATGAACATTTTGGAGACGAGTGCAATAAGCAAAGGTCATCGCGGATACCAAACTTAGGCAGCGCTTTCAGCGGTAACAACTTGCCACGTAACTTGCGTCCATTGTACTTTCTTAGATTAAAAAGTAGCGATGCAGGATCCTCCGATGATTATAACCCAAACTCAACCCCAAGAGATTACGATTCAGAGTATGACCCAAGAACGACGAAAAAACATACAAGCAATTTCAACTTCAATAGTAGTGCGTCATCATATGGCCAACAACAACCTTCTAGAACTGGGTTCATACCAATGAACAATGCAGGGACAAGATTTCCATCCGGTCCATCTTCAAGCACCTATCGGAGTGGGAGTTCCCACAATTTCGGCAGCTATGGGCGGAATGGGGGATTTGGGAATAACTCATTGGATGGTGGCTTTGGAAGAAGTAACTACGGAGGTAGTTCAAAGAATGGGGCCCGACAACCGTCCAGAAGTGGAGTTGTGAATAGTGGCGGTGCATCAAACAGAGGTAAAATCACAAAACCCTCGAGAAGTGGCTTAATCGACAACAGCAAGGGCAAGTATAAGAGGAAGCACATACGGTATTAATGAGTGTCTTTAGCTAGATCTAATATAGAATGAAGAGAGTGTGTGTGTTAAAGTAGTAAAGTAGTCAAGAGCACTTTTTTTAGACCCGAATTACTAAGACATGGCTTCTTTTTTTTTTTTTTTATTCAGAAGCCACGATGGTCGTGTATTGAAAGATATTTTCTGATCATTCATTTTTTATCTATTTGATCTACACAGTTTAGCAAAAAGTTGTATAGAAAAGAAACTTGTAAATCATCACAGTTTTCCACCAAACGCCAAGAATATTCAAACCGAGTCCTTTAACAAGAATATTTTCTCTACCTGGATTCACATAACAACCAATCAGCAAGAGTCAAAGCAGAGTATTATCAACACGTTTTCTTCAAAGGAATCAGGCAAAGACTATGCAGGTTTCAGAGTGAAGTCAGGTATCCATCAACGAAACCATGAACTGTACACTGTCATATCAACACTATTTTCATTTCCCAAGAGGGAAGTCGAGGGAGTACTCGGAACTACGAGACTACATAACAACCAAATATGGAAATATCACTACGATCTTACTCCTTGTTTTTATCATCTCGATTCCAGCGTACAACTACATAGTGGTTAAAAATTACAGATCCAAGTACCATTATCTTCGATCATTCAACTCCAGCTTGAATCATTACATACTACACCAACACCAACACCATCCAAATTGCGCCACCGCTTCTTGGAAGGACAGATTTTTAACCACTGCGGCAACAACTGTTAAAGCTATTGCATTCAAGTTGCTTTTGCATTACTCAACCATCATACAATTGACATTCTGGATCTGTTTCTTGTCAACCTTGTCACTTGTAGATATTTATCATGGTGATCTCATATTTTTAGCCAAGAGACTAGGGAGAGTGTCAGCGAATTGCCTTCCCACAATCTTGTTTTTGACATTGCGCCCATCACCATTACCCAACACATTGTACTTGACGCTCATACCCATACACAAGTGGCTAAGCCGATTAGTTATACTACAAGCAGTTATACATACACTAATCTACCTTGCGTATTTCAACAGAAATGGAACTTGGGGTAAAGCAATAAAGTTGGAAAACATATACGGATGGGTAGCCTTAGCTGGTTTCTTAGTCATTATCGTAACCTCCTTGTCAACTTTTAGAATCAGGTGGTATAAGGTATTCTACTTCCTCCACTACATTTGCACTTGGGTCATTGTCTTGTCACTTCAAGTTCACATTAGACCACAACCTTTCACATGGTATACCGCCGTGAATTGTTTAATCTTGACTGCTCAAATAGGATACAGGATCTACCTAACAAGAGTGTCTACGAAGGGCGAGGTCAGGGTTATTGATGTTTCGCCCAATTTGGCACTCATTGAATTCCCCAATGCTATGATTGCAAAACCTGCAACTGCACCAGGTGCCCATATTAGATTGACAAACTATAGCTCCAGCATCTTCATGAGAGTTTTCAAGCAAGTGGTCCCCAACTATCATCCATATACATTGGTGTCGCTCCCTCAAGACCGTATTCAGAAGTTACTCATTCGGAAAAGCAATTTTCGATTATACAATGGACACAGATACTTGATTACAGGCACTTACGACCCCCACTTGCTATTCATTAATTACAAGCAAAGCTACTCAAACAAAAAATTTTCCTTGTCCAAGCTACACGTGGATGCGAAACGGATTTTGATTGTTGTTGGAGGCTCAGCGATCTCTTTCGCTCTTCCAATTCTTCGTGTCATGAACTATCACGGAATCCCAACTAAAGTGGTGTGGGTCATCAAAGACTTTCGTGACGTTTTGGCTCTCAAGTACTTTGACGGTATAATACATGGAGATGATTTCGAGATATTCGTCACTGGCAACCAAACACTCCAAGATGGGCAACAGCGTTTAAAGAATGCCTATAGCTATGCATCCAATCTAAGCAGAAGGTCTGATGCACCTTCGGCTCATTATGACTTAGAGAATGAGGAAACACCACTTCTAGGCGGGACAGAAAATGAGCCGATTGTGACTTTAAATCGAGAGAATCAGGATGAAGATGTCGATATTGTTGTCAATTCTGATGATGACGACGAGGGGGCAGACAACGACGCAAACTGTACTCGGCATGACACATCGTCACTTTGTCGAGAGTCCTCTCCGGAGCAGTTTGCTGATCTCGATGAGGTTCTAAGCGATGATGCCAACTCTTTGGATTACGATGACAACGAATTCGAGGTGACTAATAACACCATAAATACACGCCGTCTGTCATTTAGGTCTTCCTTGAATGAACCATTTGTGCCCACCACCGACTGTCGCTCAACGGATCAAGCGAGATCCTGGGTCTCCGAGTTCAAAGAGACTACTAGGAGATTGAATCTTGATAAAAAGATCTACAAGGGACGTCCTAAATTGAGTCATCGGTACTATAAGTGGTGTATAAATGAAGGGTTCACCCAATGTTCTGGACCAGTGGAGGACGAAAATCATAACCTAATATGCTGTCGAGATTTGCCTCAAAACAAGGTTGTCCAAGAGGATATTAATGCTGAAAAGATATGGGTCATTGGAGCTGGGCCAAGGCAATTGGTAGAGAATGTCAAACTATGGTCAAGCGAAAACGGATTAAAGTTTCACGAAGAAGCATTTTACTCTTAGGATGTATAGATTGATTTATCGTCAAGGCAATTGGTGTGATGCGTCAACTATCTATTTGGCTAATTCATCCTCGTAAAGCTTTGTCTTCTTTATTTCATCTTCGAGTGCAGCTTGTCTGCTTATTTTAATCTTTGCATTATCAGTGGTGAACGTAACTCCCACTACATTCCAGCACACAAACCACCACACTTTGTAGACGTTGCGAAAGTAAGGCTTATTCTTGCCGTGGTTGTACTTGTACGATAGTGCATAACCAGTAACCAAAGCCACCAACGACCCGCGAAGTGCTCCTGTTGCAGCGGCTTGCCATAGTTGATGCGAGAATCGATTGTGACGTTCTTGTTTCGTTTCGTGGGCTAGTAGTTCTTGATTTGGCGGTTGAGACATCGTCTTGCATGAAAAGAAGGAAAAGTGTAAGGAAAAGCAAGAAATAATAAATAAAAAACAAAAAAAAAAAAAAACAAATAAATAAACTCCCCAAGACTTGATATACCTCTCTCTCTCTCTCTCTCTCTCTATCTCACTCACACACACTCTCTCAATACAACCATGATTCGCTCAGTTCCATTTGGAGGTAGAGTTCTCCAACAGCCGAGTACTCTACTACGCTTCTCACGGTCGGTAAAGACCTCCACCATTGACTGGAAGCCGGTCAAGTCTGTCCCTGGAAACTTGCGGACAATCACTCATCAAAAAAAGACTCCGATCATCAGAAGTGTTCTATTTGGTCTTATGGTTGCCATGCCTATAGTCTCATTTGGATTAGGGTGTTGGCAGGTTCACAGACTCAATTGGAAAAATGACTTGATTGCAAAGTGTGAAAATAATTTGGCTGCTCCCGTTCTAGAAGAACTACCGCCCACCCTTGATCCCAATGTTATTCCTGAGTTTGAGTATAGACGTTTTAGGTGCAAGGGTAAGTTTGACTATGACCAGGAAATGTTTTTAGGACCAAGGATTAAAGATGGCGTTTTGGGTTATCTTGTTGTGACACCGTTCATCAGATCCAGTGGGGGTAAACCGATATTGATAGAGCGTGGTTGGATCCATAAGGATAAAGTTATCCCTTCTACTAGATCAACTGGGTATTTGTCGCATTTGGCAATGCCTCAGGGAGAGATTGAAATCGAAGCTTTGTTCAGATGCATGCCTCAGAAATCAAGCTTACAGTTTGATCATGAGCCGGGAACAAAGTTGTTCAACGTTATCGATGTTCCAGCAATGGCCGAACAAAGTGGATCTTTGCCAATCTATTGTCAAATGATTTACGATTTGAGTGACCACTTGGACTACAAAGCTAAGGAGACACTAGAAGCGCAAGGTGCCGACCCTTCTATCTTTGGTAGACTCTTCTTCACCCAGACCAAAAAAGATACAAAGGAGAAATCTGTGTACATACAAGATGAATCCGACGACTCGATGTTTTACCAAGAATTCGAATTTATTAAACAAGGGGTGCCTATTGCTGCCAAGCCGACAATCAAATTTTCTAATAACCACTTGCAGTATTTGATTACCTGGTTTGGAGTCTCTATAGCCAGCGCTGGTTTGTTGTTTTATTCTATGTGGAAAAGAAGACAGTTCCTGAGTGCAGAGAGAGTGATTGACGCCAAAAGGAAGGAGATGAAGAAATTGATGGAGTAGATTATCAAATTGTACATAGTTCAATCCCTAAAACTTAGCAAACCAAATAACACAACAACTAGTGAAAGATCTCCAAGGAAAATACCCAAAAGCTCTTTGTATTCGAGTGCTCGCAGAAGAAGAGGGGCCAACTGCTGCACTTGTGGCACAAACATTGATACAACCTGGACACCTTTCATTGCCAAGTTGTTTTGACGCGCCGCATGAAATAAACCGTTCTTGGTAAGTACAAAGTAGTAACTTGCAATTATAGCGATTTCCAATGTAAAGAACCCCTGTGCAAACCCACTCAACGGATATATTTCCGTCAAATCTCTCACATACGAATGGTTCGACGCTGTGAATGAAGGAATCGAGCAGTAGTGGTAAAGAAAGAATGCTGTTATTGCAAAAATTCTTACAACCGTGAAGCGAAACTTCCAAACTTGTTTTTGGTACAAATGATATTGATTCAATTGTTGCTCATACAGGGACTGCGCTGAGTCTGGAGAAGCTCCAAACTGGTCGTTTGAGGAAGATGGATCACCAAGCATTTTGAAGATGTCTGCCATTGGGTTGCTATCACCATCGCCTTGGGGTGATTGTTGTTGAAAAATTGACCTAAACATTTCATTGATCTCAGCTTGAGGGTCTTTTTCTCCAAAAGGTGCATTTCTTGAAGCAATAGTGGAAATGTCTTGAATAGCTGGGTCGTCATCACTGGACATTACTGTGGGGGGTGCAGTGGCAGTGGCAGTGGCAGTGGCAGTGGCAGTGGCAGTAGCTTCCGGTTTGTCCAAAACTGATGTCACGGATGAAGTTTTGACTGAAGCACCTTGAGTCAATATATTGTTCAATCTTTCACTGGCCTTCCCTTTGGCCATCTTGGCCTGCCTCCTCTCTCTGAGAATCCTCCGCTTCTCCTCTTCACTCAATGGTGCAGGATTGGCCGAGCTAGACATGGTGTCGGTGAATCGGCTGCCGTTATAATTGAAGTTTGATAGAGGAGAGAGGCAAAGAGAAAAAAAAAAAAATGGTAGAGAATTGAAACAACTTCAACATTTCAAAGGAGCATGTCGGAGCAGGGCGACCCTCAGCAACATAGAGAGGATGGGGGTAGTGTCTCCAATCCTATACCTACAAACGACCACGAGAGAATAAGACGTACTAAAATTATGAATTCCTTGGATAACCTAGACTACATGATGTTGATTGCAACACAGCAAAAGAAATCCATAGCACAAGTAAAGTACGAGCTTAAGCTTCGATTGATTAACGGCGATTAAATCAAAACCTTCACTATCTGAATGGCGGTCTTTGATTCCATTTTTGTGTCTGCTGTGTGGTTTGGGGTGGTGCATTGCTTTTCCTTATTGATGTTGCCGCTCCACTATTATCGAAAAGACCCCGCATGTACCTTGGCGGCTGGTTCAAATTTGGTCCATGACTACTTGAATGAATACTAGGTTGGTAGGCTCTCACAGGCTGAGGTATCCTAGACACTCTGGTGGCGGTGCTATTTGGCTTTCTCATGGCATTTCCGCGTGGATGTGCATTTTCATCATTTGCATGTAACCTTCTCGACGAGGGGAGACGCGCAGACAGCGAGCGTGATTGCGACACCGGTCTAGTTTCTTTAACTAATTTCTCCTTCAACTCAATATTCAACTTTTCGGCATCTTCGATTTTCCTCCTCAACTCCGCAATATGCTCTTTCTTCTTTTTCCTCATCTGTAGCCTCTGCCATGCCTTTTGTGATGGGCACTTGGGGAGGTCGACACACCACATTGTGATGGATAGTCCATACAAAAAGCTCGCAAAGGATTCATTGAACTGATTTGAAACAGCATCATGTATGTGGTTTAAGTCTCTGACATTTACATCCAAGTCCTCAAATCCATCTGCCAAGTCCCTAAATTTGGATGTAATTTCGGGACAGTCCATGGGAAGGTTGTCAGGATCAATGGGATAATGGTGTGGTGATGGAGACGGAAGCGGGATTCCGGACGACCTTCTCAGATGACGCCTATTGGACTGCCTCCTGTCCCCAATTGGCGTAGTAGGTCTCGAATTTGACATTTTTTTTTTTATTATGTGGTTACTCGATTTGATTTGTAAATGAATACGAAAGAGTGGAATCAGTCGATCGATTTGTTTACACTTTTGCAAGACTAAAAAAAAATGTATACACAAATAATTTTGGTAGCGCTATATAGGACACCACCTGCACCTGCACCTGCACCTTCACCCTCACCCTCAGCACCCATCTATGTGTTTTCATTAACAATCTGCTGCCAGGTCTTGCCCTCTTTTCTCAACTCGCCAGCCAACTCGTCCCTAATCTTGGCAACCAATCCAGGACCTTTGTATGCAAAAGCTGTATACAACTCGACAAAAGTGGCACCGGCTTTCCCAAATTCCAAGGCATCTTTACCACTCGAGATTCCACCACAACCAACTAGCACCAATCCCGAACCTTTGGTGTGTTTATGCAATGTTTTCAACGCCTGCAACGACAAGGGTTTCAATGGTTTTCCGGATAGTCCCCCGGTTTGGTTAATCAACGCATCATCTGAGGTTAATAATCTTTCCTTTGGTCTTTGGATTGTTGTGTTTGATATGATGATTCCATCAACTTTTGCCTCTTTGGCTGAGTTTGCTATAGAAACTATTTCTGGCTCAGTCAAATCGGGTGCGACTTTTACCAAAATTGGGGGCCTAACTCCTAGTAAATTTGTGCGCAATTCATTACGCTCTTTGACAACAGTTTTCAAAAGATTCGTTAGCTTGGATTCATTTTGTAAATCACGTAAACCTGGAGTGTTTGGCGATGACACATTCACAACAAGCACGTCTGCATATGGCCCGAGTCTGGAAACTCCTTTTACGTAGTCCTCAACCTCGTCTCCTGTTTTGTTTTTACCCAAATTTATTCCTAGTAATTTTCCTTGTTGGAAAGCATTCGAAAATGGCACTTGATCAGGTGTATGCGACCTCTCAAACTTTTCAAACAACTTGGTGAAACGAGTTCTCAATCTTGCAATGACATTGAAGTGCCCAGTCGAATTAAAGCCATAGCGATTGATGACAGCATCGTCTCGTGGCAATCTAAAGAAGCGGGGAGTAGGGTTACCCGGTTGCGGCTCAGGTGTAATGGAACCGATCTCAACATAAGAGAATCCTGTGTTAAACAATGAGTCTATGGCTTCTCCGTCCTTGTCCAATCCAGCAGCCAATCCTATTGGGTTTTTCAAATTGTGACCGAACACGTTGACACCCAACACATCGCTTTGATCGTTAATGCCTTCATCCAAGAGTCTAGGAGCGAGACCATATTTCAAGAACGCAATTCCTAGTTTGTGGCCCTGCTCTGCATCAGTGAATGTTCTTATAAGCGGACAAATCACATACTCGTGAATTGAGGAGCGCGAATCAAGTAAATAGTAACCTCCAACACCGGCCAAAGCTCCACCAACAAGAAGTCCAATTGGTCCTGGCAAAAAACTCGATCTCAATACACTTTGTCGGTTGCAGTTCGTGGTGGAACGCCTAAATAGCTCCCTCAAGAATGGGCTTCTTCCAAACATTGTAGAGTGGACAATTGCTCTGTAACGCTGCACTATGAAACAGGGCCCCAAAAATCAGTTGACAGGAAAGTGGACAAAGAAGAGAAAAGAAATGAAAAAAAATAAAATAAAATAAAATAAAATAAAAAGACCAGATACTTAACTCGCTGCGCACAAAGCTCTAAAGAAAACTTTGAAGTGGTAGCTTAAAATATTTCTCGTCACAAGCGATGATCTTCGGAAAAAGATACAACCACTGCTTCAGAACAATACAATCATAGCACAACGCCATGAGCGAGTCAAAATCCAAGCAAGGCAAAAAGTCGCCAAGGGGAAACAGTAGTCTTCAAAAAGGACAACGGAAGCATAAATATTCCAAAGATAAGAAACTCAACTCAAAATTACAAAGGATAGATAATCAATATAAGGATGCCTTGAAATCTGCAGCAGGAACTGACTACCTTTTACAGGAAGAAACGGGGTTCTTGGAAGCCGAAACCCCCATGGAGAAGACTTTCAAGTTTAAGCAAGATGAGATCGTAAAAGCAGTGGACTCCAGTACTGCGAACAAGAAATTTGAACTTAAGCTTCCCGAGTTTGGTCCTTATCAGATTGATTTTTCAAGGAATGGTCGTGATCTACTTCTTGGTGGAAGAAAAGGGCACGTTGCATCTATTGACTGGAAGTCGGGAGTGTTGGGCTGTGAACTACACCTCAATGAGACTGTAAATGCGGTGAAATATTTGCACAATGATCAATATTTTGCAGTGGCACAAAAGAAATACACCTTCATTTATGATAAGGAAGGTACAGAACTTCACCGGCTCAAGCAACACATTGAAGCGACCTTATTGGACTTTTTGCCGTATCACTTTCTTTTAGTGACAGCGGGGCATACGGGGTTTTTGAAATACCATGATGTCTCTACCGGTGAATTGGTTAGTGAGATTAGAACGAAGCTTGGTCCTACTCTAGCAATGAAGCACAATCCTTACAATGCTGTCGAACATTTGGGTCATGGAAATGGACAAGTCACTTTGTGGTCCCCCAATGCACCAGAGCCCTTGGTGAAAATACAATCTGCTCGTGGGCCAATTCGCGATTTGGCAATTGATAGAGAGGGTAAATATATGGCTGTCAGTGGAGCTGACAAGACGTTGAAGATTTGGGATATACGAACTTTTAAGGAAGTTGATCACTACTACACTCAAACGCCAGCCACGTCCTTGGACATCTCTGATACCGGGTTATTATCCGTTGGGTGGGGACCTCATGTAACTATATGGAAAGATGTTTTCAAAAAATCACATCAGGCTGATCCATATATGAACCATTTAATCCCTGGCTCGAAGGTTGATAAAACCAAGTTTGTTCCATTTGAAGATATTCTAGGTATTGGCCATCAGCAAGGATACGGCTCGATTATAGTTCCTGGTGCTGGTGAAGCAAACTACGACGCATTAGAGTTGAATCCATTCGAGACCACTAAGCAAAGACAAGAACAAGAAGTTAGGTCATTACTCAACAAGCTTCCTTTCGATTCGATTGCGTTGGATCCAAATACCATTGGAGCAGTTGATAAACGAGCAAAATCAATTAGATTGAAACCAGGAGAGATCAGTGAGCTCAGTGAAACTTCAAAAGACACTACAAATAAGATGGATATAAAGCCAGATGTTAAGGGTAAGAACTCTGCTTTAAGGAAACATTTGAGGAGAAAGAGAGAAAACGTCATTGACCAGAGGAAGATGAGGATTGAGAAGAATTTGCGTAATGAAAAGGAGGCAAGATTAAGACGTCTGAAGTTGTTGCAAGGAGAAGAAGAAGAAAAGGATGTATTAGATTCTGCATTATCTAGGTTTAAGTAGAGGAAGGGAACTTTTGTTGTCTTTTTTCGGCACTTAATTTGTTGATGACTTGGTTGAAAACTTGGCATTCCCACTTTAATGCTTTCAACTCGTCCTCGGTAATGACATCGCAACAATCCTCTGAATTGGGTCCAAATGGTGCTTCCCGCATACATTGATCTTGGTTTGATGAAGTTGGCGTCAAGGTTTCGTAGCACTGCTTCTGAGCCATGAAGCTCCCATTGTGTTGCATAACGTCATACCTCTTGAGTAAGAGACTGTCCTCCTCCGGAAGAAATTCAATAAAAGCCTGTCCACGAGATGCCAACTTTGAAGAGAAAGTACCAAGTATGATAAGTATCTCGCATAATGCGATCAACAGATCACTCTCTTTCAATATAATGAGCTTGAAGAAATCCAATCGAGGGAGATGATGAATTGAGCTGGCGTGTTTTTTGAGATGTACAGCTAACAGCGATGATAGAACTTCGATTTGCGACAATAAAGCCAAAGGGACAGTAATAGATGAATCTGTAGTAGTACATTCAAATGAAGATGAAAATAGCTCGGAGTTGAACGTATCGAACTTGAAATCATTGTTATTTAACAAAATTCTGAACAACCTGAACAAAACAACTGTGTCAGATAACATCTCGGGACTAGAATCAGCTTTCAAGGGGGAGTCTTGAAACTCGGAAAGCCAATGAATAGCAGCCGTTGCTAATTGGTTGGCTAAATGTTTGGACGTCTCCATATTGTAGCCATGTGGTATAAATTTTAGAGAATATCAAAAATTTGGTTGCGAATTTCAAACAAAAAACTTCGACTTCAAGTGTAATCCGCAAAACTCAAAAACTGACTTTGGGAAGGTGTTTCCAAATGTTCAGGGAGTCACTTTAACTAGTAAGTTACTGATCCGAGCCACCTCTTGATAAAGAACAAGCTGTGTCTCGGGACATATAACAACTACACATTGTAAATCATTCTCGTAATTCTCAAGTCACAACAAGTGATGCTGCGGAAATTGTACTTTCTAGCTTAAACATATAACACATTACGTAGGTTAGTTGGTCAGAGGTTACATAAGTCTTCAATTTGGCTGATTTAACGCAATGACGTCTGGTAACATGGTCGTTGAAGCAGTCTTTTGGTGACCGAAAAAGAAAAGAAAAAAAAAAAAAGAAAAAGAAAAAGAAAAAAAATAGAATCAAGAAAACTACCAAGTTGCATCTGGATACCCACACCACACCTGCAGCAAATGTCAGGGGTGAAAAGTATTCTCAAACTTGCAAAGACCTCGTTGGAGCAAAATGATCCAGAGGCGGCGTTGGCCCATTCAAAAGAAGTTATAAAACTCGACCCGAAGTCTTATTATGCATTTGTTTTCCAAGGTAAGGCATATCAGCTTTCAAATGATCCAACGAAAGCGATCACCTCATTCAAAAGGGCTATTGAATTGGAACCGAACAACCTACTTGCATGGAAGGGGTACTTTCAGATAGCAAAAGGATCTAGTGATTACGAGCAATTCTTTTCAGTGTTGACATCATTGGCAAAAATATATATTGAACAAGGCACATCAATTTCTGAGTTGTTGACGGAAATGAGAAACTACTTGGACGATAACAATGTCAAGGGAAATGAAAAATTGCATGAATATTATTTGAGATCGATCTTACCAGGAAGCGAACTTGGCGATTTAATTGGATCACCAATTGAGGGCCCCTCATATACGTATAAAAAGTTGATTGATTTGAAACAAATGCAATTGGAGAAAGAAATTGTTGCCAAGGTGTCGAAGGAGAGAATAAAGTTTGGAAGATCAATTACTGTGGAACAGAAGGCAAGTCTAGATGCAATTTCGTGGTCATATTATTCTGATAATGATTTGATAAATCTATATAACGAATTTTTAAATATCTGTGACGATGAGCAGTTAAGGAAAACCTATCAAGAGAAATTTTTGAAACTAAAATATGAACTTTTGAAAATATGTCCAGAGAAGGAGCCAATGATTCAGGATATAAAGCTGATGGTTGAAGATATGATTTTTTTGAAAACAACCAGTTTATTCTGTTGGAACTTGTACTTGGATTGGAATGATGACAAATCGATTGATTCATTGGACGAAGATAGAGTGATTGAGTACTTGAAGTTGTTTCAAAACGAGGGATTAGGTCTTGTTTTGTTTGGGTTTGTCATGAGTGACATCTCCCCTTACAACAAGGACAAAATTGTGAAAAGCTTGTCTGGTAGAGAGGCTGTACTGGAAAAAAAGAAGGAGAAAGAAGAAGAAGAAGAAGAAGAAGAAGACGATTCTGGGTTGGAGGAGTTAGTGGATGAAGACAATGAAGCCGATAGTCAACTATATTTGCCACAAGAGGAAGTGTTGGGAGTGTTACTAAGTGGATTTAAAAAGGCCAAAAGTTCAGTATTGGCAAACAGAATTATAGTCAACTATTATATTCACTTGAGGCAGTATCACCTTGCATCTGAGAGGTGCCGAGAGGGAATCAAAATTTTGGCCGATCTTCAACGGAATTTTGGGCTAGACTTGAAAAACACAAAAGAAGATCTATTGTGTTCCCTTGCTACTGTGTATACATATTACGAAGCCCCCAAGAATTACACTCGTGCCATTCAATTGTACGACAAGATTTTGTCAACCAATCCGGATAATGTGAAGGCGAAGGTGGGAAAGGGATTGATATACGTTGAGAGGGGGGAATTGAGCGAAGCCAAGGTTCTTTTAGAGGAGATTGTAAGAGACTATCCTTCAAACTTGGAAGCTGAATCTGAGTACTATTGGTGTCTTGTGAAGATGGGTCAACACAATGAAGGTAGAGGTGGGCTAAAAAAGTTTTTGTCAAAGATTACAGGTGGGGACTTGCATAGTCGAGATATAAGGGCCGTTGCATTGTGGCGGATAGCCAAGAGCTACATTGACACCGGTGATGTTGATGAGAGCTATAAAAATTTGATTGAATCTTTGAAGAACTCCGACTTGTACGCACCGGCGTATACCTTGTTGGGTGTTCTTTTACAAGACCATTATGGGGATCTCGAAAGAGGTCAAAAGTGCTTTTACAAAGCGTTTGATTTAGACCCAAATGAAATTACAGCTGCAAGGTATCTTGTTCAAGAAGCTGCTGATAAAAACGAGTGGGAAGTCGCCAATGTCCTTGCAAAGAGGGTAGTGGACAATGAGTCAACGCGAAGATTGATTATGCGAGGAGATACCGAGGATCCATCTTGGCCGTATCGTGTTCTTGGTTCTGGAGCTTTGAACAACCAAGATGATGCCAAAGCTGTGGAATGGTTTCAAAATGCACTTCGAACCAATGCGAATGATTTCCACTGCTGGGTGGGGTTGGGTGAAGCTTACTATAATTGTGGTAGACTCGATGCGGCAGCAAAAGTTTTTCAACATGCATTGGAGATGGATTGCGAGAGCGAGTGGACGATTCAATACATGTTGGGGGTTGTATTGTGTGAAATGAAGGACTTTAATGAAGGTTTGACATACTTGTACTCGGCATTGGAAGCACAACCTAATGAAGAATGCATCATTAGTGCTATTTATGAGGCCAATATCGAAAACAGTAGAAAGTTTCTTCAATCAGGATATTTTGGTAGGGCAATCAATTCAGTATTGAAAGCGCTTGCCTTTATCAAACAAGGGGTGGAAATAAACAACGCTTCGCAAAAAGTGTGGAAGACTTTGGGTGACTGCTTGAGGATATTTACCAAGATCCGTGAACGCATGGATGACGCACCTTACGACCTCGTTTTTGACATTTTCAACCATGTTGACTTTAGTAACTTTGAATTCCCATTGAGCGAGTCAGTCTCTGTAGCTCATGCAAAGGCCAAGCTTGAGAAGGGAAATAATGTGGAAACGCTTTATTTGTTGATCATTTTGGCATCTGTTGCAGCATTGACTAGTTTGCCCTTGAAAGCCAATAGAATCCTCAAAGCTACTGGATTTTACAACTTGGGTTTGTCCTTTTTGGAAAATTTTCAAGAGTCAGGCAACTCCGAATTCCGTCAACTATCGGTCTACTACCTCAAACGTGCCATCAAGATTGAGCAGAGTAATGCCAATTACTGGATTGCATTAGGTAATGCATACTTTACCAGCAATCCGCAAATCTCACAGCATTGTTATATAAAGGCAACTACATTGGAAGTCAAGGATGCAGAGATCTGGGTCAATTTGGCGACGTTGTATTTAAATTTTGGTGATACTCAACTATCTCAAGATACGTTTTTAAGAGCACAATCAGTAGCCCCCCAAGACCCACAATCATGGCTTGGTAACGCAGTTGCTTCTGAAGTATTGGGAGACTACGACAAAGCATCCGATCAGTACACCCATGCGTTTACTTTGTCCAAGGGTCGATTAGCATCGGCACTGTTTTTGTATGGGTTATCGGTTGTCAATCGCAGCAAAGATTGTGATCCCAAAGATATTGAAACAGCTCAAGAGTTTAGCATAAGTAATCAGGCCATGCATCAGTACTTGAAGTACTATCCTGATGATGAGGCTGCATTGAGTGTGGGGCTTTCCATTGCCGAGAGATGCAAAGATTTTGATACTGCTATTCAATTGGGCATCAAGTTGTGTCTGCTTTACGAAAAGCAGTACGAGGATATACAAAGTGAAGCTGTATTACTGAAATTTGCAACTACAAAAAGCCAATTGGCAAGATTACAGTTGGGGTTGGGTGCTCATGATGATGCAATTGAAGAATCGAAAGCGGCCCTCGAGCTTGATCCTGAGCTGGAACAAGTTGCCATTTCAGCAAGAATCACTCTTGGCTTGTCTTACTTTTTCACCAATCGATTTGAAGAGGCAATTGGCGAGTTACAAATTGTGTTGCGTGAGTATAATGACTCGGCCACCATTATAGCTTTAATTGCTCAGGTTTTATATGCACATAATACTGAGCAATCAAAACAAGCTGCCATCGACCAATTATTTGCGCACATCGAAGAGCACGGGTCGACCTTATTGATCGTGCTTACTCTTGGAGCAATTGCTTTGGTTGAAGATATACCCGACTACCTCGAAGCCGTCAAGGATGATTTACTAGGCTTGAGTTTGAATGAGATTGTGGCTGATACTAGAAGAGAAGTGCCTAGATTGATTGACGAGATCCACGCGAGATTGGGTAATGATGAAGCAAAGATTTGGTGTAGGTATGCATACATGTTTCCCTTTAGTTATCATATTTGGAAACATATCAATACGCAAATGGCTAAACAAGTAATAATGTCAAGGAATGAAAAAGTGACTGGCGATGAATATGCTGAAGCTATGGTGAGTACAGGTAAATTAAGAGATATTCAACGTGGGTTGATGATGAACCCTTGTAATAAGGGGGCTACAAAAGCGTTGGAATCGTGTATAGCTTAGATTAACTGATGACGTAAGCGTAAGCAAATAGAGATATGTTATTGTCTTGTGTCAAAACTGTGAATTAAGAAAAAAAAAAAAAAAAGTGAAGTGCGAATTAAAAACGCAATTTTTTAAGACGACTAGGAAGAGTTGATTTAGGTGAAAGGCACACACATACACACACACACACATACACACACACACACAAACACACTTCAAGTTTGATAACATCTCAGTAATTTGATCTTTCATCAATAGAGACATCGATAAACCTCCTCTACTGCATCTCACAATAGGAAGGACTATCATATACTCCTCGCCACTATTACAACTGTGTGGAGGACCAACCATGGGATTATTTTCGAAAAAGAAAGCATCTTCGCCACCAAGTTCAATCAAGTCTGCAGGAGCACAGGGCTCTTCAGCTTCCGTCAAGTCTGACTTGGGACTATCTTCTTCGAATGAGTCACTCAAATCAGATGCATCTGGTGGCAAGATCAAGGGGTTGTTGAAGAAGAAGTTGAATGGGGCCAGTGGTGCAGCAAGTAATGGAAAGGTGAGAAATGACAAAGGATCGAGTGGGGATGTTGATAAGATAAGCGCTGACTTAGGTCACGCAAATATTGGGGGAGACTCACCGAAGAAACAAACGTCTGGTTTGACTCTACAGGTACCACCTCATGGTGGAAATGGAACGCATATGGGCTCAGAAGGACCTTGTTTTTCACGATACAAAAGACGGGTGAGTACAATTATAGAAAGTGAACACAATTCTAGTGGTGAAGACGAAGATGAGGACGAGGACGATGGTGATAGTGCTGTGTTTTCAGATACATCGGAGTCTGATTTGGAAGAAGATCATTTGCATCCAATAAAACCCAAATACGATGCCACTCATCATGATTTGGCACAGCAGCTATCTACAATTATGGGATACTGTGGTCTACTTCGAGACACGTCATGCTCAGCAGAGGAAGCCAACAACGAAAGTCAACGAACGTACTCATTACTTGATCAAGAAAACAAGATCAAGAAGTTGCCCAAGTCTGTACATAACGATGAGTCAATAATTGGTGAGTATCAAATACAATTGATACGAAACTTATCTAGCAAGATTGAGAATTTGATCAATGATGGGAAGAATGAGAAAGTATTAACACGAGAAAAGTCATTGTATCAAAGATACGGTGTGGTTCGCAATGTCATTGGGAAAGGTGCCTATGGGCTAATCAAATTCATTGATCCTGAAGGAAACAAAAACTCCTCAACATTGTCATCCAACAATTTACCACCATTAGGCAAGCGATTATATGTGGTTAAGGAACTACTGCGACGTAAAGATGAAAAAACTGATAATTTCATCGAACGTATCATGTCGGAATTTGTCATTTCGTCCACATTGAATAGCAAGTACATTATTGAGACTGTTGATCTAATGGGCACGCTATCTCCCACCAGCGCACAGCAAATGCAAATGCAATCGCAATTACAATCGGCAATGGATATTCGTATAAGTCAAGTGATGAATTGTAGTTCTGGAGGCGACTTATTCTCGTATTTGTTGACGGGGACTGATATCAATAACAAAACTGTGAAATTCATGTCGTTGTATGAGGTTGATTGTATATTGAAGCAAGTTGCTCGAGGTTTGAAATACATGCATGCGCATGGAGTTGCACATTGTGACTTAAAGTTGGAAAACATATTGATTTCGTACCAGCCAGACAATGAGGGCAACTCCAGCAAGGGTGACGGCGGTAATTTTAAAAATGTGAAAACATCTCCGCAATCTAAGATGCTGATCAAGTTGAGTGATTTTGGTAAATCATTTGTGTTTCGAACGTCATTTGATAAATCGGAACAAAAACTACAAGGGTCTCAAGGTGCCATAATTGGGTCTGAGCCATATATCCCACCAGAGGAGTACTTGTGCAACCAAACCAAACTGTCTTACTCCTCAGTAAAGAAGGATTGTTGGGCATTTGGCATTGTGGCTTTGGCATTGCTCAATATTCGAAGACACTACTATTCCTACCCGTCAGCAATATCAACATCAGCGTCTAATGGTGGTGCTTTTCGACTGGGTCTGAAGTTGGTTGCTGGTAATGATGCCGATGGGTATAGTACGGGGTACTTGTGGAAAAACACCGAGAGTAAGTCTAATAGCCATAACAGTGCCGTAATTAATGGCAAAGACGGGGGAGCAGCAGCAGCAGGAACAGGAGCAGGAGCGTCAGTGGGTGGTATCTTGCTGAGATTGGAGTTTAAGGATAAGGTATTTGTCGAATACGTGAAGAAGAGAATGGTTGGTGACTATGATTGCAAAAGTAAAGAATGGTTGATTAAACGTCCGGGAAAATTCATGCCGATTGAGAATATATGCAAGCCGATGCGCAATGGAATATCTGCTTCTGGAGAAGAAGATGAATGCGATAGGTTTGAACAAAATGGGGCGAAGGAAAAGGAAGTTAAAGTAGATGCATTTGGAGCTGATGTGGATGATGAAGATGAGGACGATTTGAGTGAATTGAGAGTCTTGATTCTTTACAAATTACTTGATCTCGATCCTAGTACACGAATGACCATGGATCAGTTTTTGAAAAGCGATTGGATGACGGCCACCGAGTCGTGCTTTTAAGGAAACGCACACGCATATATATAGATACAAATGAAGGGTATAGGGAGCATTAACCAAATAGATTGTGAAAAAATTACAATATATACAAACTATGCATAGAATCTAGCTTCGAAAAAAAAAAAAAATGGAGAGTGTTTTTTTTTTCTTTTTCTCTCTTTCTTCCTCTTATGTACTCTCCACCTATTCTCAAAACTCCTGAAACATGTCTCGATATGGATCTTCAACGCCACTAATCCCGTAATCCAAATCCTTGTCTTCAGGATACTTGTCAAATTGCGAAGTATCTCCCACACCGGACGTGATTGGCGGTTCATACGGAGTTTCAATATCACGCGAAAGCAATCGTTCCCAAATAACTTCTTTAAACCACGGATGATTCTTGACATCGTTTGACCCACCTTGCAAATTACCCAATCGTTGAGTTAAATCCTTAACAATCAACTTTTGCAAAAGATCCAAGATATCAGGGGGCAAGTAATCGGGGTACGTTATGGTTCCATTCAAGATATTTTCATACGTCTTCATTGGAGTTGGGTCGTAAAATGGTGTGTAGCCAGTCAACATTTCGAAAATCAAAATTCCAAACGACCACCAATCGACAGACTTGTTGTATGGTTTAGTGGCAACAACTTCAGGAGCAATATAATCAGGAGTACCACACAAGGTATAGGTGACATCTTGAACTTCTTTGGCGAATCCAAAATCGGTCAATTTGATATGTCCATTCTTATCCAACAAGATATTCTCTGGTTTCAAATCACGGTAGATAATGTCCAAATTGTGCAAGTATTCAATAGCCAAAAAAGTCTCTGCTGCATAAAACTTGGCCACTGGTGTGGGGAACCGTTGCGATTTACGCAAAAGCGAAAACAACTCACCACCTTCTATGTAATCCATAATCATAAACAAGTTATGACAGTCTTGGAAAGTACCCCACATTCGAATTATGAATGGGTGTTGAGCCAACTTCAACATTCTTCGTTCGTCATTGGTATGTTCAACTTGTTTCATATTTACAACTCTCTCTTTTTTCAACACCTTCATGGCATAGAACCGTCCATTGTGGATAGATCGGGTCAAATGGACTCGTCCAAACGACCCTGTTCCTAAAGTCCGCAAGATTTGGAAATCATTGAGACTGTATTTCCCCTTTGTTGTAGCGTCTTTATGTGCGTGTCGAGAAACTTTTCTAGTTATTGAGGTTGATGAGTTATTTTGACTACTTAGGTTAGGCTTGGAGTTGACATTACTACTGCTATTGTTGCTGACACTGTTGGGTGCGTTTGGTTGCTTATGTATGCTCTGGGAGTCGTTTCCGGTGGTGTTGGTGTTGGTGTTGGTGTTTGGAACTTGTCCGGCGTGGCCGTTACCATTATTACTATCACTGTTATTGCTGTTGGCTAAGTCATTACTGCTCCCGTTGTGACTATGACTGACTCCTTGTACTCCGGTTCCAAGTGCAGTGTTGCTATCATTGTGATCTAGTGTTGGTGAATTGGAAGCGTAAATGTTGTTACTGTCACTATGCAGTGGGGGTTGTTGTTGGGGCTGGTTCTGGTTCTGGTTCTGGTTCTGGTGTTGAGCGTTAGATGACGAATCATTTAAACTCATGTTACGTAGTGATTGTGTAGTAGATTCCAGGTGGGGGATGTGGTGTGTGGATGCCATAGGTGGAGGTATAGTTGGCTGTGGCTGTGGTGATACTATATATGGAATTCTGTTGTATTTCTACTGTTTATTTTGTCTCTGTTGACGGGTGTTGAATTTTTAATTTTTTTTTTCTTTATTTCGAGTGAATTTTTTTTATTTTTTTTTCCTTCTCACACCAGCACACACACACACACACACACACATATACTCTCTCAGTATCGTATTGTATATCTCTGTTAATTTTTGTCGTCTAAGACTACAACTATGTGTATGCTTATTAGAAAGTAATCCTTGTAGCCCTATCTTCAGTATGCACGCACCTATCACATTACAAACTCTGGTAATATATATATATACATATTGAGAGTGTGCTTCCTTGTATATGAATACCTTTAGCCCAAACCTAACAAAATATGTGTAGAGAGAACAATTGGGGCAAAAAAAAAGAAATTTTCTCTTATTATTGGTAAAAACAATTAGAGTTTAGTATTCCAGTTAGTATTCCAGTTAGTAGTCCAGTTAGTAGTCCAGTTAGTAGTCCAGTTAGTAGTCCAGTTAGTATTCCAGTTAGTATTCCAGTTAGTAGTCCAGTTAGTAGTCCAGTTAGTAGTCCAGTTAGTAGTCCAGTTAGTATTACTTGTTGAATAAAGTATACATAGTTGAAACGTAAAATATGAAAAAAAAGTATTTAGTGAGTGGAAGTAACTAACCAGTAATAGTAATACTGCAATTAAAATAGTCTACTATAAACACAAGAGGATTGTACAATACGCTATCTCACTACATATAACTCCAGTTTTTCCTCTCCTCTCCGTTTAACTCTATGTGGATATTTGGACAGATACTTATTCCACTTCCCTACCTCCTGTAACACAGCTTGGCACAACTAGAGACATCAGAACTTAACACTAGATCTAAGTCTCCTCTCACTCAAATGGGTTTCCGCGGTGTTTTTGTATTTTCCCTCTTTTCCCCGTTTTGGTTCCTAAGTCGGTGGGTCGTGTAAGTGAAACTAACTCTCACACAAAAATTGTTGTAAGGACTCGGGGGGGAACCTCTGAAGTTCACCAGTGCAAGGATTAATAATATATATATGTATATATATACTGGCTGTCATGTAACGCATACAACACATCTCCACATTCCTAACAAAACTTGAACAAACACGTGACTTCTCCACCACTCGAATACGGAAGAAGTTCTTTTTGTTAGATTCCTTGAATTACCATACTTCAACAGTATCAACTCAATTTCCAGTCCACGTTCCCTCTCTCGTCTTTAGTCTCCCAAGAATATATAAATACACCCTCCCTCTCCCATGGAGAATACATGAACTTTTTTTTTTTTGCAACTTTTCTTTTGCTTTTTTTCTCTAGTGAGTAATTTTCATACGAACAAAGGTATGTCCAAACAGCTTCACTTAAAAAACCCGATACTAACAATAGCCCACGGACTACTGACATTGGCTTGTCTAGAGACTTCTCCCGACAGTTCTTGTCTCTGGTAAATGATCGCAGGGCTGGCCAACTAAGATCCCACCATGGAGGCGGGCGGCGAAGCAGAAAGTCGTAATTTATTGGTTGTCGACGGCTGCGTTTTACATCACCTCCCCCCCCCCCCCCCCGGGGGGGGGTTTAGAAAAGAAAGGGGGGGGGAGGGGGAGGGGCAATTGGGGG